AGCCTCTTCCCTACCTCTCCACCCCCTAACTGTTCTCTCCCTTTTATCTCTCCCTATAAATAACTATAAAATATAATATATAGCATATGCACACATATGTATCTACATAAAATACAAAAGAAAAAAAGTATAACAATTCCTTAAAGATGATAATTTTTATCACTATCAAGTTAGGACAGGAAGTTCAAATATACCTATTTAAGGGGGCCAGAGAGATAGTATAGTGGGAAGGATTGTATGGTGTTGGGGATTGAACCTGGGCCTCCCTCATGCCAACTAAGCACTCCAGCCCCGTGAGCTACCTCTTCGACTCCCACTTTTCCCCTCTTAAATTTCCCTTAAACGATGGCTCCAATGGAACAGAATTTGGGCTAATGTCAGAGTTTGTGCATCCCAAATAAATGTTACCATTTTATTTTAGCCTTTTATACTTGACAATAGCATGGCAGTTTACATAGTTTCTATATTTATGTCTCTATATATTTGGGATAGGAGATGTCTCAAAAGACTGGAGTGCATGCTTTGCATACTGGGAAGTCTGGGATTATTTTCATTTTTATTTTGGCTTATTCCTGGCTCTGTGTCAGGGATCACTTCTAGTGGGCTTTGGGGGGACCCTATGGGATGCCGGGGATCACCCTTGGGTTTCCCACATACATGGCATATGCTCTGTCTGCTATATTATCTCTCTGGCATTAGAAAGCCTGGGTTTGATCCCTGGCATCACATGGTCCCCCAGACACCATCAGGAGCTACTCCTGAGAACTGTGCCATGTGTAGTTATATAGTGTGCTCTGCCAAAGGGGGGCATACATTGTCTAAGAAATCAGCCTATACTTACCCTCCTTTTGGATGCATGTGCCAAAACAGCTGTTTTGGCTGCACTCAAATATTCAAAATTTTCTATGAGGAGGCAAAAACACAGAAACAACCCAAAGTCATGCTCATCATTGTCCTACAAGGATACACAAGGCACATTATGTGATGGCCAAGCCCAAGTCCCCAGAACCATGGAAGACAAGAGAAAAAAAAAAGGACAGATCTTGTTTGTTTGCCCCATGGAATGGAATAAAACATCTTCTTTTATTAAAAAAATTATTTATTTTGCAGCTCTGCAGAGTCTCCTGCCTTCACACCAGGCTGTCTTCACCGGGGTCCCTTGGAGGGGGGTGGGTTGAGTTTTCCTCCTCACCCCGAGCAGAGCTCTGGCAGCTGAAGACCTCTGGGACCCAGAGCCATGCTCAAGGCCACTCTCCACACGCATGGATGAGCCCCATGCATGAAGGAACTGGCAGAGGAACCCAGGTATGTGGGTGCCAGGCTGAGATTTCCAAGCCTGATCAGATCGGGACTGGGCCTCCTCCACCCAGATCCCCCATTTTCCAGTAGCTAGGCAGTTGCACCCACAAACTGCCTTTGGCACTATGAAATCCCACCAATGGCCAAGACCGGCAAGCTACCGAGAGAGAGTATCTTGCCCACACGGCAGAGCCTGGCAAGCCACCCGTGATGTATTCGATATGCCAGACACAGTAACAACAAAATCTCCAAAGGAGGCCAAGACCCAGAGACTACAAAACAAAGTTCCCGGAAGCTGACCTCTTATAGTCTAGTTCTCCGTCTCGGAGAACCCAGCAAGCTACCGAGAGTATCCCACCTGCACGGCAGAGCCTGGCAAGCTACCATGGCATATTTGATATGCCAAAAACAGTAACATTGATGTGTCTCATTCTCCTGACCCTGAAAGGGCCTACAATGCAGCACCGTTGGGAAGGACGAGCAAGGAGGGGTGGCTAAAATCTCAGGGCTAAGACGAATGCAGACATTACTGGTGCTGGCTCGAGCAAATCAATGAATAACGGGATGACAGTGATACAGTGATTTTGCAGTTCAGACAGTGCTCAGAAGTCCCGGGGGCCCTTGCTGGGGATGTTTAGCTGCCTGGTTGGGCTAGGACAATGCTGCTCAGAGCTAGAGAGTTCCCAGCAGTCTACAAGGCTAGTGAACCCTGCACTAGCTCTCCAGCCCTTAGATCCTAGACTTGTAAATAGTGGGCAGTGTCTCCATATCCACACAAATGAATATGGGGGTGCAACTGCACAAAATAATTGGCAACAGTAAAAGGCTTATGAATGTGCAAGACTGAAAAGTAAATTCCAAATCAAATGTATCATGAGTCCAAGGTGATTCTGACAATGTGGGCCCATGGTGCATTTCTTGGCAGGGGTGGTTGAGAAAGAGGCTATGAGTGTTTTCATGATTCCTGGCATAGATAATCGCAGAATAAAAGACAAGTCCAAAAATATTTGCTGTAATCTCTCCTTATGCAGAGGCAATTCATAAATTTTCTGTAATAGGACTCAGAGCTCAAAACAGTTCTCTCAGTTCAAACTGAAGGCTGCTCCCTGTTCGAGCCCAAGTCCTCTCCTTGATTTTTTTTTTGTGGCTTTTTGGGTCATATTCAGCGATGCTCAGGGGTTACTCCTGGCTTTGCACTCAGGAATTACTCCTGGCAGTGCTTGGGGAACCATATGGGATGCTGGGAATCGAACCCCATTCAGTCATGTGCAAGGCAAACGCCCTACCTGCTGTACTATTGCTCCAGCCTCTCTCCTTGATTCTTTTGTGGGATGAGGGAGACCCAAAAGTGCTTCTGGGGACGTTGAAGTATGCTGGGTTAAGCCCTGGACTCCTGCGAAGCCTGTTCTTCAGTACTTTGAGCCCTTCAACCATCTCCCTCACCCCCAGCAACTGTTTGATAAACTCAGTTGACCATTCCTTTGTTTTCAGGTTCCAAATACAGAGTTACAGAATTATCTTTCCTTTTAGTCTCTTCTAAACGGAACCGACTTTTAGATTGCATCAGAAGTACAAGTGTGACATGGACATAAGTTTGAAGAAGCAAATGCCAAGATTTGCCAAGTAGCAATAAGCAACTTTAGGGCTGGGAAAGATGGTACAGTAGGTGGAATGTTTGTCCTGCACACAACTAACCCAGGTTCAATCCCCTAATGATTTAACAAAAAAGTTGGTGGGGTGGGGAGTGGAGGGTTTACCCTGTGGTGCTCCTCTGCTCCTGGTGGTGGGAGGGGGTTGGGAATCCATGGGATGAGGAAGGATCAGGAGTGGACCTTGAGCACAGGGTCAAGACTAAGCCCTGACCACCAGGTGTGGCTCCCAAAATAAATAAATAACCTTTGGGAAAGAAGGGGCAAGAGAAGGATGACGAACTGCAAAATCAGGTGTCCATAAATTTGGATTGAGTGGATGAAAGTCCATGCTGTAAAATACATGGAACAAGGCCCAAGAAGATAGTTAGCGGTGTACAACACAGTATTGACAAACCACAGCCTTGCAAGGGTCCACAGCTGTTTACTTCTCAAACCACAGAAAGGAAAATTACTTTCTTGCAGGAAACTTTCCTGTGAATCTAAGATTTGAGAAATCTTATATTCTTAGGTAAGAACTACAGGCAGTTGTTGTTCAGCCTACAGTGGGTCTGAAGATTGAAATGAAAAAACAAAACCCAGGTCCTGGAGAGGTAGTCGAGCAGGTAGGGTGTTTGCCCTGCGTGCGGCTGACAGGGTTCGATCTCCAGCATCCCTTAAGGACCCCTGAGCAGCCCTAGGAGTAATTACTGAGCGCGGTGTCAGGAATAACCCCAGAACATCACCGGATATACGAATACGACACAAACCCCGCCCCCTCCGCCCCCCTCCCCCCAAAGCGCAAAATCAGGTGTCCATAAACTTGGATTGAGTGGATGAAAGTCCACCTGTAAAATACATGGAGCAAGCCCAAGAAGATAACGGTGGTTACATCTAGGGAGAACTGCTCCATTGGAGATTAGACACACTTATTTTTCTGTGTATCGCCATTATTTAACCAAAAAAAAAAAATTGGGGGGTGGGTGTTTGTGCTGTGGTGCTCCGCCCAGCGCGATGCTGGGGGTCCGCTCCTCGTGGTGGGAGGAGATTGGGAAATTTAGGGGGATGAGGATGGAGCCAGGTTTACAGCATGCCAAGTTTCATTGCATAACCATCACTTTCTGCATTTCTGCCTTTTTTTGCAAGTGTGTGTGTGTGTGTGTGTGTGTGTGTGCGCGCGCGCGCGCGCGCTATTATGTAAAGCTTTTAAAAAATTGCCCCAGCCTACTGAAAAACAGGAGCCTAACATTGTCAGGTGGCGACGTTTGCTTGTGATGTGAAAAACAAACAAACAAACAACAAAAAAACAACAGCCTTTCCCCCCCAAATTTAAGACCCGCAGCCTCAACCTTCTACATAAATAAGCTGATAACAAGTCTATCTCCAGAATTTCTTTTTCCGATCATCCAGGATCCTTCCGAATACATTTCACGGACACCCCCTACATCGACCCCGAGGTGCTCAGTTCCCAGCATGGAGACAGGACGGTCCACACGGCTGATCCAGGGGGTCAGGTGGTCCGAGGCAGTGGGAAGGGGCTGCGGGACGTGCGGTGCCCGGCAGGTGGCTGCCCGCACCAGCTCCATAGCGGCCGCAGGTGCAGGCTGTCCCGCTTCAGCGGCGCTGGGCTCTTGCAGCATTATTACGTGATCCGATTCCCCCTGTCCGTGGAGGTATTTCAGAAAAGCACGCCGAGCCCCGCGGGACGCGCTGCGATGCTCCTGCAACCACCCACCGGCACCTAGTACCCCTCGCACCGCCTTCTCAAGTCCGCCCTCGCATTCCGCGTTAGCAGATTCGCCATTTTTTTTTTTTTTTTGGTGTCTGCATCAAAAAAAAATACAAATCCAATTCTACCTCCCTTGGATAAGCCCTTATTATTAAAAAAGAAACCAGAGAGAGCCCGATTTCAAGTCCTTAATTTTCATAAGCAACTCCTCTCCGGCGCTTGGCGCAAAAAGTGCGGCTGCGGACTCTCAGGCCGGCCACCCTGCCAGCCGGCCCCGCCCCGCGCCGCCGCGCGCGCAGCTGCACCGCCCCCGCCCCCGCCGCCGCCGCCCCCGCCGGGAGTCCGACGTGGAAGTTGCTGGCGGAGCGGCCGGGCGTCCCGGGGAACCGCGCCCGAGCCCGAGCCCACGGGGAGCGGAGGCGGCGGCGCCGGGGCGCAACACACGGGGCCGGCGTGAGCGTCGACGGGGACCGCCGTCATGGGTGAGGGCGACTGCGAGGGGCGCCGGGCGCGGGCGGCGACTTCCGGGTAGGGGGGAGGGCGGGCAGGTCCGGGAGGACGTGGCTCACCTGCCGCCCTCACCTGGGTGAAGCCCCGCGCTGCCCCCCTGCCCCCTGCCCCCCGCCGGCTTCGGGGAGTCCCTGCGCTGGTGGGGCCTGGGGGGGGCGTCTGAGACCCCCCCTCTGTCCCTCCCCCAGCCTGGCTCGGCCGCCCAGGGCGGGGGGCGGCTCTGCGGGCCCCGCGGAGAGTTTCCAGGGTGGACGCTGCGCCCCGCCCCGGGTGCACCTTGGATCTTTCGCTCCTGATCGCTGGGAATGCGGCGGCTTCCAAATAAATAAAGTGGGCCGGGATTTGGGGGACACCCTGCACCCCCGTGCGGTTTCTGAGCCCCCCCCCCCCCCCCAGCGGGGCACGGGGTAGGGGCGTGGGAGGGGAAGGAAGAAGGAAGTAGACTCCGTGATCCTGGGGTGCTCAGTGCCCGCCCGGGCCGCAGGTCTGGGGGTAGCGGGGCTTCCCCCCCAGGCTTCCCCAGGGGATGCCCCTCTGTTTTCGAGTGTGGAGGAGGGGTTACTTAAATCCCTCTCCGGGTGGGTGCAGTGGGTTTTCCTTCCCTGGAAATCTCTCCCTTTTCCTGCCTCCCCCTCCCCCCGCTTTTGTTTCGCCTCCGCTCACCTGTGACAGGTGGGAAGGACTTTGTCGGGTCACACCCCAGAATGACGGCTGCTTTGCCAACAGCTCTGCGGTGGTGCCTTTTCTGGCTCCAGTGACTGGGGGATCTAGTGTCGTGGAGTCACTTTGTTTGGGTCGTGAAAGTTTTTTTTTTTTAAGCTGTAACTCCTTTTTATTTTCTTTTGTATCTTTATTTTTTATTCTGTAGCTTCTTATAGTCTGAAAGTTCGTTTTATTGGGGGGTGGGGGCTTGGAAAAGGCCCCAAGTTTTTTGTTTTGAGTAATCAAAAAGCTGCTTTTTTTCTAAAGAGGGTAAGACTCCGCATCTCCATGTCCTTTACTCTCAGGGGTTAATTGACTATCCTGAGGAATGGAAACTTTAGCCACCAGAGGGTTTTGTCTCAGACTTGCTGAGGCAAAGGATCATTTTTAAATGTTTGTTGAGGCATGAAGGGCCACTAAAACTTGAACACTTTGGAGATGTGCCTTTGCTCTGTTCTGGTATATTTGTTGTGAGGTGATCACCACAATCAGGCCTAATTAACACATCACCTCTGTTACATATATGTGCACTGTGTGTGTGCCCCTGTGGTGAGTCCACTTAAAGCGCTCTCCTGTGTCAAAGTGAGAAAGGCTCCATCCCACTAGATCCCAAATGAAGATGCATGAACCCTTCACATTTTCCTCCACGTTGCAGTTTGTAAAAGTTCATAATTTTTTAATTTGTTTCCGAGCCATACCTTGCAGTGTTCAGGGGCTCTTCCTGGCTCTGTGCTCAGGACTCACCCGTGTTCTGGCCTTGGCCAAGGGAATCATACATCACTGGAATTAGAGCTCAGGTCAGCCACGGGCAAGACAAGCACTGTTGCTCTGGCCCTGATTGTTAAAGTAAGGATTTATTTTTTTAAAATCATGTTTATTTTTTTATTTATTCATTTTTTTGTTTTTTGTGTCACACCCGGTAATGAATAGGGGTTACTCCTGGTTCATGCACTCAGCAGTTACTCCTGGCAGTGCTCAGGGGACCATATGGGATGCTGGGAATCGAACCAGGGTTGGCTGCATGCAAGGCAAACACACCCTACCCGCTGTGCTATCGCTCCAGCTCCTTAAAGCATGTTTAATCACTCCTCCCAACCCCAATTGTTGTTGGTGTTACTGTCCTGGTGATGATTGGGGGCAGGTTGGGCGGTGTTGGACGGCCTGCTTGGTGGGGGTGGGGTGCACATCAGCTGTGCTCCCCAGCTCTGCACTCTTTCCTGCTGCGAAGGGGGGGGGGTGTTGTGGACTGTGGCCTACTTGAGGCTCTCGGTTTAAAATTCTGGTGCTTGGTTGGAGCTTGCTGCTGTGTGCTTTCACTCATGCTCATCTGCAGCCACACAGTTGGACTTCTTTTTTACTTGTTGGGCTTTTTATGTGTGTTCCCCCCACCCCCTTTTTCTTTTTATTTGGTGGTGTTCCTATGGGCCAGGCTGTGGCCGGAATCACTCATGATGCTGGGACTCACTGCCAGGATTGTGCTGAACACATGCTGTGTGGTACATGAGGGATCTGGGCTGGTGACCCAGAGCTTACCAGGCAGGTGCTGGGCCCATTCCTCTGGGCCCACATCCTTATTACTAACTCTAACCACCATGCTGTTCAATAGAGCCCCGGAACTAGTTTAAACCTCTGCTACTAACATCTCCCCCATTAATTCCGTTCCTGTGACATCTGGTAAACATTGGGTAGGGGAAGCTTTCTGGAAACACTTCAGGATGCATTCAGTACTGCTGTATTTAAATATTCTAATATTTGGGTTTAATGTTTTGGCTTTTGTACCACACCTGGTTGTGCTCAAGGCTTTCTCCTCGCGGTGCACTCAGGCCTGGTGGGCCTTGGTGGGCTATAGGGGATGCCTGGGATGGAGCCAGGCCAGACATGTGCAAGGCAGATGCCCTTCCTGCTGTATTGTCTCTCTGACCTCTCATTTAATTTTTTTTGGATATTTATAATATCTGGGTCAGCCAGGTGCATGGACTGCAAGCAGCCGTTGAGTTCCCTGCTTGTCTCAAAGGGTATCTGGGCCAGACATTCCCCACTTCTGGTTCTCTTTAAAATAACTTTTTATTTTTTAAAGAGTTTTTTGATTTTGATGCTATACCTCGCTATGATCAGCATCTGCTCGTGGCTCAATGCTCCAGGGCTTGTTCCCTCCATGGTCAGGGGACTATGCAGGGCTGGGAAGCAAACCCAGGGCCTTAGCACGCACACAGTGCTCTGTGAGCCACATTCCTCAGCTGCTCAGAGTAATGTTAAGTTTTTGCTTCCTTCTCTGTTTCTTTTTTTTTTTTTTTTTTTTTTTTTTTTTGCTTTTTGGGTCACACCCAGCAATGCTCAGGGGTTATTCCTGGCTCTGCGCTCAGGAATTACTCCTGGCAGTGCTCAGGGGATCATATGGGATGCTGGGGATCGAACTTGGGTCGGCCACATGCAAGGCAAACACCCTACCCACTGTGCTATCGCTGTGGCCCCATTCTCTCAGTTTCTTGTGCCAGTTATATTTACAAAAACCTCAGCGATGGAAGATATTTAAAAGGGTACTGCTGCCATGAAACAGTCATTGCTTTTTCTGTTCAAGGTCCCCATTGTCTCACTGTTAATCTAGTTTGCCCCTAGGTTTTTTTAAGGGTAATGAGATCATGCTATGTTCAGTCTCCTATGTTCTTGATTAGAAATGAATCCCATGAAGGTGTTGTCAGAGTTCTCTTACTTTTCTTTCTGCCTACGGCCACTTCATAGAATACAGTAGCATTCAGTAATTGGGTGTTTGTTGTTGAACAGTATATTTTATCATATGTAACTGTGAAAGGAGAAATTAAAAATATCTGATTGAATGTGTTGTGGAATTCACAAAATGCTAAATACGTTTTTTCTTTCATTATTTTTCTTAGGGGGCTTTTTCTCCAGTATTTTTTCTAGTCTGTTTGGAACCCGGGAAATGAGGATCTTAATTTTGGGATTAGACGGAGCAGGAAAAACTACAATTTTGTACAGATTGCAGGTTGGAGAAGTCGTTACTACAATTCCGAGTAAGTATTATGATAAATTAATTACAGTGACTTTTTGTTTCATCTGCATAACTTTCTGAACACCTAACTTATATAGCATAGTAATGAATAAGATTAAAAACCTTCTAGTATAGTTACATTGATAACTTTTTTTATAAACCGAGAAGCAGTTTGGTATTGTTATAACCACAGTTACTGCTGGGGATCGACTAGGGTTGTCCAAATGGAATGAAAGTGCCTTAGCCCCTATATTTCCTGCATTTGTGGTACTATTTGAAAAAAATTGTTGCTTTATAATCTTTATAATCTTTTTATAATCTTTTTACTGTGATAGTTTTTTGTTTTTTTTTTTTTTTGGTGTTTGGGCCACATCCAGTGCTTGGTGTTCAGGACCACTCCTGGTGCTGCTGGGGGACTATGGTATGAGGTGCCCTGGCCTCCCACTTGCATAGCATGAGTTCTGGCCTATAGAGCATTCTCCAGCCAATTGTGAACTGTTTTAATTACAATTGGTTTTCCTTAAGTAATGCAATCAATTCCTTGTAAAGACCCGAGTTGACGAGATTAAATATTGATCTGGTAGTTAAAACTAGCAAGACAGGGCCGGGGAGATGGTACACGTGTTTGTTTCCCACCCAGGATTGGTCCCGCTGCTCTTTGGTTCCTGAGTGTCTCTCGGTGTGGTCCTGGTGGCCCACAGCATTGCAGGGCCCACCCAGCTCTGCATCCTGGCATTGAACTGCGCTTCTGAATGGCTGATAATTGATGGGCATAGTTTCCAGGTTTTCTTAACAATTTCCCCACCCCCCCAAAAAAAAATCCGTGTTCAAAAGACTAATAAGACAAAGCATTTCAAATGCAATGTCTTGTTTTATTAATTAAAATTTTGTTTTTGTGGTACTAGGGAACAAATTGCAACCTTTTTTGGGGAGTGGGAGGGTTGGGCCACTCTCAGCTGTGCTCAGGGCTTACTCCTGGCTCAGGGATCAAGGATCACTCCTTGTGGGTCCATATTGGATGTCAGGATGGAACCTGTGGAACTTGGGTTGGTCACATTCAAGGCAAGCACCCTATAGCCTGTATCGCTCCAGTCCCCTTCAAATAGCCCTGTTTGTTTTTATAAGAATGCTGTTCTCCTGTTATGTTGCTTTATATCAGGAAGCCCATTTTCAAGGCTTTGAGAAACAGTCCTGTAATGGGTCTATATATGAATTGCCTTCAGTATTCTTTTTTAAATTCTCTACAATAGTCATTTTCTTTGCCTTGCACACATCCAACCTGGGTTCGATTCCTCTGCCCCTCTTGCAGAGCCCAGCAAGCTACTGAGAATATCCCGCCCACACGCAAAGCCTGGCAAGCTCCCCGTAGCGTATTCGATATGCCAAAAACACTTACAACAAGTCTCACAATGGAGACGTTACTGTTGCCCGCTCAAGCAAATCGATGAACAACGGGAGGACAGTGCTACAGTGCTACCCTAATACTACATTCATTTTTGTTTACCTTGACAGGGATTGAATCCATTAACTTTACACTCACAGGACAGTCTCTCTGCAGCTGAATGGCACCCCTAGATTGTACTTTTATCCTTTGTGTGCTTAGGAATACTGCTTTTTTGAAAAAAAAATTTTCTTTTTATAAAGTTGTGCACAATAATTTATTGTATTCAAAATCCCAACACTAATTCCCCTACCATTACACCTTCCCATTACCCCCCAAGCCTGCCCCCAAAGCAGTACCTAAATAATTTATTTATTACTTGTTATGAATCATCTGCTAAAATTGATCAAAAACAGTTTCCTTTGAGGAAAGTGTGTGAAGATTATTGTGTCTTACCCTGGAGGCATTAAGCCTTTGTATAAGAGATTACTAACCTGTTTCAGGTTGAGCCTTGTATGCTAACATATATATATTTATTTTTATGGTAATATATATATACACATATATGTATGTATATCTCGAGATTGGTTGCCTTCTACTTTACAACCCATCAAATGTGGTTTGCTACACTTGGTACATCAGTGCATAGGGTATGAGATGTCGCTCCAGGAATTGTAAAAATTTAAATAGGGTGATAGAGCTGGAGTTAATTTTTAACTGGATGTTCACCTTGGGGTCCAGAGGCATCTCTGCAGCTTGTTGCTCTCTTCCGAGATTTATTCCTGAGTCTCTGGATTCTAGTCATTAATGACAGGCTCCTAGGAATATTGCTTCTGGTTGTGGTGAAGGTGGTGATACATTCCTACTTAATTCTAGGGAGACATCATGAACTTGCTTCTGAAAGTTTTTCTTTCATGTTTATTATTATAGTGTCGTTAATTTTCAGTTGTAAATAGGCATACTTGCTATATATTTACTCATAATTATCATTTGCCAACATAAAGATCTAAAACAAAAATTATCCAGTCAAGATTGTAAATTGTCTTTTATCTTGATTTTTCTTAGTTACGTAAACTCTTACTCATCTTTGTGTGTGTGTGTGTGTGTGTGTGTGTAAAGACCCTGAATTTTTTCATATCACAGTGGGTAGGGTGTTTGCCTTGTACGCGGCCAACCCGGGTTCGATTCCTCCATCCCTCTTGGAGAGCCTGGCAACCTACTGAGAGTATCCTGCCTGCACAGCAGATCCTGACAAGCTCCCCGTGGCATATTCAGTATGTCAAAAATAGTAACACAACTCTCACAAGGGAGACGTGATTGGGCCTGCTCGAGAAAATTGATGAACAACGGGAGGACAGTGCTATAGTGCTATCTCCTTCTCATCTTGGGTTTTTCAAGAGCTCAACTCCCCACAATACGTAGAAAACCCAACTTCTGTGCAGACCTATACTGAAATTTACAGTCTTGGCTTTTTTGAGTTTGGTCTCTTTGTCACCTCCCAAAATTTCAGTGTTTATCCTAATATAACATTCTGAACATCTTTGTATGCCACTATTGTATTATGGGGGGCATTTAACATAGTAGCATATACTGATTTCAAGTCTACTAAGAATTCCATATTTTTATTGGGGGCTATGGATTTGTACATAACTTAAAGGTATGCTGATCTTACTAGGGGTGAGTGTGTGTGTGTGTGTGTGGCATAGTATGATGTTTTAAATAATCTTTCAGTAGTAAGGTTCAACAGTTGCTATTAAAATTCAGTAAGAATGATATTCTGGATAAGGGTAAAATGCATTGGTATACTATTTTTAATTTAATTTTTCTCTTCCAGCCATTGGATTCAATGTTGAGACGGTAACATATAAAAATCTTAAATTCCAAGTATGGGATTTAGGAGGACAGACAAGTATCAGGTATGGTATAAAGACCCTCTTTTGCAGTATTTAATGTTTATGAGCTTTGGGTTATTCATGTATATACATACCAGTTCAAAGAAGACACACACATATATATATATATATATATATATATATATATATATATAATCACTGTCCTCCCGTTCATCAATTTGCTCAAGTGGGCCCAGTAATGTCTCCATTATGAGACTTCTATTACTGTGTTTGGCATGTTGAATACGTCACGGGTAGCTTGCCAGCTTGCCAGACTTTGCCGTGCGGGCGAGATACTGCCGGGCTCTCCGAGAGGCGCGGAGGAATCGAACTCGGGTCGGCCATGTTGGCTGCGTGCAAGGCAAATGCCTTACCCGCTGTGCTATCGCTCCAGCCCATATATATATAGTTTGTCTTTTTGGGCCACACCCAGTGGTGCTCAGGACTTACTCCTGGCTCTTTCTGCTCTGGGATCACCTCTGGCAGTGCTTGGGGGATGATCAGGGGTACAGGGAATTGAACCCGGTTGATTGTTCTTGAACAAATGCCTTACTCACTATATTATCACTCTGGTCCCTACTTTTATTATTTATTATTTTCATTGAACTTTTTTCATTTTGTTTTGGAACCACACATGTCTTACTGCTGGCTCTGTGCTCAGAGTTCATTTCTGGCAGTGCTCGGGAGACTGTATGTGTCATGAATTGAATTGGGGGTCTGCTGCATGCAAGGTAGACATCTTTATCCCTGTACTATCTTCCTGGCCTGTTTTATTTTTATTTATTTACTTAAAAATGTTTTTAAAATGTTTAAAATTTTTTCCTTTTTGGGGGGTGGGGGTGGGGGTTGTCTACACCCAGCAATACTCAACAGCTATTTCAGACTCTGCACTTAGGAATTACTCCAGGCAGTGCTGGGGGACCATATGAGATGCCAGGGATGGAACTTGGGTCGGCTTGTGCAAGGCAAATGCTCTACCCGCTGTTCTATCGCTTCACCCCCCAATAAAAAAAAATGTTTTTGATTGAATTACTGTGAGATAGACCCTTACAAAGATGTTTATGATTAGGTTACAGTCATGCAGTGTTCCAACACCCATCCCTACAACAGTGTACATTTTCCAGTATTAGTGTCCCCAGTTTACCTCTTATCACCTCCACAGCAGGTGCTTTTCTTCTCTCTTGCTCTCTCGCTCTCTTTCTCTTGCTCTCTCCCTTGCCTGCCCCCTTGCCCCTTGCCCTTTTTGGCATGTGATTTGCAATACAGATACTGAAAGGTTATAAGGATTATCCCTTTACCTACTTTTAACGCTCAGATCTTGTCCAACGTGATAATTTCCAGCTATTACTGTCATACTGTTCCCTTCTCTATCTCACCTACCCTCAGCCCCACATGCCCTTGTGGTTGATTCCAACTATTGACCGTTCCTCCTTGCCCCTGCTTTCCCTGGCTATGTATATTAGTTTTCTAATATATATGTATGAGGCACTGGGTTTGAGCCCTGACAGTCAAAAAAATAGGTGTATAAAATAATATATTTCATGTATGAAGTGTATTTTATATATTATGATAAAAATATATTTTATATACCCAAATTAATGCAGTTATTCTACATTCTACAGCCCTCTCCTTCTGACTCATTTCATTCAGCATGATACTCCCCATGTTCAGCCATTTATAAGCAAATTTCATGACTTCATTTTTCCTAACAGCTGCATTATATTCCATTGTGTAGATGTACCACAGTTACCACAGTTTCTTTATCTTAGTTGTCTATTCTCGGTCATTAAGGTTCTTTGCAGATTCAGGTTGTGAATAGTGCTGCATTGAACATAAGAGAGCAGATGGTGATTCTGCTGTGTGATTTTGGGCCCCCAGGGTATATTCACAGAAGTGGTATTACTGGGTTGTATAGCTTAATTTCTAGTTTTTTGAGGAATATCTATATTGTTTTCCAAAAAGGCTGGACCAGTCAGCATTCCCATCAGCAGTGAAGGAGAGTCCCTTTCTCTCCACATCTGCTCCAACACCTGTTGCTTTTTTTCTTTTGGATATGTGCCAGTCTCTGTGTGTGAGATGATATCTCATTGTTGTTTTGATCTGCATTTCCCTGATGATTAGTGATAAGGAGCATTTTTTTCATGGGCCTTTTTGCCATTCAAATTTCTTCTTTGAGAAAGTTTCTGTTCATGTCATTGCCCCATTTTCTCATGGGGTTGGATGTTTTTTTTCTTGTAAAGTCAACCAGTGTTCTTGGCCTGTTTTAAAACTCTCTTTTTTGGGGGGGCTGTCAGGGATCAAACCCATTGCCTCACACATGCAAGGCTACTGCTTTACCACTAAGCCCTGTCCCTGCTGATTTTTGTCATTTATTTTGGTTTTGGGGCCACACCTGGCAATGCTCACGGGTTACTACTTGACTCTGTATTCAGAACTTATTCCTGGTGTGCTTGAAGGACCATGTATGCTGTGGGGATTGAACCTGGGTCGGCTCCTTGCTCCCTAACCACTGTACCAAAGCTCTGGCTATGAGTTTTTTTTTTTTTTAATGGGATCCACTGGAGGCTGGAGCATTAGTACTGAGGGTAGGGCATTTGCTTTGCATGTAGCCAACCCAGGTTCAATCCCCAGCATCCTGCATGGCCTCCCAAGCACTACCGGGAATAATTCCTGAGTGCAGAGTCAAGTAGCATCCGGGAGTAACCCCTGAGCATGGCTGGGTGTGACCCAAAAAGAAAAAAGAGGGGTGACCATCCACGTTATTTTTCAAATTTATTATCACTTTTTGTTTTTGGGTGTCATAACCGGTGGTGCTTGCTTACGGATATTCCCTGTGTCTGCATTCAGGGATCACTTCTGGTCCGCTTAGTGGGTGGGCCATATGGGGTGCTGGGTTTCCCATGTTCAAGGCAAATGTGATACCTGCTGTACTATCATTCCAGCACTGTGACCCACTTCAAAAAGAGGTATAACTATACTCTTGATTGCCTTGATTCTAAGATGGCCACTTGTCATGTACCACTTGAAAAATCTTTCCCTGAAACTCTCTTGAGTGGGCCTCGGGGGTTGAGTGGCTGCCTTGTAGACCTGAGACTACAGTTTCCAAACTTGAAACCCCACACTTTGTCTAGTGCCCTCCCCCACCCCCCCACCCCCTGAGGGCATGACTCTGGACTCTGGGTATTGCCACCAAGCGGCAATGGTTCCAGACATCATAACATCAAAAAGGTGGGGAAGGAGAAACAAAAAGAGAAAACTCTTTTTTTCAAGACTTAATTATTTCAGTAGTTTTTGTTTGTTTATGCGCCATACCTGGCAATGCTCAGGGGCTCCTCCTGGCTCTGCATTCAGGAATCACTCCCGACAGGGCTCAGGGGACCATATGTCATGAGGAGATGGAACCCTGGTTGGCCGCAAGCAAGGCAAGCACCAAGTACTGTCGCTCCAGCTATTTATTTCAATAGTTCCTAACTGAAAAATAAATACCTTCCGTTGGTCCTTGTCAGCCCATTCCTCTATGAGACAGTTTTTTCTGATTTCAAAAAAAAAAAAACCAACTTCCTTGGTAAAGGTCCTCCATTTATGTGAAGGACACACTGGAATGCAGACCTTCTGGAAAGTTTCTGTCTTTGATAGGACAACAGTTAGTATTTGGCGTTTATCATTTGTCACTCTCTTAAAAGATTAGTGGGTTTCCTATCAACCTATTTCTTGAATCACCTTTGAATCTATTTCTAGTTTTAGTCATTCCTACCTCTTGTTTTTAAATGATTTGCTTAATGTCTGTTAAGTAAAATTACACCTATGGGTTGGAGTGATAGCACAGCAGGTAGGGTGCTGGCCTTGGCATGCAACCAACCTGGATCTGAGCTTCAGCGATCCATAGGTTCCCCCAAGTATATCAGGAGTGATCCCTGAATGCACAGCTAGGAGTAAGCCCTGAACACAGCCAGGTGTGGCGCCAAAATCCAAAATAATAAAATTTTGTTAAAATTTCTTTAAAGAGTATTTAAAAGGTTCTTATAGATTGACAGCATTTAATAATCAGGAGGGCTTATATGAAACTAGTTTTCCCAGAACACTTAAGGTGTATTGTTTTTGGTGGGCTGTGCTGGAGCAATAGCACAGCGGGTAGGGCGTTTGCCTTGCACGCAGCAGACACGGCTGACCCGAGTTCGATTCCTCTGCCCCTGTTGGAGAGCCCGGCAGACTACTGAGAGTATCTTGCCCGCACGACAAAGCCTGGCAAGCTACCTATGACATATTCGATAAGCCAAATGCAGTAACAAGTCTCACAATGTTACTGGGCCCGCTCGAGCAAGTTGATGAACAATGGGAGGACAGTGACCGTGACAGTTTATATTTATTTATTTATTTTTGGGTGGGGGGGCTCTTCTGACTGCTCAGAGCTTCCTTCTGGCTCTGTGCTCACGGGGACTAAATGTGTTGCCAGGGATTGAACCTGGGTTGGTTGTGTGCAGGGCAAGTACCCTACCAGCTACACTGTCGTTAGTCTTATCTTAAATATGTGCTCTTATATTGAGTCAAAACTCTTTCTGAGGCTTCTTGGTCCTGTCATTTAATGTTTATCAGTATTTCTTTTGACCCCATCATCTGAAGGATATAATTTGCACATCACTTGCAGCCATTATGGGCTTACTCTGGCATGGGCGTGGCAAGATTGGCATTTTACACCCTCCTTTACTCCTCAGGGCCAAGTCTTAGCATATACTGGCATCTTAGTTTTGTGTTTCAAATAATGACATATAGTTTCCTCTTCTGATTTTTTTAGGCCTTACTGGAGATGTTACTATTCTAACACAGATGCTGTCATATATGTAGTAGACAGTTGTGACCGAGACCGAATTGGCATTTCCAAGTCAGAGTTGGTTGCCATGTTGGAGGTAAGAAATATTTGTTTAAATGTGAGGAAATCTGTCATTTTGGCTTATCTTAGGAACCTACGGGGGCTTGAACCTGGGCCTCCTGCAGGAAAAACCTACACTCTCAGTCCTCTGAGCCTCTCTCTAGCCATTGATGCGATCTTAGTATATTTTCAGTTGTGAAATTAGATAAGAATATACATAATAAAAAAAGATTTTTTTTTTTTTAATTTTGCTGTACCTGACCACCGGCTCAGTGCTAAGGGGTTGCTGCTCCCTGCTTGTGCATGATTGCTGGGTGGGGCCGGGGATAGAACTTGGGTCTCCTTCCTACAGAGCAAGTACCCAGCTTTTTGCCCTAGTGCAGCCATTGTAAATGGGACTTGATTTTCCTGATCTTTTTCTTCTTCTGTTTCTTAGTTTGTGTTTAAAAATTCAAGAACTTTTTTGGGTTGTTGTTATTTTTCGGCTGGTTATCTAACTCTACTTGTTATTGTTTCAAGTCTTATTTTAGAGTTTATTTTAGAAAACCTCTGGAGTTTTCTATGTATATTATTCTGTCTGCTGCAAGTAGTGGAGGCTTTTGTGTTTGTGGTGCTTCAGTGTACTTCTCTATAATTTCAGTTAATTTATAGTGAACATTATATACTAATTAGAAAATGTACTTTTAAAATAATGTGTTTAATTTTTTGCTAGTTTTTGGCGTAGGGCCCTGGCTGGTTGGTGCTCGGGTCGCTGCAGGCTTGTTGTTGGGGGGCAGATGGCTTCGGTGGGCCCCGCCTGCAGCAGCCCATCCTGGGCTCCTGCTGGGGGAGCGTGTACTCTAGGCTGTTGAGTTTCACTCCAGCCCCGTAACAGTGCTTTTTGTTGGTTTATGGGTCATACTTGGTGGTGCTCAGGTGGGACCATATGGGATGCTGGGGATCAAACTCAGGCCACGTGCCAGGCAAGCTTCCCACCCGCTGTACTATCTCTCCAGCTCCTGCATTTTTGAGGGTTAGGACACACCCCTCTGTATTCAGGTGCCAACTGGCCGTGCTCAGGGACCATGTCGTATTGGAAGTGAAACCCCACTTCTAATGCAAGCCAGCATGCAAGCCATGTACTCTCGCCCTTTAACTGCCTCTCCTGCCTCCCACATAATGTAATTTTGGGGGCCATTTCTTCTAAACTCAGGAGATAAAAGGGATCTTTTATTTGTGTACATGTGTGTGCTGGGGATTAGCCTGGGTTCTCATTCAAATCAGATCGAGTGCTCTGTTGCTGAGCTCTGTTTGTTCCTGGGAATTAAGTATCTTCTGCTTTCTTTAGGAAGAAGAGCTAAGGAAAGCTATTTTAGTGGTGTTTGCAAATAAGCAGGACATGGAACAGGCCATGACTCCCTCAGAGATGGCAAATTCGCTTGGGTTACCTGCTTTGAAGGACCGAAAATGGCAAATATTCAAAACTTCCGCAACCAAAGGCACTGGTCTTGATGAGGCCATGGAATGGTGAGTGCTGTTTCCAGAAACCCTTTCCACACTCGCGTGTGACGCTGCTGTGCACACACGGTACTTTCCCTTGATTCTTAAGGGTGAACTTAGGATGACTTAGTAGCTTATCATGCTAAGTTCCTTTAGCTTTTTATCACATTTTTATCATTTCCTCCCCCCCCCCCCCCCCCCCCCCGCTTTTTTGGTCACACCCAGCGATGCTCAGGGGTTCCTCCTGGCTCTGCACTCAGGAGTTACTCCTGGCGGTGCTTGGGGGACCATATGGGATGCCGGGGATCGAACCCAGGTTGGCCGCATGCAAGGCAAACGCCCTACCTGATGTACTATCATTCCGGCCCCTGTTTGCTTCATTCTGCCACACTTGATTACGGTCCGTCAGAAGAGCTGGGACTCGCCAGTTTCCTTGCTTTTTCCCTGCCTCACTGCAATTCCTCATCCTTTAGGACTTAGGCTAAGGTTCCTAGTCACAGATCCCTTAGGTTACTTGTCCCACTGTCCTGCTTGTGCACCTCCTTCTGGACAGCTCAATGACAACAGTTTTCACCTCAGAATTACTCAAGACACATTTGAGCTAGTTGTTAAAGGAGCAGCTTGGGAAATAAGACATTTAATCTTTTTGATTATTATTCAAAAAATAGTCAAAATTGAAGCTGAGAGACCCTCCTTGAAATTGAATCCATATACTTCCAAGTATATGCCTATCTCAGCTCTAATCTTTTTTTTTTTTTTTTGTGGTGGCGGATTTGGTACTGCATGCGGTGCTAGTTCTCAGGGAACTATGCGGTGCCAGGGGTCAAAGCCTGATCTCCTGCACAGCATGCACTCAGCCCGCAGAGCTGTCTCTCTGGTTCTAGTCTAAGAATGATTTTAAGAGCTTTGACTTCTGCTTTCGCATTCAGTAGCTTTTCACCTGAAAGCATAAACCTGCTCTTTGGAACTATTCACTCTCTCTTCACAGGTTAGTGGAAACACTGAAGAGTAGACAGTAAATTCAATCACGTCTCTGCAATGAAGACAGCATTAGCACAACCCCTGCGGCAACAACAGTCACATGTACTTCACACTACTAACTGGACAGGCTGTATGACTGTCGGCCTCCACCGAACTGACTGCCACGTTTGTAATACATAGAAGAATAAGTAGCGGGGAGGCAACTTACCTTGATTGAACAAACTGAATGTCTGTTCTGTGTAACATAAAATATTCCTTCCTTGCTTTCTTGTGTTAAGGCATATATTCTATTTGTATGAAATTCTTATTCAAATACAGTCCTATTAAAGAATACACTCGAATTAAGGATAAAACTTTCTTGTTTTTGAATAAGTGGTTGTAGTTTGTATAAACACTAATAAATATTTTAGCTCTGAGTTCCTCCCTAAAATGTTTTCCCAAAGATTAGATTTAGTAAAGTAGGTTAGAAATGTCTGTGGACAATATCTTTATTTGCTTAATGATCATTTCATGTAAGTGATTTCATTTAAATCCTTTTGGTTGTAGGCATGAAGTTGAAATAACTTTTTCAGTGGTTAACTGCACGAACTTATAAGTAATTTTATCGATTTATAGTTCTTCATAGTTAAACTTTTTTACATAAACGGACCTAGATGATTTGCATAGGAACTCTGAACATATGTACAACAAATTGTCTTCACTTTATGGACAAGGGCCCAGAAATCTGGAGGCTCTATAGATTGGCTTGCCCAGGATCACCTGCTAGTGAAATGGGAGCAGTGTTCACAGTGAGAGGGCTGGGTTACGAGGCCGTTCTGTTAGACGAACGCTTGCATTCCTAGGAGTGCAGCATTAACATCACAGGCAACCCAGCGCAATAAAAATGAACTGAAGTAGAGCGTGCCCTTCAAAATAAACCTATTAGAGGGAGTTCATAATAGAAAATTCACATTAAGGAAAAATTTTTAAGAGATCTATTTTAAGTAGTATTGTAAGAGCTATCTTTGCCTCTTCCATCCTTTTTCATTAACTTGTGTTTGGACATGTAAATTTTGTAAAAATCTTGGGAAAGGGAGATCATTGGGCTGGTGCACATGCTTTGCTTGCAGGGGGCCTGGCTCCATCCTCAGGACCACATGGTTCACCAAGCACTGAGCCAGGAGTCTAGCCCCTGAGCACCACTGGGTATGGCCCCCAAAACAAACAAAAAATCAAAATCTTACTGTATGAATGGATGTTCAAGCATTCATTTTGTTTTTTTGGGCCACCCAGCGGTGCTCAGAATCACTCCTGGCAGGGTTTGGTGGACTTTATGGGGTGCTGGGGATTGAACCCTGGTTGGCTGCATGCAAGACAAGGACCCTATATGCTGTACTATTGCTCCAGCCCCTGCTTAATTATTCTTAAATTTTTTTTTTCTTTTTGGGTCACACTCAGCGATGCACAGGGGTTACTCCTGGCTCTGCACTCAGGAATTACTCCTGGCGATGTTCAGGGGGCCATATGGGATGCTGGGAATCAAACCCGGGTCGGCTGCTTGCATGGCAAACGCCCTCCCTGCTGTGTTACCGCTCCAGCCCCATTCTTGATTTTAAAACTTTCTGCTACTATAGGTTAAGTTTAGGGTGGGTATGTTCCAAAGAACTTTTTTTTTTAACTACTCAGTTCATTGTAAAAGAAGCTAAATACTAAAATTATGATGTGTGTGTGTGTGTGTATGTGTGTGTGTGTGTGTTGGGCACTACACCTGGTGGTACTTGGGCTTTACTCCTGGCTCTGCCCTCAGGGATCACTTCCAGCCTGCTCTGGCAACCGTAAAGAGGTGTCGGATCCAACATGGGTCAGCTGTATGCAAGGCAAGTGCCCTATCCACCTACTCTGGCCCCTTCTAACTGTGAAAATTGGGCAAGCAGTTTTAAAACAAATTATCTAATTAAAACAATTAGATACTTGCGAAGAGCAGCTCAATGCCATTGTTTCCCTCAAGTGTCAAAAACACTAATTTGTTCATTCGTTGTCTTTGTTACTGCCCTCTAGATTTTGACTTTTGTCTTTTCCCTCACAATTTTGCCCATTCTCTTGGCTCGAATGAGGCTTTCTCTTTTGCCTGTAGGACTTTTCACTCCTTATTCTGCAGAACATTCCTGTTTTAGTCTGCAATCCTTTCTCTAGGTACAGGCGTTCCTGGAGCAACAAATTACTGCCTGGGCAAGCAGTGGGTTTCCACGTCATTTCTGGTGGGCAGGCAGACTGATGGTGTGGTTTTCCTGACAACTGAGTATGGTGCCTGGCACCTGGAGTAGCAGGGTCTACGTTTGTCATCTAAGAGAAGGCTACGGCGACTGAATCTTCAGTCCCCTTTTGGCCACTGGCTTTAGTCTGGTGCTGGGCTGGTGTGCAGAGAGGCTCAGTCGTCCCCAGCAGTCCAGGAACATGGAGGAATACTGAGGTTTGGGACGTGTGTCCTACACAGACACGCTGCTGGCACCCACCCTTGCTCTGGAAGACTGATGGCACTGGCGAAGCCACAGCAAAAACAGAGCTGGGATGATGCGGATCCCTGCGGTCCATGGCATAGAGTGGCTTGGAGGGGCTGGGGATGCAGCTCACCTAAGCCTGAAATGAAGCAGGCTTCCTGTGTCTGAGGCTTGGGGGTCTAGTCCCCGGCATCAAACCAAAAGGGGTACGTGTAGCATACATGAAGTGACAACACACACACACACACACACACACACACACACATTGCATTTTGGGTCAGACCCAGAGATGCTCGGGTTACTGCTGGCGGTGCTTGGGGGACCATATGGGATGCCAGGACTTGAACCTGGTTGGCCATGTGCAAGGCAAATACCCTACCTGCTGTACTATCACTCTGGCCCCGATACCAATGTATTTTAGTATAGTATAGGGCACTTCTCAGGAAATGGCTAGATATGTTACATGGGTTTGTTTGAGTGTTGATATCAACAAATTTGGAGTATTTGTGAGAAGCTTGGAAATGGGAGGGGAAGTCACAGATGCCAGATGCCCACTGCTTGCCCCTTCTCTTCCTCCACCTCCCCATGAAACAGGACAGACCTGGACACACGTCAGAGGTTTCTTTAAGCTGTATTATTTTTTTGTTGCCGGGGATGAGAGATGTCACCCCTGCCAGGCTTTAGCAGCAGAGCTGCCTGGATCACATTCAGTGCATAAGGGACACTGGGGATTTGATCTCAGGTCAGATGCTTACCGGGTTACAAGGTAGCTCTCTAAGCTACTGCTCTGTTGCTGTGTTTTTTTTTGTTTTCTTTTTTTCTTTTTTTGCAGTGCCAGGGATCAAACCCAGTGCCTTGTACATGCATGCAAGGCAAGAGCTTATCACACACCCCTGGCTCTTCCAGTAGTCTCTTGAAACTGACTGGTAATTGTGCTGTCATGTGGGTCCCATTAAAAAAATTGAGAGTGGTAGAATTATGTTAGAATTCCATTTTGTCAGCATCCGAGATGCACTTTTTGAATTGTGAAAAAGTCAGCACCGAGGGCAGGCATCATCTTTTACTTACCGTCAGTGTCCCCGGCATATAGGACTCAATAAACACTGATGAAAATAAAGTCAAGCTCTTCTCAATGTTGCTGAAATCTGGTCTTTGTTATTGTATTTTTTAATTTCTTCTTATGGGTACTGACCGTACCCCATGGTGCCTGTGTGCTGAGGATCAAACCTAGGGATGATCCTACCTGCAAAGCATGTATTCAGCCCATCGAGCTCTCTCCCTGCCCCCAGAGACATCTTTTTTCATAAAAGCATACAAGCACTACTTTATATCACTCTTCACTGAAGTCAGCCTCCCAAGGGCCCCATGCTTACATTTCAGTACATCACAAAACCTTCAGTGTAACTGAGACAAAACATATCCCATTGGGTGTTGAAGTTCTATTAATGTTCACACACTGTATTTCTATGCCTCATGCTACACTCTTGTAACATAATTCTAAAGAGCATAGCCCTTCAGTTTTGATTCTGCCACATAAAATCTGCCAACCTCAGGCAAAATTAGGATTTTAAGAAGCTCTTAGGGATAGTAGCACTGTAGCACTGTCCTCCTGTTGTTCATTGATTTGCTCGAGCGGGCCCAGTAACGTCTCCATTGTGAGACTTGTTACCGTGTTTGGCATATCGAATAGGTCACGGGTTTGCCATGTCGGCAAGATAACTCTTGGTAGCTTGCCAGGCTCTCCGAGAGGGGTGGAGGAATTGAACCCAGGTTGGCCTGGCCGGCTGCATGCAAGGGAAACACCCTACCGCTGTGCTATTGCTCCAGCCCCCTTAGGAATAGTAAGAAGAGTAAATGTATACAAAGTGTTTGGCAGATAGGATGAATCCTCTCTTCTTGCAAATACATTGGACACTAAAGAAAATTTTTTTTTTGTCTTTGGGTCATGCCTAGCAGTGCTCAGGGCTGACTCCTGATACTACTCCTCTCAGGGATCACTTCTGGCAGGGTTCAGAGGACCATATGGCATGTCGGATTGAACCCAGGTTGGCTGTCTGCAAGGCAGGCACCTTACCTGTTTTATTATTGCTCTGGTACCAAAATATTGCTGCACTTTTAAAAAATTTTTTACTTTTTGGGGTCACACCTGGCTCTGCACTTAGTAACCATTCCTCAGGGGAACATAGGAGATGCTGGGGATTGAATCCAGATGGCTGCATGCAAGGCAAATGCCCAACCCGCTGTACTGTACTGTGGTTTCAGCCCCAAATACTGCTTCTTTAATAAACAAATTGGACTCCCTCAAACTAAAAAGTTTCTGTCTCCTGGCCCTGCTTGGAGGGACCATATAGGATGCTGGAGATCAATACAGGTGGATTACCTATGAGGAGAGTGATTGGGAACAAGTTATTTACATATACATCTGACGAGAGATTAATATCCAGAATGAACTATGGAATACATACAGGGTGATAGCAAAAAACCAAACCATCAAATCAAAATCTGAAAATCTGATCTGGGCAGAAAATCTGAAGACATTACTTCAAAGAAGACATTCAGATGTTAACAGGCACATAAGAAAAAAAAAAAAACCCATTTTTTGGTGGAGCCAGGGATTGAATTCAAGGTATCAAGCAATCTTGGGCAAAAGATCTCTCACCGAGTGAGTACAAACTCCTTCATCTTTAGTGATCACATCAGAAAAAAGCTTATCAGAACCATGAGGAGGTTTCAGAATGGCTGTATCCAAAAGATGAATCCATGTCAGTGAGGATGTGAAGGAAATATAGTACATCGTCACACCGTCGGTGGGAATGTAGAATGGTGCAGTCTTCATAGAAAATGGGATGCACATTCCTCAGAATGCTAAAATCGCATCTACAAATGATCACTATTCCACCCTAAAACTATGTGACGTAATTTTCTACTTCGCAGATGGAGCTGGAGAGTATCACAGTGAAGTTAGGAGTGGGACAGATACTGATCTCATATGTACAACATAAACATAGTGTAGGACTAACATGGTCAAAGACAACGCAATATGAGAATTGATCTATAGAACTGGCTTACTAAGGAGGGGGCATTAAGGGGGCTGCGGAGACCCCGAGACGACAGTGGAGGGAAGCAGACACTGGGTAGTGCTTGAACGCTGTGTGCATGAAGCCCTAGCATGAACAGTATTGTAAGTCATGATGCTTCAGGTGGAAAAACACTACCGGTAGGCCTAACAAGCCTACTGCTATTTAAAAGCACTAATTCAGAGCCAGGAATAGGCTCAATGGTCTGGAGCACAGGCTCTACATGTAGGAGGCCTGCGTTTGATTCCTGGTGCACCTGAGCACTGCTGGGGTGTGGCCCCACACTAAACAACAACAAAATAGCATTAATTATGAAAAAAATGTGTATTCCTTTGTTCTCAATAGCCAAGACAAGAAAACAACCTTAATCCCCATTATGGATGGGTGGATGCAGGTATTAGAAAAACCTTGTCTTTAGTGACAACGTGGAAATTGAGGTGATTAGGGTCAGAGAAGTCAGAAAGAGTCAACTACCAGGCAGTTTCACATGTGTGGGACATGCCACACAAGTAACAATCAATACCAAATTTCTCAACATTTGATACTGTCAACCATAATCTGAAACAGTCTCATTCTGGTGCTAACGTGTACCTTGAGGTTGAATAGTGTAGTGAAACAACCAGCCACAGCTGATAAAGGAGGACCCTTACTGTGGACGCATGTGGACGCACATACTAAATCCTTGGATAGACATAGGTAGTCTCAAGGCAGTGGCTATTACAATCAGTCATCTTACCAAACGTTATTGTTTAAAAGGACATTTCTCTTACGGAATTTGGGGGGTAGGGTGGAGAGATCTTGCTTTATGTTCCAGGATCACTCCTAATGGTGCCTGGGTGACAATATGCCTTGGCAGGACCAAACGGGTGTTGGAACTGGGATTGGCTACCTGCAAGGCAACTTAAGTGCCTTCACTCCTCGACTATCGCCCTGGCCTTCTGTTTCTTTCCCACTTTCTCAGCAGGATTATCTTAGTGCTCTGAAAGTATTAATGAAATACCGTGTGTACTAATCCTTTGTCGGATAATGAAACCTGCCATAATACCATTTCGTAGCTGTGTTAGCAGAGTAATGGAAGTTCTTAATTCTAAATTGACCAAGTACAATTCATCACCTGTTTCCTCTGGCACTTTTTGTGTCTTACTTTCAATATTTGACAGGGAAAGCTCCTCTCCCTGTTCTTTTTATTTTTTTTTTCTTCTTGGGTCACACCTGGCAATGCACAGGGGTAACTCCTGGCTCTGCACTCAGGAATTACTCCTGACGGTGCTTAGAGGGCCATATGGGATTCTGGGAATCGAACCTGGGTCAGCTGCATGCAAGGCAAACGCCCTACCTGCTGTGCTATTGCTACAGCCCCTCCCTGTTCTTTTTTTAAAGAGCACTTTGACTATTCTTGGATTACTTCCATATAACTTTTAGAATCAACCTTATTAGGTTAATATAAAGAACTCTTAGGATTTTGCTTATACAGTTTAACCAGTGGAATCTAACTTGGGAAGAACTAGTTTTATGAGATGCAAAATCCTCCCATCCATGAGCATGGTTGAATTTCCAGGCCTTTGCAGGTCTTTCTCAATGTCCGTGATCAAAGTTTCCTACCTTCCTCCATAAAGTCACTGCATATCATGATGGACTTATTCCTAAATTCTCTGTTTTTCTTGGTGGTAATAAATGCTAGTGCTGCATGCCTTGTAGACAGTGAAGATACAGTAATATGACAAAATGTTTTAGTTAGAAAATATATGCATAATATTAAAACCATTTCTTATACAATGTATGCCAAAGGCTAATTTAAATAATAAAACCTGCTGTCATTTCAGACTCGCAGAACATACTAGAGGGTCCATCCATTCTCTGAGCAAAAAACACAGGCAGCTGGCACCGTGAGATGTGCCGAGATCAAAGGTTGGCGGCTGGGTGGCCTCATTCCACTATCGCCAGATCTCGGAGGCTGTGGCTCTTCTGTCTCTTGGCTTTGTAGCCTGGACGCAGAAATTCTATCTTTCTCTTCTTGGCTTCACCTTTATTTTTGTGTTTCTTCAGTTTTTTCTTGGCAGCAATATCGGGATTAGTCACAAACTTAAAAAAAAGAAGGAAGGAAAAAGTTTCGATTACTCGAAATGTTAGACCAATAAATATTCAATGCAGAGATGTACCATTTTGTCTACTATGAAACATGAGTGTCATACATGAGAAAGACTCTGAGGGGCTGGAACAATAGCACTGCGGGAAGGGTGTTTGCCCTGCATACAGTCGACCCAGGTTCGATTCCCAGTATCCCATATGGTCCCCCGAGCACCGCCAGGAGTAATTCCTGAGTGCATGAGCCAGGAGTAACCCCTGTGCAATGCCGGGTGTGACCGCCCCCCCCCCCCCCCAAAAAAAAGCAAAAGAAAAAGACTCTGAGCCTCGCTCCAAAGTCCATCCACCCACCCACCCACACACACATACACACACACACATGCACACGCACACGCACGCACCTGCACATGCAGACACACTACATCAGAGAGCACTTACCTCCACCGCCTTCCTCTTTTTCCGCAGTGCCCTCTTCTCACTAGCCTGCTTCTGTACGGAGGAAAAGGCTAATGAGAAAGTCTCGAGTCCAACCAGCTTTTTGAGTAACTCAATGATTTCCTGGGATAGATTCTTCAGCAAAGGATCTAATCACAGAGAGAAAATAAAAATCAGAGACAGTCACACAGGAAACATCAATAAAACCAACACTGTGGACGGCTTAAAGGTCCTCTAGCCCCGTCACCTTCACTTCCTCCACACTGGATGCTGACTTCTGGGCCTCTACGGTTTGTGAGGGCAGGAACGGACAGAAGGGTTGGATGCATCAACCCAGAATGCAGTGACGGACCTGACAGAGCCTGGCTCTGAATCCAGGGGATTTAGAACTTGACAGAATATGCAAATAGGAGGAAAGGGAGGCAAGTTTTTCTCCCAGCTAAGTTCACGAGTCTCGCTCAGCCTTCCACTGGAATTTTTTTTCTTTTAAACATCTAATACTTCTCGGAAGCTGATGACCAGCTGTTTGCTTTCAGCCTTTCCTGTCTCCTCATTCCCAGATGTGAATAACTCACAAGTCTTTGGATTCCGAAGGGCCCGGGACCCCTGAGCTAGACTACAGGGACTGGAGGGGCGGGGTGGGGAGGGCGGGGAGAGGTCCTCTGCCTAGCAGGGTGATGGGAACCAAAGCTGACCTGGGCTTCACCACTGCTTTTGCCTGAATGAGGAAACTGTTTCTTTCTCTGTTTTCCTCCACCCTCTTGCCTCCCTTCTAGTTTTTGGGCTATACCCAGTGGTGCTCAGGGAATCAGGGCTGGCTGTGTTTGCAAGGCAAGTGCCTCACCTACTGTACTACTCTCCAGCTACCAGGGTAAGGCTTTCAAGGTTACCGAATTAAGCACCTGCTTTGACAGTCACTCTAGTGTGCTTTATTACTCTGGCCCTATCTTCCCAACCCTCTGTTCCCTCTTTTCCTATTATCAAGAAACAGTATTTAATTAGTGAAGGAATGCATCAAGCAAGGGGGGGAGGGAGAACAAAAATGGACAAATTTAAATGATACTTGAATTAAAAACTATTTCGTAAAAATGGCAACACACATACTTTTTGGCTCATGCTTCTAAGGAAATGTGACCACAATTTTATTGTGCAGAGTGGTCTAGTGTTCATTCTTTAGTCTCTTCTGTGAGCAGAACACCAACTGTAGGAGGAAACCCCTCCTCCTTGATCTCCAGAGAGGGCAAATAGGAACAGCATCAACAGGTCCCATTTGCCCACTGCTCTCCTGACCGCTGCCTGCTTTCAGTGGACACCAAACCTGGGCAGGAAGAAGGATGGGGAGGCAGAGGGACGCCGGGGAGAGCACTCAGGAGCAGGGCGGCTGCAGTCACCTTGCTCCGCGTACGTGCTATTCAGTTCCCGGAACAGGGGTGCTACGATGCCTGGGAGATACGGCTTCACCCGCTCCGCTCCGAGATCCATAGCCACGGCGCCGAGAAACTTGAAGATGCACGACCTCTGAAAGTACACAGCATCATCAGAAATGCCACAAACAGGGGACTGGAGTGATAGCACAGCGGGTAGGGCAGTTGCCTTGCACACGGCCGACCCGGGATCAATTCCCAGCATCCCATATGGTCCCGAGCACCACCAGGAGTAATTCCTGAGTGCAGAGCCAGGAGTAACCCCTGTGTATCACTGTGTGACCTAAAAATGCAAAAAAAAAAAAAAAAAAAGAAATGCCACAAACAGATGTGGGAGAAGTCTGTGGGTTTTAGGTATGCAATACTTAATTTTAAAAAAAAGGGCTTGGCTACTGGCACAGCTTGCGGTCATTGCCCCTGCCCGGCTCACCTTTAGGAGGATCCTTGGGGAATACGCAGCTTCCAGCTTGGCCATGTGGGACAGCTTCTGGATGAGCCACTGCAGCGTGGCTGGCCTCTGCTGGGCTGCCGCCTTCTCCTCGGCACAGCCCTCCCCGGCCTCGCGGGCCGCATCGTCTCCTGAGGCTTCTAGATCTCCTGCGTCTTCTTTGGGTTCACCTTGATCCCCACCCGCGCCATGCTCCAGCAAATATAAGACTTTGGCCACGAACAACAGATTCTTGACAACCTTGAAAAAGAAAGAAAGAAAAGTGGCAAGGGAGGACTTTCCCCTCTTCAGAGCTGCTGAGAACCAAACTCACACATGTAAGGCACGTGCGCGGCCTCTAGTTACGGTGCTGGCTCCGGCAGTCGGATTTTTGATTTAGAAATGAATCAGATTCTAAAATCAGGCATTCCGGGGCCAGAGCAGCAGTACAGTGGGTGGGGCGTTTGCCTTGTACACGGCGGATCAGGGTTCGATCCATTGCATCCCATATGGTCCCCTGAGCACTGCCAGGAATAATTCCTGGTGCAAAGCCAGAAAACACCTCTGAGCATCACCAGGTGTGACCCCAAAAGCCATTAAGAAAAAAAATAAAAACAAAACAGGCATTCTATAATGTGGACACCAAAATAAATAATGGGGTATTGCAGCATTAGTGCTCGCTCCATTTGGGGGAATAATTCTTAGAGTGCGTTTTGTCTTACAGTGCGTCCAAACCTATTTCTATTCAATGTTCATCCACTAAGTCTTGTGCTACCACTTAAGGTTGCGCAGAATAAGCAATGTCATTCCAGACCATTTATTTCCACTTCAAAGAGAGCTTTCATTCCCCACTCCATTAAATTCTCTCCATCATGCTTGAGAGAAAAAGCGATTTCCATCTATTGAGCAGGAGTGGCTTCAGCTACAACATCTCAGTTCAATTACAAAAACATCCCGATGACAGAGTGAGTGGTCAGCTAGGACTCAAAGGTCTTAAGAAATCAAAGCCAAGTTCTAAATACAGCTCCTTCCTTAGGGAGGAAGAAGACTTTTTGGACTCTGAGCTTTGCTCAGGGGCCCATTGTGATCTTAGAACAAACAGGCTGGTTTACTGAGTCCCTTAACTGTGGCGCCCGTGAAATATCTATCTGATGTGGGTCTTTTCCAGCTGTTCTTCGAAGGAGGAGGCGGAGTTGGTTCTGCGCTCCTCCACAACCCTGGCTGATACAAGTCCTGTGCGTCAAGTGTCCCCCAAACAGCATAGTGAGAAGCCCACACTAAGGCTGGCCTGGATATCAAGATTGAATGCCAGGGGAATAATTTCCTCCTTCAGGAAGTGTGGCCTCCATGGAGACAGGCCCGGATCTGGAGGCCCCTGCCCCTATGAAAGTGACTTCCCATTGCTTGTGCGCCCTAAGATCACCGCAAACTAAGGTCTGTAATTTCCTTCCTGTTCAATACCAGTAACTCTCCCCATCCCTGCCAGCCTCTGGCTGTCCATTCTGGTATCATTTCTTCATCTTTCCTTGTAACGGCTATCCCTTCCTTCTGCAACCTTGCCATACAGCGAAAGCATAGTATATCTCTCTCCCTCAGATACTCGCAAGTGCTCTCTCTCTCTCTCTCTCTCTCTCTCTCTCTCTCTCTCTCGTGAAGCAAGGTATTTTTTATCTGGTATCATTTCTTCAGCTTTCCTTGTAAGGGCTATCCCTTCCTTCCCCAACCTTGCCATACAGCGAAGCATAGTATTTCTCTCTCTCTCTCTCTCTCTCTCTCTCTCTCTCTCTCTCTCTCTGCAAGGTAGCTTTTATTAAACAAAAGTTGCTTAGGAGCTGGAGCAATAGTACAGCAGACAGTGGGTAGGACATCTGCCTTGCAAGCGGCCAGCCCGTTTAATCCCCAGGACCCTGAATGGTCCCCCTGTCCTGCTCAGGAGTGACCCCTGAACACAGAGTCAGGAGTAAGCACCGAGCACTGCCAAATGTGGCCCCAAACACAAAACAAGAAGAGAAAAAGAAACTTGCTTGGAAAGGTGTGAGAGGAATGAAAGTGGGAAAACATGTATTCGAGCGAGAATCCGGGCTTCTTTAGAATAGAAACAAGCACGTAAAGAAACAGACAAGGGAAACATGGGACAACATGGGCTGAAGAGCAAGTTGCACACTGTACTTTTAGGTAAACATCTGCCAGAGGGGACAGCATGACACCCAAGCCCAACCCGTAGCCAGGGATATCATCTTGTTTTTGTGTCCCTGTTTTTAATTTTTGGGGCTTTTTTGACCACACCCAGCGGTGCTCAGGGATCATTCCTGGTGGGTTTGCCCCATATGGGATGCCTACGATTGAACCCAGGTTAGCAGCTTGCAGAATAGAATGCTCTACCCATTGTACTATCATTCTGGCCCCTTGTGTTCCTACTTCGTAATTATGGTTGTAATAGTTGTCAAGAGACACCGTCAAAGGTCTTTCACATCCAGATACCATTCTGTGTCCACTCAACACCCACTAACCCAACAGGTTTATTAGAAGAAGAAAAAAGAATTAGATCCAAGTATTCAAAAGCAATTCACATTTACATACTTAAATGCATTTGTCTCTAAGTTTGTATTTTTAATTATGGTTACTCTTTTTGGTTGTTTTTGGGTCACAGTTGGCACTACTCAGAGGACTGTTTGTGGTGACTGGGATCGAACCCAGCTTGGCTGTCTGCCAAGCAAGCATCTTACCTGCTGCACTACCTCTCCAGTACTATTTACAGTTATATTTTATTCTTCTTTATTATACATTTGCCGGGGGGGGGCACACCTGGGAGCACTAAAGTCTTTCTCCTATCTCTGCACTCAGGGGACAATATGGGATGCTGAGGATCAAATCCTGGGCAGCTACATGCAAAGAAAGAGCCCTACGTGGTGTAGTATTGCTACAGCACCTCTAGGTACATTTTCCAATATCTAAATATAGAAATCATTTTAGTGGTGAAATGATCTCTACTTTTTGTTAGAGGTAAAAGATTCTCAGACCACATGATAGCAAGAGTGCTATTACCTTCTCTTCAACTTTCAAGAGTCAGAGTAGGAAATTCGCTACTACAATTGAAAAACAACCAACCAGTGCCTTTTGTCTTCCAAAGCTCCAATACTAGTACAGAATGCTGAAAGTGTTGATAAAAGATGAATAATCAGCCACCCATAGCATCACATTTCATAGCAAGTTTAAATGAAGCCAAGAGTTTACTAGACTTATGCTTTTTAACCGAACAAGAATGAGTTTATACCTCTATTTCATGAAATTTTCTAAACATCAAAACAAGAAAATCACTACATCAATGAAACGACTCCCTGATGTGAGCCATTTCTAAGACTGTTGGTAGAATCTCCTGAGCCATGAGGATTAGAATACTTACCTGCTCTCCAAGAGATTCATCCAGGAACTTGGAATGCAACTGATGGCATGAGGCTAGGGTGATACTTTTCATCTGTGAAAAGAAGATGGGTATTAGCAAACACAGGGGATTCGGATGATTTTTGTTTGTTTTTGTGCCACACAGGGCAGTGCTTGAGGGCTACTCCCGGCTCAGTGCTCTGGGGACCATGTGGTCCTGGGCTTTAAAGTGGGGCTGTCTCATGCAGACCTTGCACTCCAGTTGCCTGAGTCATCTCCCTGGCCCCATTTCTGGTCATGTTTTGGGGAAAATTTCCAAGTCACTAACCATCAGAGCATAAGTGAGCACTAGCATTTGCTTTGGATGTCTGGCACCTGCCCAGATCTGGAGAGGGAACGCCCATGATCAGAAATTCTGGAACTGTTTCCTTCAACCTGGACTTCCACTGCTGCCCAAAGAAATGAGACACTTTTAAGCTAGGGATGATGATACCCGCGGTTATTTATTTATTTATTTATTTGGCTTTTTGGGTCACACCGGCGATGTACAGTGGTTAGGGTACTCCTGGCTCTGCACTCAGGAACCACCCCTGGCGGTGCTCAGGGGACCATATGGGATGTTGGGAATCGCTCCAGCCCCAATACCTGAGGTTATTAATGATGTTTTTAAAATTTCTTTAAAGAAGGGGCTGGAGCGATAGCACAGCGGGTATGCATTTGCCTTGCATGCAGCCGACCTAGGTTCAATTCTCAGCATCCCAAAGGTCCCCTGAGCACCGCCAGGAGTAATTCCTGAGTACAGAGCCAGGAGTAACCTCTTAGTATCACCAGGTGTGACCCAAAAAGCAAAAAAAAATTTTTTTAAAAGAAATTATTGGTTTGGGGGTCACACCTAGCAGTGCCTAAGGCTTACTCCTGGCTCAGTGCTCCAGGATCAGGTATAGTGCTGGAGACTGAATCCAGGTCAGTCACATGCATAGCAAGCACCTTATTTACTGTACTTTTTCTCCAGTCCCTCCCAGAATAATTTTGCAGTATTAGTGAATAGTCGTGGAATTAGTGAATAGCTTTTGTGATATTCCAGTATTACTTTAGCGAGCAGTTTTGCAATATTCCAGTATTATTTTTTCCACCCCCTGTTCTTCCCCTCCATCCACCACTCATTCAATGTTTATGGAGTTCCTCCTAGAGCGACGCGGATGTTATTTTTAGATCACAGGAAATTCAAAGAAAGATAAAACATGACTCCTAGTCAACATGATCAAATGAGTCTGATTTTATTTAGTCATCGACAAGGTTGAGAAGGACCCAGGGCAGAAAATGTTTCTTATATCTCAATGTTGATAAGAAGGAAACATACAATGGAAGATGCACATGGTGGGGAAGCAGAAGTCTAACTAGACTGGCAGGCTAGGAATTACCTTGAAAGAACCAGGGACTTAGGGCCAGGAGTGACAGTACTGCGGACAGAGCTCTTGCCTTGCACGTGATGTAGTTTCAATCCCCAGCACCTCATATGGTTCCCACCCCCATGCCTGCCAGGAGTGATCCCTGAACACAGAGCCAGGAGTAAGCCCTGAGCACTGTTGGATGTTGCTTCAAAACAAAACAAAACAGATAAATAATTTATCAGCCAGAGCAATAATAGAGCAGGTAGCATGTTTGCCTTGTATGCAGCTGATCGGGGTTCAAATCCTAGCACCCCATGTGGTCCCCCAAACCCTACCAGGAGTGATCCCTGAGTGCAGAGCCAGGAGAAACCCTTAAGCATCGCTGAGTGTGGGTAATCTCCCAATCACACGCCTGACCCCCGACCCCTCAAAAAAAGAGAAGAAGAAGAAGAACCCCCTGAGACACTTTGCAGAGACCAACCCACCCATAAAGCTGAGTGGTTGGCGGGTTCTCTCAGGGCCACCATGAAGGGAAGATGAGCTTTACCTTCTGATCGAGGTCCTCTGTGAGGAAGGTGAACGCAACGGGCTCCGAGCACTTCTTTTTCTTCTTTTTGGCCTTCCATTTTTGAACCAGCTCGTCGGGCTGGCATGCGGCGAAGAACAGCCCGAAGATCTGGGCCGCCGTGAGCCACACCCAGCTGTGCGGGTGGCGCAGGTGTGCGTGCACGTGGCCTGCGAGGACCACAAACGCACTCAGTCGGTGATGCCGCCTCCATTCCCCGGTTATGGGGTCCTCGCTCGGGCTCGCACCTCCACAGGAATGCAGAAGCCTCCCTCCCCCAAACCCCGTGGCCCACAGGATCCTGAGAAGCTGTGCCGCTAGGTTAGGTCCAGAGGCGGCAGGCCCCAGGGTCCAGAACAGAGCCAGAGCCATGGGTCAAGGTGCCCTTGGTACCTAGAATCTATACTCGGTGACAGAAATATGCACACCTGAATACACTTGCTTCTTAACTACTGACACTGGGGGCCAGACTGATAATACAGCAGGTCGGTGTCTGACCAGGGTTCGAGTCCATTTGGTCCCCGAAGCACAGCCAGGAATAATTCCTGAGCGCAGAACCAGGTGTAACCCTTGACCCCATGTCCCCCAGACCAGAAAAAAAAAATTAAAAAAAAAATTAAAACCAAAAAACCCAAAAAAAAAACAAAACCCCAAAACTAAAACAACCCCCTACTGGGATTGGTGGCTCCGGGCAGCTGAATGGAGTGATTTCTTCCTGTGTGCCAGGTCAGGGCCAAGTGTGCCACCTATATGTCAGTAGCTCGTTTTTGACCTCCCAGTGGTACTGGCTGACTGGCATCTGTCTTGCCCCAGAAAGCCAATGTTCCAGATGAGGGAAGTGACATGTGAAGCATTAACAAGCAAACCCGGATGTGGGCCCCAGCACATACATCTGAAATATGAGCCCTCGGCAGGATCATACGTCTGATCCCTGTAAGCTCAATTTCTCTGCACATATCACACATAGACTGAGCAGCGGGAAAGTCTTGGGTGTTGGGGGAAAAGAAGAAAAGGCCTAGAAGAACCATGTCCAACTTGAAATTCTGTCTAAGCCGCTTGCATTTCATGAGCCTGGCACTACCTTTGTTCAACATGAACTTCTGTGATAATCGGGTCAATCATCAGCAGAATCAACCGGAACAGCCCAGGTCATTAGCAAAAGTAACTGCACTAAGGGATGTGATGCCTGCATTGCACACAGCCAGCGCAGGTCCAGTTCCTAGGCAGGCACTGCATATGGTCTCCCTGAGAGAGACCTCCCCTGGGCATCCCAAACAAAAGTAAAGTGAAATGGTTAAAATGATTATGGTACATCTGTATTATGGACTATACCCAGTGGTGCTCAAGGGCTACCCTTGGCTCTGTGTTTAGAAGTGACCCTGGCAGTGCTTGAGTGACGCTAAGTGGAACTGGGATTTGAACTGGGGTTGGTTGCAATACAGGGCAAGCGCCTTAATCCCTGTAGTATCTCTCTAGCCCTTAGCTATTGGAAAGGATAACTACTTACTGTACTATTGAATAGTCGAGTATAAACAATATACAATCGAGTATAAACAACAGGAAACAGAAGTTTAAGAAATTATGTGGCCTCTCTAAAAACCCCTATGATTATTTAGCACAAAGAAAGACTGTACGGAAGTCTACCAAATTATCGTGAAACAGTAAATCAGACTTGAGACAAATGTTTTCCTTTCCTTCCCCCCGACATAATACAGACTTAAGTAAACAAGTCATATTACTTAAAAAATCAAAAATGTGCATAATTTTCCCCAAAAATCATTTTTGCCAATCTGAAAGGCTATTCCACCTTTTCTTACAGACTGTGCTCTGGATGCTCTATACTTTCTTGAGTTACCCATATTCTACTTTCCAAATCATTTCCACTCACTCTGTTATGAGCATGTGCTGATTTCAATAGAGAAAGAAGTACTTACTCCAGATTTTACTCAGAGTCTCAGAGGGCTTGGTGAACTGGATGATATTACAGTCTTTGACGAGTTTGCTTATTAGTGTAAGAAAACTGAACAGAAGACGGTCTGCGGCTTTTTCTTCTGTTTCTTCCATGATCTAAAGACAGGATGCGTGTACATCAATGAAGGCAACGGTTTCACACGATGTACTTGATATTAACTGCATGGACATTTTTTTATTCCATGGGAATCTACTATCGGGATTTCTCAACCTAAGCACATCTCGGGCCAGAAAATTCTTTCCTCAGTTTTATTTGATAGGGCCACACTCAGTGGTGTTGTGTGTGTGTTTGAGACTCCCAGAGCCACTCCTATGATACAGGGACCAGGGATATGGAGAGCCCAGCAGTGCTGTGGACCACCAGGGTCACACTCAGCGTGCATGTCTGTGCAGTCCTGGGCATCAAACTCACATCAAGTGAAGGATGTGCACTGCCACTTGAGTTACCTCCCTGTGTTCTGTGGGGGTTCAGCAGCAATGTTGGTAACAATAAGATGCCAGCAATAAGGCCCACTACCCTCCCCCCATCCTCCACGGTGCCCTTAAAATCATCTCCATGCTAAATGACCTAGGGAGGCAAAGCCATCTTGCTTGGGAATCTTTGGTCTTCATGTACTATAAAAGCTAACGCTACCCTTCATCTTAAAAAGAAAACTCAACTGCACTGAATTGTTACTTCCCTTAATTATATAATTTAATAAATATAAATTATATATATATAATTTATATATATATATATTTTTTGTTTGTCTTTTATGTGGGGGGCCATACCCAGCAGTGCTCAGGGCTTACTCCTAGTTCTGTGCTCAGGAATCATTCCTGGAAGTGCCTCGAGGGCCCATATGGGATGCTGAGGATCAAACTTGGGTCAGCTGCATGGAAGGAAAATGCGCCCCGGCCTATACTATTGCTCCAACCCCTAAGAGAATATTTTGTCTTGTGCACAGATATTATGTGATTTACTCAGCACGTCATCTTGAATAGTATTATAAAAATTAGCAAGAAAAAACACAAAACCAACTTAGATTATTAAAAATTCCCTAGTAAGTAATTTACGTCGTTAAAGTTGTCAGGATCAATTTCCTTCTCAATCACAGGGAGCACCGTTCCAAGTCTTCTCTCAAAGGCAACTCCTTCACTTTCTACAAACAGGCCGCAGACCAGGGCGGCCAGCTGTCTGTTCAAACTCTGCCAAAACAAACAGCCACGGGACAATGTCAATACAACTTGAGAGGCTTTTCCACAGTGAACGCACGTGGATTCTTTCTCCAATATTCATAATGCCAGAAATCAACAGGAGTTGGGTCTCTGAGGGTTAGCATGAAAGAGATCTCCAGAATCAAGGACAACAGTAGCAATTTTCTTTCTTTCTTTTTTTTTGAGTGAAGTAAGATAGTTAAAAAAAAAGTTTATTTGTAGATCGCCGCGATAATAATCATGATAATAATAATGATAACAATAATAATATGTGAATCGCCGTGATTAATGTATTATTCATGTCACATGTTTTAGGCATTCAATGTTTCAACACCAATCCTAGCACACTGTTACCTCTCTCTACCAATGTCCCTGGTCTCTCCTTTCTAGTCTGCTCTCTTAGAGCAAAACAAATTTTGAGAAATTCGAGAAAAACATTACTGAAGCAAGGTAATTTTTATGTTTGTTTCTGGGTCACGTCTGGTGGTGCTCATGTCTTACTCTTAGCTCTGCACTCAGGAATCACTCCTGGCAGTGCTTGGGGACCATATGGGATGCCGGGGATCAAACCCGGGTCGGCCACGGGAAAGGCAAGTGTACTATCTCTCTGATCCTCCCCTCACTATACGATCTCTCTAATTCTCGCCCCCCGCTCTTCCCCCTCTATTTTCTAAAAAACAAAGTAGTTCTTCTTGAATGAAACTTTCTTAGAAAGACATGAGGGCAGACAAAGAAAGGAAATGCATTTTCAAGAAAGAACAGAGGTTTGGAAAAAGCAAGCAAAGATACAAGATACATAGAGACGAGGCAAGCAAGATATGTGCCTGAGGGAGCACATGGGCTTGAAGAAAACTTAAGCTTATATTGATACAGTGGGAATAAATGTGACATATATATAATTATATATAATATAATTATGTGTAAATATTTTAACACTGGACATCATAGTACTCACCACTGGGAAATGGTCAAGTGAATTATGTTATATACATGAAGTGGAAAATTTAGCTTATATTAATGATACAGTGGGAATAATTGTGACATATATATAATTATATATAACTATGTGTAAATATTTTAACACGTTAATATAATATATACACAATAAATATATATTTTATATACTTTATATGTAATATAAAATATATAAAAGTCAGCTTTATTCCCACTGTATCACTAATATATTAATATCATTAATAAATATTAATATATTAGTATCATTTCTATGATACTATGATTCCTCTCCATGATTTCTTATAGCTCCTAAAACTGTAAGGATTCACTATTATGTAATGTCCAGGATGATAGGTACCGCAGATCTGAAAGGTACTAAGAAAAGCTAGCAAGCTGACTTAATGATGCCCATTCCTCACACAAAAATGGTAAATCCATAGGGTTCATCTGAAGCTAAAATGCAATACTCCGGGTCTGGAGTGATAGTACAGCGGGTAGGGCGTCTACCTTGCATGGGACCGACCCAGATTTGATCTCCAGCATCCCATACAGTCTTCTATGCACCGCCAGGAAAAATTCCTGAGTGCAAAGCCAGGAGTAACCCCTGAGCATCACTGGGTGTGATCCAAAAAGCAAAAAGCAAAAAAAAAAAAAAAAAAAAGCAATACTCAAAAAAAAAAAAAGTTGTACAGCATTAGATACAGTATCAGTGTCAGTTCATGAAAATAATACTTTATATGACAACCAACTATAAATAACTTTAAAGCTGGTGTGATGGGCCATCCCTACCCTGACAGAATGGGTGGCAGAGGTGGGGCTTGTATGGTCTAAGGACACACCAACCTTCTTTGCTCCGAACCACCTGGTGACCATCTCGAAGAGCCAGTCTCTCTTCTCCAGGCTGATTTTGCCGAGCAGGGACTTGACGGTCATGGATGCCATCTTCTTGCACACAGCAGAGTCATCGTTGACCATCATCAGACAGAGAGGGATGAAGAACATCCCGCAGTTCTCGTGGAGCAGCCCCTGGGAGAAACACAGGAACTGTGAACATGAGCTAATGGGAATACTCAGGGCTGCCCAGTCAGGGGATGTGGATGGGGGGGAGGGGGGAAGTAGGGGGGGAAGGGGGTTGTCCCGGGGTCTTCAGAAGCCCAGCTGACAGTACCTGAGGGAACGTGTCAAAGAGAAAGGCCAACATCTCCAAGGCAGAGTCTCTCCCCGTCTCGTGCTCATAACTAAGATTAAGGACATGACGGGTTCTTGTTAGCACCTTTTTACACTGGCTGATAATTATTTTTTGTTCAGTGTTTTTAGGTTACACTTGGAAGTGCACAGGGATTACTCTTGGCTCAGTGCTCGGGGAACTATGTGGTGTTGGGGATCATGTCTGGGCATCCCCCACGCAAAGCATGGATAAGCCCATCCGAGTTATCCTTTGAGCCCTAAACTTGCCAATGTTGATTTCCAAACATTTAATATAGGGACCGAGAGCTAATACATGGTTTCAGGAATCTGCTCTGAATGCAGCCAATCTGTGTTTGACCCTGGCACTGCATGTGGTCCCCTGAGCACCACCAGGAGTGACCCCTGAGCAAAGAGCCAGGAGTAAGCTCTGAGCAGTGCTGGAAGTAGTCCCAAACCCAAAAAATGAATAAATGAATAAAACATCACCAAGGTGTTGCCCTTCCCCAAGCAACGGAAAACGGGCTCAGGAGGTGCTGGAGCACATCTTCTATGTGGGGGCCCCGAATTTAGCCCCACATAGCTCTTGGATACTGCTGGGTATGGCCCCAGTGGACCCCGAGCACCCCAGGGCTTAGTAGCACCCAAAAACCATAGCCTGGCTATGCCTGGAGTCTACTGACTCCCCGCAAAGAGCGAAAAAACTCCCCGTCCCCTCCCTTTTTTTTCTCCTTTTTTTGGGATCACACCCAGCGATACTCAGGGGGTCACTTCTGGCTCCGCACTCAGGAATTACTCCTGGTGGTGCTCGGGGGACCATATGGGATGCTGGGAATCGAACCCGGGTCAGCTGTATGCAAGGCAAACACCCTACCTATGTGCTATTGCTCCAGCTCCATTCCTTCCCCCCTTTATCAGGCTGCTGTATGGAAAAGGTTTTCAACTGTTTCCTAAGCAGCCTTCAGCGAGCACCAATGGTCAGACTGAAGCAAAAGGGGCCGGGTGGGTACACCACACAAAGCCAGTGATGGCAGCTGACAAGCAAGGGTCAGTCATTCAACAGGGTCCCACCCTTTGCCCTCAGGAGAACAGTTGAGACTTACTTCAGTTGAGCGAGCACGAACTCCAAGTTTGGTCTTAACTTGTCCCCTAGGGGATAGTCAAGAATGTACTTCAGGAACACCTGGAACAAACATGGATGATGACAAGGGTCCCATTATGCTGGGCTTCCTGTTTCCTAGGCTGTTTCCCAGGGTAGTGGGAGAGCAGTGGAGATACCCATCTCCCACGCCAACTGCAGCCCTTCCTTTCTCCCTGCACTTCAGCGACCCGAGTTGGGTCTCACAGGCCTCCTGAAATCCTCTTTCCTTCCTTCTCTTTTTTGGGCAGTGCTGGGATCACACATGCCAGACAGATACTCCCTCTCCCAGGGAACTCCCTGAACCCAAGAGTCACATTCACACCCAATGCCAAGGTGGTTGTTTTCAGCGTTGCATCTCAACTCTGACAGGAGGGCCATGTGCATGATGGAACATGCCCTGACGGGTTGGAAGTCCAGTGGGTGTGGAAATGTGCTCATGAGTCCCAGGATCAAGCTGCCTTGTGGCGCAGAGCTGTCTCGGAATTTCCTCTGTGCCAACACCTCTGGGCCTGGAAGACCATCTCTACTCACCTGCCTGCACTGCACCCGGACAGGCTCGTTCTGTGCGGAAATTGCCAACTTGGAGACTTTGCGCATGACATCATGTATTTCTGGGACCAGCAACTTTCTGGACAAAATGGCCTTTAAAAAAACCCAAAAGAAAACCCACAGACTCGTCCTGTGTCTTACCGCAGACAGGGGTTAAACAGACCAGATATTCAAGAAGAAACGTGGGTGAAAGATTCCAAAATGAAAGGCTTAACGAGGGTTTAAAATGGCAAGTTTTCTTGGGTCTACTATAGCACAAGTGAAAATAAAAACAAAAGGTACCCCAATCCAAACCAACTCGAGCAGAGCACTGACATTTGACAGAATCCCTGGAAGTCATAATAGAGGTCTGACATTCTGACATTTCAGGGAGTACACAGAACAGCCTGTAATTAAGCGGCGAAATCACAGTCCTTATAAATGACTAAATCTGGGGGTGAGGCGTACAACTAGTCAAAACACGCCATTTCACATTATTCTAGTTATATGGTGCGAGTCTTGTTGGCTTGGCTCTCACATGATTCTGGATCTCCGCTTGGGAGGCCCTTAGGGATTCTGGCGACTCCGTACCTTTAGCAGCCCGAATGCAGTGGCCTGTCTGGAAGTGTCATAGATGTCCTCCTCTGCGTACGCCAGCAGAACCTGAAGCTGCTTCTCGGTGATCCGGTAAGACTTCACTCTCTTCACCAGAATGGTCACACACTGAAAAGTGGCCACAGAGAGGTTGGCAGCTGGGAGGTCCCAGTAGCCCACGGCTGGTGAAACGAACCAGCTCTTCCCCTAAGGTCAGTGTCGGCCCTCAGGCTGTGGCAAACGAATGAATCCGGACAACGCTCTGACCAAGATTCTCACCATGGTGGACAGGACCATGGGGAAAGCTAGCCACGGGCTCACCTTGAAGCAGCTGACCGCTAGGTGGAAATTCTGGCCCTTGGCTGCCCCGAGCTTGGCGTAGTCCTTCAGCAGAAGGAAAAGGTGCTTCGTCAACTGTTCTGCTTTGCTTTCGATGGAAGGTAGCGGGAACCTCAAGACCCAGATGAGGCACTGCAGAGCCCCTGTGATCACCTGGAGAGCACAAGACCAAACCCAGACGCCAGATCAGTTCGGGAAGGGACCAGCCCCAGCCCCGGAGTTGTGTGACATCTCTAAGCACACTCCAGCAGAAGGAAGGAAACACCTGCCCTGAAAGCACTGTGTCCACAGCACGGGGACGGGGAAGCATCTTGGTCCCCGTGAGAAGAACTTGCTGCTTTTCACACGGCAAGTGAAGACGGACCACCAGCAAGGAAGAAACGCACTGACCTCGGCAGGGCCCAGGGCTTACTCATGGCTCTGAGCAAAGGGATCGCTCCTGGCGGGGTTGGGGGATCATATGGGGTGCCAGGGTTTAAACTCGGGTCGACTATGGTCATGGCAAAGTGCTTTCCTACCCTCTATACTACCTGGTCCCACCGTACTTTTAATTTACAAGGTAAGTGACTTGTTGACTTGGCCAATGTTAGGCTCTGTTACTGTTGGTTTGGTTTTTGGGCCACACCCGGCACTGCTTAGGGCTTACTTCTGGCTTTTCACCAGAATTTCTCCAGGCGTTGCTTGAGGGAACTTTATGAGGTGCAGGGGACTGAAGTCAGGTTGGCTGCATGCAAGGCAAACATCCTCTTGGCTAAACTATCCTTCTGGTTCCCATTTTAATTTTTTCAGGGAAAAAAACCATCATAAATGACTTCTCTGCTTTTTTTTTTTTTTTTGCATCACACCCAGCGATGCACAGGGATGACTCTTGGCTTTGCATTTAGGATTCACTCCTGGCGGTGCTCGGGGGACCATATGGGATGCTGGAAATTGAACCCGGGTTGGCCGTGTGCAAGGCAAACGCCCTACCCGCTGTACTATTGCTCCAGTCCCAACTTCTCTGCTTTCTAAAATTGTTCTTCAATCCAATCCATTCTTTATAAGACTGTAGTGTTTGAAAAGACACTCTACTGAGCATTAAGAATACAAAGATGGGGGCCAGAGTGATAGTACAGCGGGCTGGGCCCTTGCCTTGTAGGTGGGTCTAATCCGGTTCAGTCCCCGGCACCCCATTATGGCCCCTCGAGCACCACCAGGGGTTATTCCTGAGTGTGGAGCCAGGTGTGTCCCCCAAGCCCCTCAAAAATAAAAAGGAAGTCATTTCTGTATTTAAGGAGTAGATAACGTGCTCAGAAATTAAGTATGGAAATGACAAACTGTAATTTCATATGGCCAGAGATAGAATCTGATGACAGGGGTTCAGGAAATTGCCTTGCATGCAGCTGACCCTGGACTGAACTCCTGCCCGACCTGAGCATCGCAGGGTGCAGCCTGAGAGGCTGTCAAGTACCATCAGGGGAACCTTGGTATCCCAACACCGTAGAGCCCTAGAAGTGTCATATCCTCAGGCCCTGGCATTGGACTGCTGGCCTTGTTGGCTGAGACTCGCCAGATGTCCCGAGTAACACTTGGGAACTGGGGAGACCTGTTCCCCCTCTCCTGCTCTACCCATGCGCCCCTTATTCCCCGCCCCCCACAAAGGCTAAGTAGTTTGTAAAGGCTATGAAAAGTGCACTGTAGCACTGTCCTCCCATTGTTCATTGATTTGCTCGAGCGGGCCGAGTAACATCTCCATTGTGAGACTTGTTGTTACTGTGTTTGGCATATGAAATACATCATAGGTAGCTTGCCAGGCTTTGCCGTGCGGACGAGATACTCAGTAGCTTGCCGGGCTCTCTGAGAGGGGCGGAGGAATTGAACCTGGCTCGGCCGGGCTGGCTGCGTGCAAGGCAAACACCCTACGACTGTGCTATCGCTCCAGCCCCATGAAAAGTGCATTAGAACCAAATGTGATACTCTCTGGATCTCCAGAAAAAACAGGTTTAGAACACTGGCTTGAAACACAGTTCAGCTTTACCTAGCAGACCTCCTTCCAGCTTTGAATGCTGTGTTGGTCTTTGGGCTGGACAAGATGGGACACACAGGAAAGAAGAACCTGGGAGTGAGAAGTTCAGGGCTTAAAGCCCAGCTCTGCAGCTTTGACTTGTTCAACTACAGAAGATGTCACTTAAGCTCCCAGTTCCTTCTCTGTGACAACAGGCCAGCGGAGGAAGTGTAGACACGCAGGCTTTGAGTCAGAAGGACCAAGGCTCCTATCTTAGGCCTGTGATCTGGGCCAACTCACTTAGCATGTTTTCTCATCTTCGAGGAGAAATACTAGAAGACACCTCCTGGGTCATGATGAGAATACATGAACCGAGTAACAGCGGTGATAGATGAGGATGATGATGATGATGAGGATGATAAGGATGATGATGGTGATGATGATAACCAACATAGGGACACATCCTCTCCCTTAGGAAGTTGTTGTCAGGTTCAAATGAACAATGAATAAATGCATAAATGCTTATTTTAAAACTTATTTTAAGTACTACCCAAGCATATGAAATGAGTTGTGAGGGTATTTAATGCAGACAACAGAGATGATTTGTGAAGTTATCAATTTCTGTTGGGGTCGAGAGATAGGACAGGGTTAATCACTTGCATTACACACAGCTGACCCCAGTTAAATCCCTGGAACGGCATATGAGCAAAGTACCACCAAGGGTGACCCCTGAACAGAAAGCTGGGAGGTTGGGAGTAGCCCTGAGTACTACAGGGAATTTATTACCCAACACCCCAGGCCCTACTAAAGGAACTGTGTGTGATTGTGTGTGTGTGTGTGTGTGTGTGTGAGAGAGAGAGAGAGAGAGAGAGAGAGAGAGAGAGAGAGAGAGAGAAGTTGGAGCTTAGAAGAATTTAATGCAGAGAACAGAGGTGGCTCATGAATGATCAACCTCTTTCAAAATACCATGTGTCACTGGAGCCTAAAATGAAGCTTTGGAGTACTTTGCATGATACAGTGAAGAATAGGCTTGCTCACCTTCACATCCATAGAATCGAGGCAGTCTATGAGGAGAGCCACGAAAGGGTCCAACATTTCTAGAACATTCTCACTTGAAGATTTGATCTTGGAAGTCTTCAGACTCAGGTGCAGCAGCTAAGTGTTTCAAGACAATACGCCATGTTAGTTGCACATAGGACCCCATGAATTAGGCAGAGGTAGAATTCCTTTAAGAGACACACACGAAACGCTTCTGTTTGAAATTCCAGACATATTATAAGAAGTGGATCAACTCTCAGGTCATCTCCCAGTAGGTGAAGAAGGCGGGAGCTCAGAGTACAGAGGAGAGGCCGAGTGTGTTCCCAACAGGAAACAAGTTCATCACTTTGGCATCTGCTCCTGCTCCAGGTGCAGCGGCACAGAAGGACACAGTACTAGCCAAGGTGGACGTGGACCCTGCCCTGGTGGTACTCGGCCAAGAAGACAGACAGGTCAGGGCCCGGGCAATAGTATGGCAGGAAAGGCGCTTGCCTTGCACGCGGCTGACCCAGGTTCAGTTCCTGGCAATCTACATGGTCCCAGGAACGTGCCAGGAGTGATCCCTGAGTGCAAAGCCAAGGGGGAAATCCTGAGCACTGCTGGGTTTGGCCACAAAACAAAACAAGGCAGACTCAAGAGGATGGTGGATGTAAGGGCAGGTGCTATATGAGTTCCGTGGGACCCAGGCGGAGAGCAGAGTGGGTGACTCGACGTCCCCCAGCAGGAGGAGGGTGGTGACGTGACAGAAGTGCAGGGTTGTGCAGCGAGGATGGTACAGCCTGAGGACGGTGCTAGAGTCAAGTGAAAGATGAGGCTCTCTGCTAAGCAAACCGGGAGTTCATAAACGGTTTCCAAATGAAATACAGTGATCAGATTTGTGTTTTCTAAGTTCCTCTTTGAATGGTGATGCAGCTCAGTGGTGGAGCAGAAAAGTCCTGTGTCTGAGTGCTCTAGAATTTACCTCTGGACAAAAATTAGTACACAAAAGCTCATCATCTTTTGAGAAAATTCAAAACCTTTAAAGTAATTTAAAGGAGCTTGTGGGCAAAGCTACAGTGAGACCGTGAAACACGTTAGGCACAAACCATTAATTCTGTTTTATTTATTTATTTATTTTTGCTTTTTAGGTCACACCCAATGATGCACAGGGGTTACTTCTTGCTCTACACTCAGAAATTACTCCTGGCAGTGCTCAGGCAACCATATGGGATACTGGGAATAAAACCTGGTTCGGCCGTGTGCAAGGCAAACTCCCTACCTGCTGTGCTATTGCTCCAACCCACAAACCAATAATTCTGATATAATTATGTCATCCAAGGAAGGACTAGAAGAGATCAATCAGGGAGAGACCCAAACCCAATGCACCTTAAAAACAACAACAATCCATACTTGATTCCCGGTAAGATTTTTGCAGTCCAAAGGACCAACAAAGCAAAGTCAGGAGGTAGAGAGAGGTGCAGACTCACTATGGCCAAACATTTCCACTTTTTCGTTTTGTTGTTGTTGTTGCTGTTTGTTTTGGGCCACACCTGGGGATGCTCAGGGAATACTCCTGGTTCTGCACTCAGGAATTATTTCCGGTCGGTGCTCAGGGGACCATCTGGGATGCCAGGGATGGAATCCAGCCTGGCTGCATGAAAGGCAAGTGCCCTATCCACTGTACTATCACTCCAGCTCACTTTTCCACTTTAAGGTCTTTTTTTTCCCCTTTCATTTTGGGGCCACAACTGGGATACTTGGGGTGGGGGCTGATCCTGGAAAGGCCAATAGAAAACAACAACAACAAAAAAAAAACCCCACAGCGACAACAGAAGAAGCACATGTTCTAAAACACAGAGCTATGGCCCCGTTCTCAGGCTAATTCTTGAGGAGTCAACTGGAAAGTGAGACAGATTTGCAGTGGAAGTTGAAGGCAGCACATACAGATGCGGCCTTAAAATCCACCTGGAAATATTAAGATGTTATACTTGCAATATTGCATCAATGAAAAGAAGAAGAAAGTCGCTACTTACCCGCAGGCCAGACTCAATGAATATGTGCATGTTGGTCTTCCGGCTGACCACGGCCTTCTGGCCTCCGCGAGCAGGAGTCGGGGGGAGGAGGAGGCAGCTTTGAGGGGGCAGCCGTGGATCCGGCGCGGGGACTGCTGGGGCTCTGCCAATCACGATGGAGGGAAAGTTATGGGGGTCAGGGTTCCCATACGCTGCCTCTCTGGGGAGGGTCATGGCGCTATAGCCTGGCGGACAGTCTCCCCCGCTGAGCTACAGACACAGCTGAGGATGCTCTGGAACAAGGTCCCTGGAACAACCCCAGTGACGAAGACTGGGTGGACAGATGTGCAGCATTATCGGGACAAACTGCCAGGGCCTGGCTCCCTGCTGTGGCCTTCCCCAAAGCCACATTCCAGAAGAAGAAAGCAAAATCCCAAAGGAAGTGTGTCAGGAAGGTACTTTTTTTTTTTTTAGTATTTTTTTTTCTTTTTGGTTCACCCAGCAATGCTCAAGTATTACTCCTGGCTCTGCACTCAGGAATTACTCCTGGCAGTGCTTGGAGGACCATATGAGATGCTGGGGATTGAACCAGGGTCGGCTGCTTACAAGGCAAATGCCCTACCTACTGTACTATCGATCCAGCCATCTACAGTAATTTTTAAAGTCCTAATCAATAAGTGGGATGGGGTCAGAGCAATAACTCAGTGGCTAAGGCACCTGCCTTGCACTCGGCCAATCCGGGTTCAATCCCTGTCATCCCACATGATCCCCTGAGCCCACCAGGAGTGATCCCTGAGTATGGCACCAGAGCTAAGTCCTGAGCACCACCGGGTGTGGCCCCCAAACAAAAACATAAACCAAATCAATGGGAAGGATTTACATAACTCTAGCCTAACTCTGATCCAATCCGTATGTAAAATAATGGGACCAGAGCAGGGCGTAACTGCATAACTGGCTGCCATCACACTCTCTCTCTGGTCAGATCAGTGACCTCTCGTCGAGATGGATCTCTTGATCGCAGCATCACCTTAGTAGCATCCTCTTATAACTCAGGTGAATGGGAATGTTCTCATTTCTGCAACTGATTGGCCTGACCCTTGGATGGTGAATGAGAAGATAGTGGCTGGGAAGATCCTCCCCGGGCACAGGATGGGCCGTTCGCTTTTGAACTTACTTTTCTTTCTCTGTTAACAGTGGAAGGTTTTCGCTGACCAAGCCATAACTGAGCAGCAGGATGGATTCTGTTGTCATTTCCTGGTTTACAATTAGCCCCGAAATGATTCGACGTAAAGTTTCGTGAACTTTCCGGGCTAGTTTTAAACTCGTGGTGTTTTGCAAGATCTAAAGGCAAACATAAACATCGCACTGAAGTTTAACATTTGTAGCCAATGATAGTTTTATACATGCCTGCTAAGTGTTCATGGTTAACTTAATTAAAAAAAAAAAAGAAAGAAAAGACATTCTCAGTGATATTTCAAACAAGTATACAAATGCATCCGGGCAGGGCCTCTGGATTTCTTGCTAAGATATGATGTGGTACATTTTTTTTTTTTTTTTTTTTGCTTTTTGGGTCACACCCGGCAATGCACGGAGGCTACTCCTGGCTCTGCACTCAGGAATTACTCCTGGCTGTGCTCAGGGGACCATATGGGATGCTGGGAATAGAACCTGGGTCGGCTGCATGCAAGGCAAATGCCCTACCTGCTGTTCTATCGCTTCAGCCCCACAATGTGGTACTTTTAAGACATCAACCTTTCAAGTACATTAAAGCAGGTGAACAAATCACATATGGAACCAAAAAAAATGCAGTCATTATGCATAGGGAACTAGGCTGAAGTCGCATATGACGGCCAAGCCTCTGGGTTGACACTGGTCTCTGAGCCACAATAGGGACCATGAAAGCCAGCATGGGACTTGGCATCCGAGGGCGGTTCCCTTGCCCTGGGACTGAACACTGAAAGCCTCGATCCCCAGAGGGACTTGGTAACATACATGAAAAAGGTATGAGCTCTGTTGAGACTCTCTCACCCTTAAACCATAACTAACACTCTGAGGTCAGGCCTGGGGTCACTCTGCGGACATTCCAGGAGCGCTGAGTTCATCTAGCAGCAAACCAGTCAAAATCAGAGTTAAAGCATGTCATGGGCTAGTGCCTTCTGCTTTAGTTTTAGTTATAAGGTAAAAAAAAGGTAAAGGTAAAGGCCCTCCCGTTGATCGTCGATTTGCTCGAGCGGGCCCAGTAACGTCTCCATTGGAGACTTTGTTGTTACTGTGTCTGGCATATCCAATACTCTCAGTAGCTTGCCGGGCTCTCCGAGAGGGGCGGAGGAATCGAACTCGGGTCGGCCATGTTGGCCGCTTGTAAGGCGAACGCCCTACCCGCTGTGCTATCGCTATAAAATTCTAATAAAATAAATGAAAAAATATGTTTTTTGAATGCCCACCCCTATGACAGGCAGAAAGATGTGAATTTGATGTGAACTACAGTCCCTGCCCAGAGGAAGACAGAACGAAGGAAAAAATATAAAAGAGGAAAGAGATGATGAGCTTTGGGTCAGAAAGACCTCAGCACTGACTTTGCTCCTTCATCACACCCCATTCTACTTTTCTGAGCTTGCGTATCTCTAAGAAGGAAGTTCCCTGAATCTCATGTCAATCTGAAGAGAGAGTGAATGCAGAGAACATGAGCTTAGCAAATGCCCATATTCACTCTGGCAGCCTGAGAGAACTGGTCCCCCTGGGCCATGTATCAGCGTCTGCAGCCTGTGCTCAAGCATTTCGGTTCCCATCAGTAGCTCTGACACCTGGAGCCGGTGCCCAGCTCAGGTGGTGGCTTGTGACCGAGAGTCCCAAGTCCCGGTCTGCCGCCACGGGAAGGGCTGCAGGCTCCATCCTGAACTCCAGAGCAGCCCCTCTGAGTCCTTACCTCTTTCAGCGGGATGATGAGTTTCGTCACCTGCTCTTTCCCTAGGAACCTGCCCAGGATTTCGTAGGAGTCATAACTCTTGCTGCGTCGGGCCTCCATGACTTTCGAAAGGATCTGCTTGACCTCCTTCTCCTCAGCGACGGCACCGAACAACTCGTGATTGAAAATCTTTAAGGGAGAAAAGCCAAATGGCCATTATGTGCCCTCAGCAGGCCATGCTAACATAAGCTGCTACGGGTTAGGCGCGGCCCAAGTCAGGAAGACACTGTGGATTTGAGACTAGGTGGGGTTTCCCTCTCTCTTCCCCTTTGATTGCAGTTCAGGGACCAATCAGTCTAAAACAAATCTGGGAGGGCCTCGGATAAGGCTCAGTGGGAGAGCTCACGCCCGGCGTCTGTGAGGCCCTCGGTTCAAGACACCACGACAAGGAAATAAAAACCCCCAACAGACACAGAAAAACATAGCAGTCCCCATTTCTTCAAGGTTTTGCTTCCCCCAGTTTCAGTTCAGTTACTGTGGCCCATCTTGGTGTAAAAATATCACAGTACTATTAAAATACTAAGATGCTATGAGAGACCACATCCCTTAGCTTTTTCTTTTTTTTGAAGTAAAACAGATTGTATTTGGAGATTTTGAAGGGAAGGAGGAAGAGAAACTGGGAGAGAGTGGAGAGTAACATGTTCAAGTGACAACCCGGGCTTCTCCAGGGGGCGAAGAGAGCCCCTACACAACATCCCAGTATTAGAAATGAAAGCATGAAAGTACACATCTAAAAATATAGAATGCTTCATGAACTGGCGTGTCATCCTTGTGCAGGGCCATGCTAATCTTTTCTATATCATTCCAATTTTAGTCTATGTGCTGCTGAAGAAAGTGCCCTAACTTAGTGTTTTAAAAACTCAAATTTTTTTAAAAACAAAAGATAGAAATTTGGTCTCTTTTTAAAAAAATCTTTTTTTTTTTTTTTTGATTGTAATTTGTTTGGGTTTTCAGCCACAACTGGCTTACTCCTGGCTCTGCATTCAGGAATCACTCCTGGTGGGGCTTGGGGTGGGGGATGGAGGTCAGGGTGGGGTGGGCAACCCCACTGTACAGTCTCTCCAGTCCTCTCCTGTCTTTTCTGACAGCATATTCTTTAATGGATCTATTTTGTCATTGGTGACACTTGTTAATTTCTTATTTCAATTATATATCCAACTTTCTGTAGGTATGAAATGGACTAAAAGAGTGCAAACGAGGCATACTATTTATACCAAGGTTTAAGACCTCCAAGATCCTAGGAGGTCTTGGACCACATCTCCTCTGAGGACCAGGTGGGATGACTATTTGGAAACTCTGGAAGGTTGTTTTGCTTGCAGGCCACATCCTGTGGAGCCCAGAGGCTACTTCTGTCACCTGCTTGGACAGGGTGACTGCTCCCTGGGGTGCTCAGGGAACACGGCAGTGCAGAGGGTCAAACCATGCACTCTTGTCCTCTGAGCTCTCTCTCCACTCCCTGAAGGTTTATAAGGGGTAGGGGCTGTTAAAAGCATACGCTATAAAGGTATAATATGCCCTCCCCCACACCCACTCACACATACACAGATACACACACACAATACGTAGGAGGGAGATCCTCTGATAATAAAAAAATAGGTTTTCTCTTTTAACAAAAACTAGAGATGTGAGTCATTGGTAAAGTGCATTTAGGAGACCTATGGGTTTGGTCCCTGGCACTGCAATTTAAAAAACAAGAAAAGAAAATAAAAAAAAAAAAAAAGAAAAATTTCTACAAGGGCCAGGAAGAATGTTTGAAAGGCTGAAGCGGCATATGTGACAATCCCGGGCCCCGGGTTCAATTCCCGGCACTGCACGGCACCAAGAATAGCCGGGTATTGCTGGTGGGCCCAGCATGGCTGGGGAAGTCGGAAAGCACAGCCTAATCATAGAGCTGCAGAGGCTAGAGCGCCTGTCTGGCACTCACTAGGCCGCAGGTCTGATCCATGACACCAATATGGCTCCCTGAGCACAGCTGAGTATGCTTTCCTAGGCCCCAACACCACTGGGCCAACCTCCAAACCACCAAGCTCTAACCACTGGGCAGAGGATGGCTGGGAGTGGCCTGTGGGCACCCCCAGCACTGCCTGGGAAGCACCAAAAACAAAACAAAACCAAAAAATGGAGGAAATTCTCATCATACATACACTTTAGTTTATCAAGATTAAAATCTATAACTCAAAATGTTAGTGTCCGGAATTTTAATAAACAGATGCTTATGTGGCAAAATTTGTCTTCCTAATCTATTCCCCCAAATCTCACTGCATATGATTTTAAAAAGACTTCGTTTTCACAATCAGAAATAAAGCACTCCTGAGTGGGCTTTTTATATGCAACCCCTAGACCACATCTCTGATTTGGTGTTTTGTTTTGGGTTCACACCCAGTGATGCTCCTGGCCCTGTCATCAGGGATCACTCCTGGTGGGGCATGTGGGACAATAAGGGGTATTGGGGACTGAATTCAGGTTGGCTGCATGCAAGGCAAGCATACTCCCCACTGTAGTTTTTCTCCATCCTCTAATGATTTTTTCAAAAAGGGGCTCTTTTGAAGCAACTGAAATTTTTATTTCAAAAGCTTTAGATACACAACACCAACTTTCCACGCTTCCTTGAATCTTACCTTACATTTTTTTTTAAGCAGAGCTGGGGATCAGACCTAGGACTCATGCCTGCAAGGCACATACATGAATATTAACTTTTTAAACCTCCGCTAATTTAAAAGAAGAGATGGTGCAAAATTTCATTTTTACAGGCAACTCTTTTACTTCCTGTTTTGTGAACCGATCTGTGTCCTTTGCCCACTTAAAAAGAACTAGAATCCCTTTCTCCAAATCTTACCTCAATCATTATATTTAAGCAGGAGTCCAGATCCCCGACCTGCAGCTTGCTGGTGAGACCTTGTAGTAACATGTGGACGGTGAAAGTCAGCACGTGGACCTGAAACAAAATGCATAAGGGGATGAGTGGGCCAAGACTCACTAGGCTAGAAGCAGAAGCACCATGAAGACAGCTGATATCCTGTCATCCTGCAAGGAGAGCACTGGGGCAGACCACCCCAATGGGCATCACTTGGTACAGAAAATGTTCAAAAGCACATTCCCAGCCCAGAACCTAAGCCTGAACTACCTCAGCCAATGGCTTATAAAGAAAGACACAAGAGGTTTGAGCTTCCGAATCTGTTGATTTGGGAGTGTGTGAGTGATAAATGCAATGAAATAGGATGCAAAAAAAAAGGTTACAAAGGAAAGAAATAAGTCCTGCCTTCAATAGTCACCATAACTAACATTCCTAAGAGCCCACTAAGAGTGAGTCTCAGGGTTCCTACCCCACATACACTGAATCATTTAATCCTCCCTCACTGGATCTAAGGTGTGGGTCTGATTAGGAAGCCAGGGAACAGAGAGGTCACATACCTTGCCAGGTGACACAGGTAGGACCTGAAACCTGTTCTACACTGCAAGGCTGTCAGCATCCTTTTCACTGCTTTCAGAGCTGTAAACTATTGGGCAGTGGCCTGACCACCGGCTAGGGAGATGTCTTTGTGAACTAATGGACTGGATCGCCTTGGGTAGTGCTGGGGATTGAACAGGGCCTCACACGGGCAGGGTCAGCACACCTGGCCCTCGATTTTAAAGCAGCTTCCTGTGTATATACGTGTGATCTTTTAAATACTTTTTATTTAGTTAAACTACTTGCTGAAACTTTATGTATACTTAAAAAAAAATCCTTTTGAGGAGAATAAAGAATGACAGGTAAAGGTTTCAGCAGCGTTTACATGATTAATACTAAAAAACGCACGAGCTCTCTCTTTCATTTTAAGAGTTAATAATTTCAAAATTAATTCAATAATTAATGGATGGATTTGAAGACCAGATGGTTTAGGTGCTGTAGCGATAGCACAGCGTAGGGTAGGGCGTTTGCCTTGCATGCTGCTCACCCGGGTTTGATTCCCAGAATCCCATATGGTCCCCTGAGAAACTCTAGGAATAATTCCTGAGTGCATTAGCTAGGAGTAACCCCTGTGTATTGCCGGGTGTGACCCTAAAAGAAAAACAAAAAGACTAGATGGTTTAGAGGTGCAATTATTTATTTATTTATTTATTTAGGGGCTTTTTGGGTCACACAGAAGTTACTTTTGGTTCTGTGCTTAGGAATTACCCCTGGTGTTGCTCACGGGACCATATGGGATGCCAGGGATTGAATCTGGGTTGACCTTGTGCAAGGCAAAACACCCAACTTACTGTACTATCGCTCTTGCCTTTGGTCCCCAAAGGGCTTCATTTAAACACCCCTGGTGCTGCGGTGCCATGTGAGGATAAGCCCTAACACAGAGATGCTGGCCCAAACCTGTCTGCCGGGCATGCAGCAGAGCGCCTCTGCCATGCTGGCTCAGAGGCTGGGCAAACACAGACACCAAGGGGGTACCAGCCCCAGGGAAGGCGGAGACTCCCCACCCTGCCTCTCCCTTCAAGCACAGCCATCAGGTTAGGACGCGACCCTGCTGTGGTGCTACTAGGGAAGAACACACGGAGTTGAGTACCACCAACCCCTAGGGGAAATGCACTGATGCTTCCAGAGGGAGAGAATTCACGACCTTCCTCTCTCCCACACTCGGGAAGTCTGTACGTGATGGCAGGGAACCGACTCTGGCATTCTGAGAGGAGGGACCAACCAACTCCTCTGCTCTTCTCTTTCTTATTGGCTGCTCCTTGGCCCTTCCTGTGAGCACAGTTCTGCGAAGTGCGTGTGACTAAGCAAACAGGCTGGGCCTCCCACCTTTCTAGCTGAAGGGTGGGCTGCAACAGAAGGGTGATGTTAAGTGTGTGCAGAAAGGAGAGGAGGAGGAAAGAACCCAGCGGAAGTTTTAGACGCAGAAAGGCCTAAATTTTGCGTTTCTAACATGCTCCCAAGGGGTCACGTTTCCAGGCTCACACGGGGAGCTATGAGGAGACAGCAGGTCCCAAGTACCCCCAATTGCTTTGTATTCTCTAATTACTCACACACTCTGTATCCTGTTCCACTCGTATAATCTGGCCCTCCTACTGCTGGGGTGCACGTCACATGCTTGCCCTTCTGGCTATTTCTGACATCATTTGCAGGCCCTAAGATACGGGCAGATGGGCTGCAGGTCGCAGACAAGAAGCACACGTGTGTCCTGTTGGGTACGAGGCCAGACCAATAATTTCATGGTCTTATACAGCCCACAGGCGGGACATTTCCATCCAGCCTAAAACAACTATGTCTGTTCTTTACTGCTGACATGTGCAGGGACATATCCAATATATGCCTAGTAGGAATTTTATTAATAATTAAGAGAAGATTAAACTTGTTATCAAGTGATTTGGAGAAAAATAGAGAGGTTATTTATCCCAGGCTGATAGACCTTAAAAAAAATCAACTTTAGAAGCATTGAAAAAAGCATATTCGGCTGGAGAGGGGGGTTAAAGGGCTTGTCCTGTATTCTGCTGACCCCAGTCCAAATCCTCAGCACCACAGATGGTCCACCCAAGACTAACTCCTAAGCACAAAGCCAAGAAGCGCTCTTGAGTATAAACCAAAAAATAAAATAAACTAAAAAGCATAGCTTAAAGACACTGAATAGAAACTTCTGAATATTCTTGCTTGAATTTATGTTACTGGAGACAGACCCAAAGGATTGAAACTTAGTGTTCAAATGGCAGATATGTGAATTTCAATTCATCTTAGTAAACAAAGCACGTGATGTAACACACCTGATATCCCCGGACAAGGGTGCTCTGTAATTCCTTCAAAATGTACTGTAGGTAATGCACACCCAGATCCTCTATTATCTTTGCCAGAGTGCTGCGTGCAATGTCTCTGATCTCCTGGGCTCTGTTCTTGAGGAGTGCACACACTTTCAGCAAAATACTAGAAGGCGAGACATTTGAAAACAAATCGAATGAACAGAAATCGAGAAAAACCTAAACATCCTTTGTCTCGTAATTGCTTGTGACCCAGGTTTCCCAACGAAGATTCTAAACCACAGCAAACCATATCAGAACTTCTCGTCTCCCTGACAAAAAGAGACTCGCAAGTCAGGGAGGAAGGAGAAATTTCTGAGTTTCCCCGACCTCTCCGAATCTGCCGCGCTACGTACCTTGGCAGATTCGCTTCCAAGACTTCGCGTGGGAGGGACTGCATCAGCTTAACCATGGCAAAAGCCAGGGGAACTCGAACCACTTCTTCGTCATTCACAACCTTCGATTTTATGAGCTTGTGCTCTTCCTCCCTCTTAGTCTGAAAGAAAAAAAAGACAAAACCAGATAAATCGAAATGAGCGGGACCAGGAGCCAAGCCACACTAACCTTCTGCAACATCTGGCTTTTGAGCCATTAGCAAAGGAAATCAAGAGTTTCTCCAGGTGGTCCCCCGGGGACCCTATGTGAAGCTGGGGATTGATCCTGGGTGAGGTGTGTGTAAGGCAAACGGTACTATGGCTCTGACCCCTGAAGATCTGATTTTTTTTGGGGGGGTGAGGGGGTGAGGGGTCATGTTCAGGGCTTATTCCTGGCTCTGAGCTCTGAGATCTCTCATGGTGGTGCTCAGGGTACCATATAGGGTGCTGGGGATAGAACCCGGGTCAGTCCTGTGCAAGACAAATGCCCTACCTGCTGTACTATCTCTCTGATCCTGAAAGATGAGTCTTTCGAGAGAGATTATGTTCATTTCTAAGTTTTGTGTTTTAATACAACAATTATGCCACTTAGGATAACTCTTTAAAATTATAAAATAAAAATGAGAACATTCTTCGTAAGCACGAGAGACAGTTCATGGGGGTGAGGGCATGCGTTACATGCAAGTGATCTGGGTTATGTTTTGCGGAGGGGGACCATATCCAGCAATACTCAGAGGTTACTCGTAACTCTGTGCTCGGGAATTACTCCTGGCGGTGCTGGGGGACCATAAGGGATACTGGGGATTGAACCCAGGTCAGCCGCGTGCAAAGCGAATGCTCTCCCCACTGTACTATTGCTCCAGCCCCGTGATCTGGGTTTGATCCCAGCAATACATGGTTCATTGAGCCCTGCTGGGAGTGCACCCTGAGCACAGAGCCCCACGCTTGGTATGACCCCCAAACAAAAAGATATCAAAACAAATGAAAACAAATTTTCTGTTAAGTAACAATACTTGGTTTTGTCTCTTTTTCAGGGCCAGGGATTGGATCCTGGTCTTTTGCACACAAGGCATGCATTTTACCACTGAGCCACATTCCAGGCCCCAAGACTACTTGGAAGTATGTAAACATCACAGAAAAATCTATGTCAATTGGGATTTTTATGTATTTGATTGACATTATTGGTGTATTAGACGTGCAGTGTCTCAAATAAGGTTTATTCACAACTCCACCACACCACCCTCCCAAAAAAATAATCACCAAGTCAATACATCAGACCAAGCATTGGCAAACTTTTCCCGTAAAGCAACTGTGAGTATTTCTGCTCCATAGTAGCCACTGAAGCTACTCACCTCTGCACCTCATTTACCAGGTAAAAAGGGTAACTGTGTGTTAATAGAACTTTATTTGCAAAAACAGTGGCGCACAGGTTTTTACTTGGGGTGCCTTTGCTGACCCTGAGGAGGAGGGGGCATGCATCCCTTTGTGTGAGCCCGGCTGACTCAGGGAGAGAGGAAGTTTTGCACAATTCGGCAGTGGTCAAGAAGCAGAAAAGTAGAAAAGAGGGTAATTGGTAACAAGGCTTTCTGGAAATGGAACTCCTCTGAGTATGTACCTTGGAGACGGAAAGCAACTAGCTCTTCTATCAGGATCACAGTAAAGGAGAATTCACTGCTTCTTTGTAGCAGTGAATGAGCCTGAAGGTGACCAGTGAGAGAAGTGAAGAAATGAAGAGAAGGAACAAATGAAAGCTAAATTCGACTGATAACAGAAACCTCAGAGTGGCAGGACCCACAAACCCCCAAGTTCACAGGGAACAGAACTATTACCGTAGATGCCAGGCACTTGTGAAGTCTGGGCAGAATATCCCCCGTAATGGTGCTTTGGATGTTCTTAATTGTTCTCTCCAGCTCTTCCTTATTCCGCGGAAGGGTTGCGACGGACGTTGGGACAGCCTCAGCTTCCTCAGCTGCTGTCCCTTCCCCATCAGCAGGCTCAGGGTTCTCCAGGTCTTTATTGTTATCTGACAAGTCCTTACATCCATTTTCCATCTCTTCCTCAGTCATTTGTTCTAACTCCATGACTTCTTGCTCTTCTAACTCAATCGCTTCTATTGTGTCTACGTTTAGAAAACAACAAAGTCACCTTAAATCAAATAAGGATTAGGTTAAATCAATTAGGTTAAGGAGTCTATTCCAAAAACAACTCATAAAAACATCTAATCATCAACTAGGGAGAATCAGTGTAAAAGCTGAGGAAAGAGCAGTACAAAGGAGGGCTTTTTGTGTGTGTGTGTGTGTGTGTGTGTGTGTGTTGTAAAGTTTAGCATCAAATGAGTACCTAATGCCAGAGACAAATAACCCAAAAAATTATAAAACCTGGAGTATAAGTGTGGGGTACTTTGGGAACACACTGGCTTACTGGCGCAGGTCAGTCTCACTCAAAAGCTCTCACAGGATGGTGGAGGAACGTATCTCAAAGAGAATCTGTATTCATGAGCCCACAAATCAGTAGCAGCCAACCGTTCTGTAGAGCTGTCCTTATGGGGCTGGAATGATAGTACGATAGGCATGGCACTTGCCTTGTACACTGCCAACCAGGGTTTTGATCTCTGTCATCCCATGTGGTCCCCTGAACACCACCCAGGGTGATCCCTGAACATAGTCCTGTGCACTGCCAAATGTGCCCGCCCCCCACCCCAGCTCTAACTCCCCAAAAAATTCAAAACAAAAAATGAAATGTCCCTTATGAATGGGTTAAGTTGACTGAAGAACATTAGGCAATCCTGGATGTGGGCTCACCAACTTCAGCCCAATGGCTTTTGAATTCTGTACCACCCAATAGAGTTGCTTCATACCTTGCAAGGCTACGGTGAGACCTAAGTAAAGTCTTTGATGTACCTAAATTATGTATCTGACACACTTCCCAAACCATAATTTTGGGGGAGGGTCACAACCAGCTGTGTGCAGGGCTTATTCCTGGCTCTGCACTCAGGGATCACTCCTGATAGGCTAGGGGAAGGGGAGACCATATGGAACGTCAGGGAACCTGGTTCAGCGGGTAAGAGGCAAACAACCTATTGGCTATACTATCCCTTGGCCCTCTAATTATTCATATAATTTTATATTTATATTGATGTAATTGGACTGGAGTGATAGCACAGTGGGTAGGGCGCTTGCCTTGCACACGGCCAAGCCTGCCGACCAGGGTTCGATTCCTCTGCCCTTCTCAGAGAGCCCAGCAAGCTACTGAGAGTATCTCACCTGCACGGCAAAGCCTGGCAAGCTACCTGTGATGTATTCGATGTGCCAAACACAGTAACAAGTTTCACAATGGAGATGTTACTGGGCCCGCTCGAGGAAATCGATGAACAACGGGAGAACAGTGACAGTGATATCGAGTTTTGGGGCCACACCCTAGGTGATGCTCAGGGCTTACTCCTGACTCTAACTTCAGGGACCACTCCTGAAGGTGCTGGGGGACCGTATGAGGTGCTGGTGATTGAACCTGGCAAGTGCCCACTTGCTGTACTATCCCCATTCCAATTATTTTCTTAAAGTTTCTTTATTGTTAAATGTGTAACCCACACAAATAAGAGTGACAAAATTGGATCACTATGTAAATAATCTATAGTCCACGTATTTTTTACCTGTACATGTCAGACGAGTCTATTTTATTGTTAAATAAGATTTTAAAAAATATGCTACTATTCATTAGAACTTTCAGCTTATTCACTGGTTGTTCTTTCAACTGCAGAAATGGGAAATAAATTTTTACATGTATAATTCATGATTGTCAGTTATAAAAAAACCGATGGAAATCTAGTTTAAGAAGTTTCCAAAAACTTACTTTCACCATTCTGAATTTTTCTCATTTGTTCTTCAAGGCTTTTGTGGTCAAAGTGGAATGCATCTAACACTATTACTAGCAAACTGTTAAAAAGAAAAAGATACAAAGTAATGTTTGTTTGATGTATAATATCGATTGATTAAAAATGAGGAAATTTAAAGACTTACCTATATTAAAATCATGACACATAGAGTACCTTTACTATTTAGTCAATTCTTAGAAAAAGCTCAGAGTTCTATGATCAGGTTCCCCTCAATTTTTTGAAGTTTGAAGGAAACTGCATTGAATATGTAGACTAATTTAACAAGATGTCTTTGCAGTGATAAATCTATTCATTCAAGAATGTGGTCTTTATAATAAAATCTCTCTTGTCCTTCATTATTTTTACTAGATCTAGGCACTTTTTTTTATCTATGGTTTAAAGTATTTTTAATTTTAATAAACATCAACAAAACCCTACAAATATAAAGTAAAAGTTGAGAACATAGGAAAGGTACTTTAAAAAACATTTCAAGATTTACATTAAAAACACAAAACAGTGACTTTGACCATACCTCACACCTAACTTTTGATTGATCTGTCCCGTTTGCAAGACATGAATGAAGTGTTTCAAGTAATAGATATATGCTGACCAGGAGAGATGCTTGCAAATCGCTCCAATAGCTTCAGTGGCAGCAATGGTTATATTTTCATGCTGTGTAACAATAAAAAAGCAAAAGCATCAACACAAAATATGCATTTGCTAATAAAATGCATAGTGAACTTGGTAAATCAAATAGCCTAGACAGCAGGAGATCAGCAACTATGGCAAGGAAGATCCAAACTATAGTTTCCTCCATGTTCTAGGAATTAGAGGAATAACAGCATCCTTTGAGGGCTACTAATACATTAAATGTTCTCTGAACTTTATGAAGGAATTCTGCTCCACTCAGACTTCCCTGATGAGTTCAAGCCTACACACGCTGAATGAAGTTGATTCAATGTATACAATGCCGCAAATGCTTATGTTCATTTAAGCATTCAAAAGTACACTGTCTTAGAGATGCGCTGTCCTGTGTGATGGAGAAAAGGAACTGGAGTCACTTTATAGCTTCAATGAGCAAAGCAGACAAACACATATGAGGCAGTTTTCAGACTCTGGACATCAAATAGTGCACGCCTATGACTTATGAAAGGGAACAAATGAAGTCAGCTGCTAATGATTCTAATTCACATGTGGAGAAAATTGTCAGGTCAGACATAGCACAGGAGAGGAAAGTCAACGGGAAGGTTTGAATCTGAGTCTAGGCAGTCTCCTTGAATTAAGGAGATAGACTTGAGGCTGTGGGAGCTTAAGGCCACACAAAAGAGTGTACAGGGGCCACAGTGATATTGAAAGATGCACAAACAGAGACTCAGATAAGTCCTCACTGGTATAGGAGAGTAAGGGCTAAGGGACAAAGGGTAAGAACTACTGAAAAGAATCAGACAGAACAGCTGTCAGAGATCACACTGGGACAAGAACAATTCATGTTCTAAAATAAGTGAAAAATCATTCGATACACCCAGCCCGTAGTGTCTCAGTACTAGAGCCAAATTTGTCCTAAAGATGAATACATACAGAAAGACAAAGTTTGAGGTGTCAGGTATCTATCAGTTACCCAGAATAGAAAGTGGAAAAATGTTTCTAATGGGGAAAATCAACAGGAAGTGTGTGGCATTCACACACAGCTCTTACGGGTGCCCTCTATAGATTAGCCAAGGTTTGTTCAGCTTGCTAAAGGATTGCATACACTCACAGTACAGCAAATTAATGTTTCAGTGATTTACTTGTTAATAATGTACACACTTAAGCAGTATAGATATAATATTTTCTAACATAAAGCCAATATTCCCTTTCTTAGGGTAAAACACACATTTTCATACTCATAATGGACTGCTCAGATTTCCCCTTTAAATCTCTTCATCTGTGCCTGATTACTGATTTACAATTTGGTAGAATTCTAGGAAATTAGCTGTATTCATCTATCTGTGTGTAGATGTCACTGCTTCCATTAAAAAAAAAAAAACTGTCCCATATGTGAGATAAAAAAGAAATGCAGCCAGGGAACAAAGAATGGTCAAAGTCATAAGAACTGAAATTTTGTCTACAGAACTTAGCTCTTACGAGTCAGGGGAGTGGATGGTTGTTCGAGGGGTCCTTGGGGCACTAGTGGAAGGGTGGTGTTGGAATGATGTATGCATGAAAAGTATAATTAACAGTACTGTAAATTCCAGTATTCAATAACAATGGTTAAAAAAATAAAACTTTAAAAAGTCAAAAAAAAAATAGCAAGAGGAAGGCTTTCAAGGAAAGAAATGTTTTAAAAAGATTACATTATGGGGTTGAAGAGATGGACAGCAGGTAGGGTGCCTGCCACGCATACGGCTGACCTGGGCTCAATTCCCAGGCACCACCCTTGGTCTCTGGAGACCCACTAGAAGTTATCCCTGAGCACAGAGCCAGGAGAAAAACCTGAGAACTGTGCGGGCATGGTGTAGGCACAGCTATCCGCCCCCCCTCACCCCCCCACCAAAAGAAATGTTGTGAGGAACAAAGAATGACTTCTTGTAAGAAACAAGACAAACCAAAAGAAAACAAAACAGTATTTTTAACATACTGAATGGAGGGGTTATTAAACCTCTCAACCTAGATTCCCAGGGGCTGGAGTGATGGTACAGTGGGTAGGGTGTTTACCTAGCACATGGCCGACCTGGGTTCGATTCCCAGCATCCCATATGGTTCCCTGAGCACCACCAGGAGTAATTCCTGAGTGCTGAGTCAGGAGTAAGCCCTGTTCATCGCCAGGTGTGACCCAAAAAAGCAAAAGAAAAGAAGAAAAAAAAAATCTAGATTCCTAGCCCAGAAACATTGTCTTTCAAAATCAAAGTTGAGGAAAAAAACAGACAAAAACAAAAAGAGTTAGACAGGTAAGGTAAGGTACTTGCTTTGCATGTGACCAAGCTGGGTTCTATCCCTGGCACCTGTGTTGGTCCCCCAAAGCCCTGTCAGAAAAGATTTCTGAGCACAAAGCCAGAAATCAGCCCTGAGCACAGCTGAAGTATGGTTCCAAAACAAAACATAAAAACAAAAACCAATAAAGCCCTAGAACAACTAATTATCAACAGAACCATTACTACAAAAAAATTCAAGAAAGTCTTCATGTCAGCAATTAAAAAAAACTGGGTCAATAACGTGAAGGGAAGGAGATACAGCATAGCAAACAAGGTACTTGTCTTGCACTCAGTCAGCCTGAATTCAGTTCCCAGCACCCATATGGGCCCCCAAGTACCAGCAGGAGTGATCCCAGAGCACGGAGGCAGGAGTGAGCCCTGAGCACCACTGGGTGTGGCCCCCAAACAAAATAAATAAAGTAGAACCACATAAGAGAATGACGATTACTGGAAACTGTAAACATAAAAGCAAATGCAAAAGGTCTTTTCCTTATTAAGATTTGAAAAGAAAATACTTGCTTAAAGGCAAAAATAATTCTTACGGTGTAGGTTTTAACCAATGTAGAGATTAATACTTATGATAACTGCTAAGTCATGAGGGAAAAAATAAAATCATAAAAAACATAACTAATCCAACAGGAAAAGAGGAAAAAGAGGAGCCCGAGTGATAGCACAGTGGATCGTGCTCTTCTCTTGCCATGCATGTGGCTGAACCTGGGTTCAATCCCTGGCACTCCATATGGTCCCTCAAACACCACCAGGCAAAATTCCCAGTCTCAGAGCCAAGAGTAAGTTCTAAGCACAGACAGGTATATGCCTTTTTCTGCCAGCCTCCAAAAGAAAGAGGAAGGGCTGGAGTGATAGCACAGCAGATAGAGCGTTTGCCTTTCATGTGGCCAACCCGGGTTCGATTCCCAGCATCCCATATGGCTCTCCAAGCACTGCCAGGAGTAATTTCTGAGTGCAACGCCAGGAGTAACCCCCTGTGCATCTCCGGGTGTGACCCAAAAAGGAAAAAAAAAAGAGGAAAAAAGGGGGAGATGGAGCAAAAGGAAAATAAAACCACAATTGTGTATGTTAAACCTACTCCTATTACCACATTAAATGTAAATGGTCTAAAAACTAATTAAAAATAGGGGTGTCAGATTAGACTGAAAGAGAAGGATCTAGTTATAAGCTACCTAAAGAAGAAATAAACTTTAATTTAAAGTTATAGACAGGCAAAAATAGGGGCTGGAGCAATAGCACAGCAGGTAGGGCGTTTGCCTTGCATGTGGCCAACCCAGGTTCGAATCCCAGCATCCCATATGGTCCCATAAGCACTGCCAGGAGTGATTCACCAGGAGTGATTCCTGAGTGCAAATCCAGGAGTAACCCCTCAGTATCGCAGGTGTGACCCATAAAGGAAAAAAAGGCAAAAATTATATTAGGAATCAAAGCAAATTTTAAGTTATGCATTTCATTTATGTCTCTAATTTTACTGCTACCATGCTCTGTGCTGGTTGTGTTTGTTGCTCTTTAAAACAGATTTGTTTTGGTTTGGGGGCCACACCCAGTGGTGTTCAGTTCTGGCCCTGCACTCTGGAGTCACCCTGGCAGAGTTTGGAGAATCATATGGGGTGCCGGGGATTGAATCTGGGTCACCTGCATGCAAGGCAAGGGCCCTGCACATTGTACAATCTCTCCAGTCATCTTCAATACAGAATTTGAGGAAGAATTTCTTTCTGTACTTAAATAACTCTTTAAAAAATTTTAATATGCTGAAATTATAGAGAAAACTATCCTTAAAGAAGGTCATGTAATCAATCCAGTAGAAATTCAAGTCTCAAATCCTAATACTGGAGCCAGCGATACAGTACAAAGGACTGGAATGCATAGTAGGGGCCCAGGCCTGATCCCTGACACCTAGCCTCCTTAGCATCACTGCTGGGTGTAGCCCTGGAGGTCACCAGCACCACAGAAGTCCCCAAACATCAACAAATCCTAGTTTATTTGACAGAATAATGAAACTTATGTACCATTTTTCATTAATCTATTTAAAGCAATACTTATCTAGTCTTTCCCATGCACCAACACCATTTTATTATAATGATGAAGAACATCCTGAATTCCAAACCTTGTTCTGATTCTGGTATCTCTGAAAAAGTTTCAGAACCTCGCTTATTCTCAGTTATACTCTCTTCTGCACTAGTGATAACAGATGTGGCAACATCCACAGGGCTAAACTGTCATGAGAATGAAGATTACATGTTAAATAACAAAAAACAGTGGTAGGTTCTGAATAGTGCTAAAAGAATGGCAGCTATTGTTTTCTTTCTCTCTCTTTTTTTTTTTTTGTTCTGGAGTCATACCCAGCGATGCTCTTATCTCTGCTCTCAGGAATCACTCCTGGCGTGACTCCGGAGACTACATGAAATGCTGGAGACTGAACCTGGGTTGGTGGCCTGCAAGACAAGAGCCTTACCTGCCGTGCTATCATGACATCACCATGGATACTACCAACTCATCCACATTCTTGGAAAGCGTGTTGTGGCATGGGCCGGGGTTTAATAGCGGCTAGATTTAATACCTACCTTGAGCAATTTCTCATCAAAAATCGGAGTCATGGCATAGGGCATGATGTAATTCTGCAGAGCTTTAGAAGACAGCACGGTTTTGCCTTCCATGAGTTGTTTTGCCAGTTTCTTCAAGGCTCTTGCTCTTCTGTGGATCTAGGAGGTAGGAAAGAAGTGAATGCACTGCAGGACTGTTTTCTTTCTTTTTGCTTTTTTTTTGTTGTTGTTCTGGAGCCACACCTGGTGGGTGATGCTCTGGAATCACTCCTGGTGTGGCTCAGGGAGGTAGGCTCTGGGATGCTAGGGATCACCCTCAAATAGCTCCAATTCAGTACCATGTTCGGGTGGATCATGAAGGATTAAAGGAATGAAATACAACCCACATGCTACAGCTTAGCACATCCATGTACTGCACTGCTTCTGGATGCAAAAAAAAAAAAAAAAAATCCACAGCGTTTGTTTAAAAAAAGGAGCCAGTGGATTTATATGTCTTAGGCAAAGGTGACACTGTGGTTTGAGGCTGATAACACACATTCCATCCTTTTGTACTATATCGCTAGCTCTGATATTAGGATTTGAGACTTGAATTTCTACTGGATTGATTATATGACCTTCTGTAAGGATAGTTTGAGGCTGCTACCCTGATACCACCAGGGAGATCATAACCTAGGAAATGAGTATTTATTCACAGTTGACTACTGACCATGAAGATCAAGGCATAAAACTTGATTTATTTTACAAAATTATTTTATCATTTACTTTATAATTTCTAAAAATTAATGATTTTGGAAAATAGCATCTTCTTTTTTTTTTTTTTTTTTGCTTTTTGGGGTCACACCCGGCGATGCAAAGGGTTACTCCTAGCTCCGCACTCAGGAATTACTGCTGGTGGTGCTTGGGGGACCATATGGGATGCTGGGAATCGAACCCGGGTTGGTCGTGTACAAGGCAAATGCCCTACCCACTGTGCTATCACTCCAGCCCCTATGTTCTCCTTCTTTTTTTTTTTTTTTTAATAAAGCAGCACCGTTTCAAACGCTTAGCTTACAGGGAGAAAAGAGGACAATTTTCTACCTGAATGTGTTTCATATTTTCAAAGAAGTCCATTTCCGGATCATGGCAGTCAGTCAGCTGTACCAACTCTTTAAATTCTGGTTGATTTGGGAAGGTTTGAATTAAACAAGACAACAGTGTGGTGTAATCATGTTGAACACTCTGCAAATACCAAGTTCAGGGGGAGGAAAAATTATCGTTTTAAAAAGAATTTGCTATCTAGAGAACATAAAGAATCACTATAAATATGCACATTAAGAAAAAAAATTTTTTTTTTTCAGCAAAACATTCGCACTGTAAGAATGAATAAACTAGCTTGGAAGAATGCTAAAGCTGCTGCCCCATCCCAGGCAGACCATCTCCAGGCTGAGCACTCCGCATTCTCAGGACTGGGACTGGCAGATTGCCCTTCCTGCCAGAAGACCCACAGCCCACGCCCACACCCGGCATCCTCTGGCATAGAAATGGCCCAGCTCCACATCCAGCTGCCGAGCGACCAAATCGTTTCAGTTTCAGTGCTCCTGGAGCACGCGGCTGCATACGCAGCCCGGTGACATCTCCACATTTTATAGCACTGACAGCCCCGTAAGAGCACAGCAAATCTGATGGGCAAGTTGTGTCGAAGGCCACCAAACTCAGTGAGCGAAAACAACAATACAGAAAGCTCAGCTAGTACCAACCAGCCCAGTAAATGTTCAGAAAATGATTGTAGTAGCACCACTGTGAGATACAACAATGATCACAAATTCTCTCTTATTGATCTCTTTTTGATCATTCCACTTGCTGTTTCGTTGTAATAAGCAATAGGAAGTGAATTTATTTGTGCCTGCTAAGGGGGGCAGGCTTGGGTGGTGGGTGGGAAATTGGGGACACTAGTGGAGGGAAGGTCACACTGGTGGTGAGATTGGTGTTGAGACATTGAATGCCTGAAAAAAACTGTATTATGAACCACCTTATAAATTATGGTGTTTAAATAAAAGAGAGAAAGAGAATGAACTATATGCAACGAGAAGCAAGTGTTCTCCTTTTCGTTCTCAATCTCCTCTTAAAGCGAACGGCAAATATTCAGGAAGTAGCAATATAACCACAGATTTTAATTAACTGTATGAAGGCTGCTTTTCTACATAGTAATGGTAGTAAGGAACGTAAACTACAGCAGTCCCCAAACCAAAGGAAGACAGAAAATACAGGAGAGAAACCCCAGTACCTCCGTCTGACTCTTGAGTCCTTTCCTCAGTCTCTCCAGGAGTGAACGGTGAATGATTTCTCTGTACTCCTTCTCTGTGGCGTTCAAGGCAGCCAGTTTCCGGATGATGCTCATCAAACACATGCTGGCGTTATCACTTAAAGACATGTCCCCTAGCTGGAAGCAGGAGAAAAAGTCCAAATGACTCTTGTGTTGTGACAATATTAGAAAGTGACATTTCCCAGCAGAACCGCTGAGAGATTTGTGCCGCAGCTCTGTGTAAAAATCCTCCCAAAGAAACGCTCCGCAGGCCTTCACACCTGAGGAAGAATTGACTAGAATTGTGAAGAACAAACGGCCGAAAATTCATGCTCACGGAGAAGTACCATTTCACTTCAGGTAAGAGCTCAGCGTGAACATTTTGACTCGCTCTATTTTAATTTCAAAGCACACAGCAGAAGGGGGCACCCTGAAGCCAATTTTTCGTATTTAAAATACTACATCGCGGGGCTGGAGAGACAGCACAGCACGTAGGAAGTTTGCTTTGCACGCGGCCGACCCGGGTTCAATTCCCAGCATCCCATATGGTCCCCTGAGCACCGCCAGGAATAATTCCTGAGTGCAGAGCCAGGAGTAACCCCTGTGCGTCGCCGGGTGTGATCCAAAAAGCAAATAAAATAAAATAAAATAAAATACTATATCACTGAAAATGACAGCACTGGCTGCTAGGATGCTGGTCAGCTGCTCTGCAGGTCCTGGAGAAACATGGAGGTGGTGAGTGGACAGGGGATTCCCAAGTCAGTTGTCCAAGCAGTGAGTGGGACTCCTTGTGAAGTTAAAATGTGAGGATTTTCTGTTCTTATATTTTGGGGGGGTCATACCCCAGTGATGCTCTGAGGCTACTTCCTGGACCCCAAAATGTGAAGTTCTGAAATTTGGCATGAGATATGAAGAATAAACTCCCCGTCGCCTGCCTACAAAACAGGGGCGTTATTTTTTCTAACATGACATAAATCTAAGTACCAGATGAGTAAAATGTCACATGCATGATGCTATACAAATACCGGATGAGTAAAATGTCACATGCATGATGCTATACATGCTCAACTACCACCGGAATTTTTTGTTTCCCATTTTTAAGTTTTAATTCAGTTCAGCAACAAGTTGCTTAATTTAGTCCCAGGCTCTTTTATTTCTCCTGTACAGAGCGCTTTTAAATAACTTAAAAGATGGGCAATATAACTGATATGATAAAACTCACTCACATACGGTGTACCTGTCAGTGGTTTTTATTATGCTCACAAGGCCACCACCACTCTCAGACTTCAAAATGTTTCCATCACCACCAAAAGAAACCCTATATTCCTCAGAAGTCTCATCTTCCCTCCTTATAGCCCAGGGACTCCTTCATTTCTGTTCTGCCTCTGGCTTTGTTCTTGTCTACTATATAAGCTTTTAACTTTTCTTTCTGGACAGGGATGGCAGCAGGGGCCTCCCCAGCAGTACTCAGGAGTCCAGGACCTCACACCTCTCAGCATTTCTCAGCCAATCAGAGGACATGAGAATGTGATGCTACTTAAGCCCTGCATGCTGGAATTTACCTGGGCTGCCCTAGCACTGCTCAGGGGGCCTTCATGGCTCCCCCCAGAGCTCCTCAGGGGGCCCGATGGAGCTGGGAAGCTCACAGCGGTCGTCGGCTACATGCAAGGAGGTCTTTAAGCCCTGCACTATCTCTCCAGCCACTTAAGACTTTTTAAAGTGCTAACACATATACTACTTTATTCGAAATATTCGTCTTTCAAATCCCAGAGTATCAGTTTTCTGCTAAACTTTCAAATCCCGAGAAGTTTTTTGCTAAACAAAAAATCCTATGACAAAAAAGGAATTTATTTTTCATTTAAGCAAACCATTTTTAATTTTTTTGGTTAAATTTATTTATTGAATCAAAAAAGAAAATTTTTTAATTAAAAATTTAGATTAACGACCCTTCACAACCCACCAAAAATTAAAAATTGGGTTGTATAATCAAAATGAAAAGAAACTCACAAACCTACCTCCAGGTTATAGAAACAGTTATGCATAACTGGGATTAGATAGTTGACATCCACAGTTTGCATTTCTTTAATGTAGGAGGTGATGTCCTGGAATGCCGAGAAGCGAACGTCAAAGTTGATGTCGTCAAGATGTCTTTGATCAAATGCATTAAGCTACAAGAAATGGCATTGAAACCATGTAAATAAGGGTCTACACAGCAGGCAAAAACAGTGATTCTTGTTAAGCCAGCGAGAAAACATTTTCTTTCTTACCTTGACAACTTCAGTCACGTACTTTAAGTCACTCTCAAAATCAGAAAGCATCTAGAAGGAGTAAAGACAGAAGATTTTAGCAAACAGATGCTCAAGATTTCTTCCCTGCTCCCTTTGGTCCCTACTGCTCTCGATTCTACCAGGAAACATCAGAGTATCAAGAAGGCTGCCAGCAGGCATTGCATGTCATAGTTATCTGTTTGAAAAAAAAAGGGGCAACAGGGCTGAAAATGACTATTGCTGACCTGGAAAACTGTACAAAGCAACTGTCTTGACAACTTGTTCTTAATGACAGAGAAGAGTTTTGCTAGCGGTTTGAGGAAGTTTGTAGGCTCCAGACAATGCTTCAGTAGATTTTGTATTGTCACTAGAATATCCATCTCTGTATCCTTAAGAAGGAAAAGAGAAATCATACCTCAGTAATTGGTAAAACAGATTCACTTGAACATTAGTCTATTATAGTACAGAAAAATAAAGTAATCAGGAACACAAAGTCAGAGGAAGCAGTGATTGGAAAAATTATTTTGATCTTTTCAAAGTTTTTGGTGTTTTCATTTATAAAATTTGTAATAACAACCAATAGAGTTTTTTTTTTTTAATTCAACTAAAATATGCATGCTACTGAAATGAGCTATTCTGTGTCTAACCACCGTCCCCCCCACGCCACCCCCCACCCCATCAAAAAAAAAAAAAAGAGTATAGGGCTGAAGTAATACTACAGGAGGTTACAGGAGGTAGTACATTTGCTTTGCACATGGCCAACCTGAGTTCAATCCTAGCATCTTATATCATCCCTCAGCTCTGCCACAAGTGATCCCTGAGCGCAGAGCCAAGAATAAGTCCTGAGCACTGTTGGGTGTACCCCCCTACCACCACCAAAAGTAAGATAAAATAACATAAACAAACAAGCAAGAAGAGTACAAAATTAAGCTTACTAAAGGAAAATATACATTTCTGGTTTGGGTTATCTAGAGATGTACTGTCTTCTAAGACATATAACACAAACTACTCCGAAATAGCCTTCAAAATGACTGAGCAATGCGAAGGCTCTTTTAAAGTAAAATAGACTGAGCTAAAGTTGGAAAGTTGTATCAATGAGCTGGAGAGACACTACAGAGGTTATGGATACCCTGCACTGCATGATAGCCCCCAAGCACTGCAAGGAAGACCTCTGAGCACAGAGCCAAAGGGAGCCCCTCCCCTGCCAACAGTGTGCGGCCCAAACCCAAGCCACTCCCCCTCCCCCAAGGAAATCATATTAGAAACTCTTAACTCTGTTTATCTGAACACTTGAAGTCTAAAGACAGTTTTGGCTCATCTGATGGAGCATATGCCCTGAGCATGAGGCCGTAGGGGCAATCCCCGCACCCAGGCCTTCGCCAGGTAGGGGCCCTTAAGAATTACAAGGGCCAAGGCTGGTTATGGCCCCCACAAGTGCTAAACACAACAAAAATAAACCGAATCAGCCTGACTGTTCATGCCATCTCCCTACTGCCATCCATATTTATACAATATATTTACATATTCACACAATCGCACTGTAGCACTGTCGTCCAGTTCTTCGATTTGCTTGAGCGGGCACCAGTAACGTCTCCATTCATCCCTGTAGCATGCTAGTGTAGCCCAATGGCATCTGCTCTCTCCAGGAACACGAAGTGAGACTTGTTGTTACTGTTTTTGGCATATCGAATACACCACAGGGAGCTTGCCAGGCTCTGCCATGTGGGCAGAATACTCTTGGTAGCTTGCTAGGCTCTCCGAGAGCGATGGAGGAATCGAATCCGGGTCAGCTGTGTGCAAGGCAAATGCCCTACCCGCTATGCTATCGCTCCAGCCCATTCACACAATATAAAAATATTATATATATAATAAAGCATAGAATTATATGGCCTATATAATATTGTAGTATTATATAATGATGCATTATATAATAATCACAATATGCAGATGATTATATTATATATTACATAATAACATGTAATATTATGATTATATTATACATTATATATTTATACAACATATTTATTCTTGGATATCAGATTTGTAAGGAATCAAAATCAGCACTGGAGGAATGGAAATCCTGAAATGAATGATGAGGTAAACAAAGGGTAAAAAGGGGACTGACACTTGTCAAGGCAGAAGATAATGTTTTCAAACCACTGCCTCCTACTATTCCTATTTCTGAACTCATTTTGCTCCATGATTTTCATTGTTCATGAAAATGTCTAGGGACAAAATACCCTTTCAAGACAAAGTAAACGCCCAACAACGTCTCTGTACCTGAGGAACATTGCCACGGTGGAGGAAAGGAAGTAGAAGTGTAATAAGAACCGAACTTTGCTCTTTGTCCTTCATGAACTTGCTGATCCTGTGGAAGGAAAATAAAAATACTGCTCTGTAAGTAAGGCTGATAAACAAAAGTTTAACTCGGTTATTCAGCAAAGCCCCCTCTAATGTCTCCTCAGTTTGGGGCTCAGAGCAGTTATTCCCATTCCTTTGCCATATCTGAGATGGGTAGAGAAAGTAGCACAAACTTTGAGAAAATCTGGCACAATACGTAATTTCTTACTTTGTAGGAAAACAACAAATGCCAAGGCATCTTGAAGGCCCTCTGCTCCTCTGCTCAGTCTTTCAATTTAGCTGCCAAGCTCTCAACAAACGCCACTCATGAGTGAGCAGCCCTATTTTGCCCAGAGAGGTTGCTGCCTCATAAGACGGATGTGGTCGAGCCTCTCCTAAGCCCGCTCTGCCTGTGCTCATCTCACATCACTCCACTGCCACATCCCCTGGCATACAATCTGAAGAGTACATTTTTCACTCAGCACAACTCAGAAAACACAATACTATGCGCAAGACGTTTAAAAGGAGCTTCTGGAAGCTTCTAAATTATTTGCTGCTTTTGTAAAAAGTAATAGAAAAAAAAATGTTCAGTGACTAAGCCCTGTAAAAATCCAGGTGGAGTCTACCGATGCCTCCTTTTTCATAGACTCTGGTTTACCAATCAGGCACTGTTCTAGACATCACAACTCTGCTGGGCTTAATACAAAGAGTCTAGCGCAAAACAGGACAAGAGCTTCTTCCCTCCTAAGAAACAAAGCAGATGAGGTCGGGATAGCACAAAGGGCTGGAGCTCACGCTTCAAGTGTGCTCAGGTGCCATGGGGTACCCGCAGCATCAGGGGATTCCCCCCAAGCACCACCCCGGGAGCAGCCTCCAGTACTGCCAGGTGGGGCCTCCCCAATTGAAAGAAACAAAAATAAATCCCCATGCAGAAGTTGCTCTTTTAAAATGATTGTCAATTAAATAAAAAATGTGATGATATAAAAAAATCTAATTGAAAAGAACAAACAAAGGGGGCTACTCTCTGTAGTGCACAGGGGCCGTGCGGTGCTAGGGGCTGAACCGGGCCTTCCTGCAGTGGGGTCTACAGCTTCTTCACACCTCTGAATTTTTTTTTAAATTTTTTAATTTTTATTAGTGAGACACCATGAGGTACAGTTGTAGACTTACAAATTTTGTGCTTGGGTTTCAATTATACAATGATCAAATACCATCCCTCTACCAGTGCCCATTTCCCACCACCACGGATCCCAGTATCCCTCCCATCCCCCCATTCTCCCATCCCACCCTGCCTCTGTGGCAGGGCATTCCCCTCTGTTCTCTCTCTTCTTTTAGTTGCTGTGGTTTGCAAAAGAGGCATTGAGTGGCAATCATGTTCAGTCTATAGTCTACTTTCAGCATCACACCTCTGAATTTTAACTGAACAAAATGTGCAAAGGCTAAACAAGCAGACTTGTTAATATGCTTTAGAATCTTGACGCCTTTTCTTTCTGATTAAATAAAGGCAGATGCCACAAATGGTTTCCAAAGAATATTCCAGCAGAGAAACCACATTAGAAGTCCACGTTAATTTAAAAAGGAAGGGCATTTCAGAGATTAGAAGTCTTTTTGGGGGGTGGAGCGATAGCACAGTGAGTAGAGCATTTGCCTTGCATGCGGCTGACCCAGGTTCAATTCCCAGCATCTGATATGGTCCCCCGAACACCGCCAGGAGTAATTCCTAAGTGCATGAGCCAGGAGTAACCCCTACCCCTGTGCACTGCTGCATATGACCCATAAAGAGGAAAAAAAAAAAAGAAATCTTTTTAGCTTCTAGTATTTTTTTAAATGTCTTAAAAAACACCTGAGGGTCCAGTACTCGGCCAGGCACCTGCCTTGCGTATATCCGTATTGTGCATGTACAGAGCACGTGGGCGCAGGCATGCATTTACCTAGCACCACAATGGAAAAGAAAGAAAACCAGATGTAACAGAAACACATTAAAAACAGGGAGCGTCATTTAGTACCCACGTATCACTTACTTGGAAAGAATGCCGAGTTCCTTACTGACTTGGGCCCTATTCTTTTTCTTTTTCACCTTTTCTGCACTTATTGTGGTGTTGCTGAGATACTGGAGAATTGCCGGGACATGAGGTAGAATTAATCGTCCTCCAACTGTGAGAGAATCTGAAATAGTGATAGATGTTTTGATTTTAATTAACGAGTGTCATGTAGGATGACTTAAAGCATCTTCCTAAGCACACTAAAGCAAAACACTCAGCTACTAGGAAAATTTAATAAAATTTCAACTCGAAAGATTAAATGACTCTCCTCTTATTCAAAACAACTTGCTAGAATCTACATGAGACCCCTGAGGCTTTAATGAAACCAATTTTGGTAGTACTGAAGAACTGTAAGAACAACATGGTAAACCTAATTTAAACATTACAGTATAAATCATTTGATAATTTTCTGGAGGAGAAATTAAATTCTCTGGTGTGTAAATTACCTAAACGTTTACTCTTCCAAGAAAACTGCTTTTATAAATTGGCATACCTTAGAGAAAAGAATTTCGAATTGTGTAACTTATTGAAAGACAGCTTGTATGGCTCACCCCCACCCCCAAGGGAACAAAGGCTACCTTAAAAGCTTTAAGAATCACTGACAATCAGTTCTATTAGGAATTTTTGGCTTTATACACCTAACATACCATCTGCATCATCAGTGTATACACATCCAGTGACTGGCAAGCTCAAAACGGTGTCTGTGGGCTCAAAATCTGGAAGGCTCAGAAGATCATCCGTTATTTCCATCACAATGTTAGCTGTGGCTTCAGAGAGATTCTTCGCTGAGAGAATCGCAAAAACATTGGTCAAGATGTCACATTCTGGGTGCCCAGGTTTCTGTTTTGCCAGGAAAGGGAAGTACCTGCAAGAAAGAAGCAGGAGATACATCATCTTAGTCTTCAGTATGTTTATTTCTGAAATATGTCCCATGTGAATTTTCCTATGGGGTTTAACACATATGCATATGCACATGAGCAATATTAGCCAAAAAAGAAATCTAAAATTTGATGGACAATTTTAGGTAGTTACAAACATTATATTAGGAAGGCTTTGTGTATTTTAATTAATTTATTTATTTTTGCTCTTTAGGTCACACCTGGCGATGTACTGGTATTACTCCTGGCTCATGCACTCAGGAATTACTCCCAGTGGTGCTTGGGGGACCATACAGGATGCTGGAAATCTAATCCAGTCGGCTGCATGCAAGGCAAATGCCCTACCCACTGTGCTATTGCTCCAGTCCTTATGCATATTAAACATCTAATCCTCATCACAATGCTGTGAGACAGTCTCTCTACATGACACATAAAAACACTTGTCCACTGAGCTAATAGACATAAGAGCTGAGATTTGAACCGAAATCTCTAAATCACTGCCTCACTCTAAAGTTGAAGTCCTTCTTGGTTAAAACAAACAAACCAAAAAAAAAAGCATTAAAGACAGGCAATAGTTTGATTAGAAACCTACAGAGTGAATTTTTTTTTGTTCCTTCTTTTTTTGGTGTGATTTTTATACATTTTATTTTCATAAAGTAGTTCACAATAGTTCGTTATGGATAATATTCAAACACCCACTCAACCAGTGAGCATCTTTCCATCACAATAAGAGGGAAGTGTGTGAAGGTTGTTATATTTCATTCTGGGGCCATTTAAGCATGTATATGAGAATACAAATATCCAAAAAAATTCACTGCCATGGGATAAATAAATATAGAATTTATATATAGAATCCAACAGCCATTTATTCTATCTGGATACGTAGAATTCAGGGATTAGGATCATTTGGGGAGGAGGACTCTGTTTCGAATAATGAGAGGCTCCTACAAATGATAGAAAACATCCTGGCTGGCAGGAGTGAACCAACAAGGACAGAGAGGGCAGGAGCTTCCAGCAAATGGGACATTAGCCGCTGTTCAGCAGCCAGAGCGGCAACCCAGACAGGAAGTAGAAATGCCAAACTGCAAACACGCAGAGAGCCTTATTGTACTAATCCATCATCATCAGAAAAAGATCCTAGGCACTGGAATGAAGTCTTAACAGGTATACGCACACATCTTTGTCCAACACACAACAAGCACAGCCTGGGCAAGCACCATTACAACGCTGCATGTTTCCATCTCGGGGGGACCTTCTCACTTCTATTTTACAGGGTGGGAGCACAAAGAGGTTGAGTGCCAAGAAATGCAGCCTGGTGCTTCCCAGTCAGCTGTGCCCGGGATTTGGAGATCACCTCTGAAATTACTGGGAGGTATGTCTCCTTTACATCTTTTCAAGCAGGAAAGGTGAGAAGGGGTGCTCTTTACTGTCGGCCCTGGGTGGGAGCTGTTCAGCTCCACAGTGATCACTCCAAAGTGATCCAACTGACATGACAGAACTGAATACCCCCAAACGGAGAGGCGTGGTCCATGCTGAGAGTACGGCTCCATCAGAAGATCTGAAGCCCGTGTTCAATCTGCCATGAATTACCAACTGAGCACGGTGGTAAAAAGATAAATCAAGACGACATGGCTGCAGACTTCACTGACTTTAGGCAGGTCAAAGGTGAAGGGAGACGAGTGTGATATGGGTAGTATGAAATGACAGGACGTTCCAGGGATGGAGAGCTCCGAGGGGGAAGCAGCCCACAGGGGTAACCGTGGTCAGAGCAGCTATGGAGTAAGATAGCATAGCAGGTAGGGTGTTAGCCTTGCATGTGGCCAATCCAGGTTCAATCCCCGGCATTTCATATGGTTCTCTGAGCACTGCCAGGATAATTTCTGAGTGCAGAGCCGAGAGTAACCTCTGAGCACCACCAGGTATGACTCAAAAAGCCAAAAATTAAAAAAAAAAACAAAACTTATAAAAAGAACCCGGACAGCTTTGAAGACAGTAGCCAGCCAGGGATGTCTCAGTTTATGTTGTTTATTTTTTGTTTAATTATTTACAGCATCTCTTCTCACTTTCAGGAATGTTCCAGATTGGACAACAGGATTACTCCTGCTAATAAAGCAAGTTTCTTGTTGTCCTAAGTTCATCTAATTTGAGAAAATTTAACTTTATTTGGAGGCTTAGAATTTTTGGTGATAATTTAGTTCTACTTTCATTTACATAATTTTGAAGCAAATCCGAGGCTCTTTTGTAGAAGAAAACCATGTGTATGTTAGGCAGACTGTAATCAGATTTCAAAATGAAATGTCATCTTTTTATTGAAGGGTAATGGTTCAATAAGTGATTCTGATATACTCCTTCATTTACTCTTCCACTCATGCCGTATCTGTTGTTGTGTAGATTCTGAGGTAAGTTCAACTTTCTAATGATTTAAGGGTTAAGTAAGAAGGAAAAGAAAAAAGTTCTGATGCCTCCCTTCTCTCCTGTGATATGCCTTCTATTTTTCTCTGGCCAGAAATGAGAGTAACGGCAAAAGAGATCGAGCAGCATCCCAATGACAAGAGGTCTATACCTTCAGTGAAAACACAACTAATAAGGGCCAAGGATGTGGCTCAGTGGTAGAGTACTTGCCTCTCACGGGTGGGGTCCTGGGTTCAACTCCCAGCACCAAACACACCACACACACACACACAACCCCCCCTCCCCCAAACAAAAAACACAATGGATATAAACAAAGTCTCTATCAGAATTCTCCTAGGTTATCATACTTCATGGCACATATGACATCACCATTGCACAACTATAAACATCTTTCCAGGTATGTCTATGAAGTACTACTTTGACTATCCAATGAGACCACAAACTAAGAAACTGTCTTCTCAAATTGTGAGATAGGTGAGAGAGGCCCTTCCTGCCTAGTGAAAATAAAATGAGCTTTCCTGGGGCCAGTGACAGAGCTTCATAGGGCAAGCACACATGCTGTGTGAGCCAGGAGCGTGGATCCAGGATCCCCAGGTCGGTGCAGTGCCAGGGATCAAACCCGGGCCTCCTGTGCACAGCCCACAGAGCCATCTGCAGGCCTAGAGACTGCCCTTACCAAGGGAGGTAAAAAAAGAAACGGGATGGTTGTTTTTTACCTTGGGTTTCTGCTCCAGACACTAATTAGTTTCAGGAGAGGCGTAGGAGAATACTGGCTCTCAGATCCAAGCCTGCCGATCTAGGACACAAAACAGGAGAATCCCAATAAGCACAGAGATGTAAGAACCAACAGCCCACAACAAGAGTGAGCAGTGAAGCCACACCCGATGATGAAAGAACCAATGGATAGGAACGGAAGACTGGAGAGCAGAAATGAGGGACCCCAGGATAAAATCCCTACAGGAAAAATGGTTCGATGGTGAGTAGTCTCCAACAACTTGAAAGGAGCCAGATAGTGAAGTTGTCAGGCATGACGGAGCTCCAACAGCTAGACGAGGCTTGGAAATCAAGTCTCTCTGACAAATCTGCTTAGCTGTCACCACACTAGTCACCACCCTCAAGTAACTGAAGTGAGAGAAATCATGCTCGGACACGCTCAACAAAAATACTGTGTGTGTTTTTCCATTATTCTTGTGAAAATCACAAACTAAACGACATGGGACACTACTCAAGTTATAGTACGCATGCTCAGCAGACACCACACTGTTCAGACTTAATTATCAATGCCTCAGTATGGCAGAAACAAACTCTTGGGCTTTATTAGGTGGTAGGAGAAGCAGAGTTAAAAGTTTGAAGACAGGGAGGGCTGGAGCGATCGTACAGAGGGTAGGATGTTTTGCTTTGCACGAGGCTGACCCGGTTTGATTTCCAGCATCCCATATGGTCCCCTGAGCACCGCCAGGAGTAATTCCTGAGTGCAGAGCCAGGAGTAACCCCTGTACCCCTGTGCCTCGCTGGGTGTGACCAAAAAAGGACAAAAAAAAGACATCCACTCTTCCAGAGAGAAAGATTCACTGTGACCTTAGGGCAGGTGTGGACCCTTCTGGTCAAACAGTAATAAAGGAAGATGGAGAAAGTCCCCAGGGAGAACGCAGAAAGGAATATTTACCTGGGGCCACACGGCACCATGAAAGACGGCGTCAATTTCTTCCGTCCTGAATTGATATGACTCCCAGTCCGAAAAGATGTCAGTGACCATTTTAATTCCCAGGCGCCTTAAGTTCTTCAGGGGGTTTAGAAACCTTAGCTGGATCTGTTAAACAGAGATCTTGCGATTAAAAAAAAAAAAAGACGAATTTCCCTCAGGTGCCCTCCGGGAGGCACTCTCGCACAGATGACAATCAAACTTCATGAGTCTGATGACTTTGGCTCCACTCCTGGTAACAGCCACTGATTAATTCACATTGCTTTTTTTATGGAACAAGAAGGGAAGGAAGACTTGAGGACACCAAATGGCGGGTGTGTTCCATATATCCTGTCTCGCCAGCTCCTGAGAGCATGGCCATAAGGAAACCCCAAACCAACTCCAAACCAATCACCCTGCAAGGCACATCCTTGTTCACTATCGTCCCCCAGGCCGTGGCCTGCCATTCAGCACAGGTAACTGTCTAAAATGAAATCCAGATTTCTTCCCATGACTAAAATATTCTATGCAACACCAGACTTTTACAAAAATAAAACAAGACTGCGTTTTGTTTGGCCATAACAAAGACTTAGGAAAAACACCTTCACTTCATAAGAAAATCACTTCTCTCTTGTTTTCACACCTAAATACTCTTTTGAAAACTCTCTCAAAGGCAGGAGTGTTCAATTTGGGGGGTTGGGGTGGGGGTAAGATATTTGCTAATATGTAGCAGATACTTTGGATGGCTAGGTCTAAAGGAGTAAATTTTTAAAAAGTCTTAATTTTTTAACTATAAATTCATAGTGAAAAGAATTTATGATCTGTTCATATAGTGAAAAGATTTTGGGGCTGGAGCGATAGCACAGTGGGTAGGGCATTTGCTTTGCACGTGGCCGACCCAGGTTCGATTCCCAGCATCCCATATGGTACTCCAAGCACCGCCAAGAGTAATTCCTGAGTGCAGGAGTCAGGAGTAACCCTTGAGCATCACCGGGTGTGACCCCAAAAAGAAAAAAAAAAGATTTTGCTCAGTAAAATAAAATGAGGTAATGAAGTGACTGAATTAAAGCAAAGGAAGGTATTGATATATAGTCCAAAGACAAATATAGTCTGAGGAAAAAGAAATAGTCTGGGTAGTCTGGGGTGCTGGGCTGGAGAGAGAGTCCAGGGAGTAAGGCGCCTGCTTTGCCAGCCCCTCAGCACTGGTCCTTGAAAGCAGAGCCAGGAGTAAGCCTTGAGCACTGCCAGGTGAGTCCCCTTCCACCATCCCAAAAGACATCATGCAGAAAAGGAATAAGAATGATACCTGTTTATAAAAATTAAATGATCTGTTTCTGAAAGAACACATTTAAGTTTCACGTGAGTGGGAATTAATTTGTCCTGCATCTCTAAGGACTCCGCATCCATGTACCCACTCAGTTCCGGCCATTTACTTTTGTCTGACTGTCTTACTGGACAAGTCCCCAGAGGAAATGACAGGTAAACACAGGTGGTATGGGGAGCAGTCCCCTGCTCCACCTCAGTCCCACAGGCGACATTCTCACAGAGTGCCTCTGGTTTAGTACCTTTATCTGAAAAGAACAGTCTAGAATCCCCCAAGAGCGGCGTTTCTCAGCTGGAGGCTCTATGATACCCTCCACCTCCCTGGTTGCCCCGGGGATATTCTAAGGGGGCCATGGATGGGGGGTGAAGGGTCGGGGGGGGGGGAGTCCCTGAGGGGGCACCAAGGCACAGGTCAAGAGGCGAGTAGGTAGGATGGCAAGTGATGGGGCCACCGGAAGAAGCTCAGAAGGGAACCAGGATCAGAAAATGTCTGAGGAACACTACCTTGGAGTAACAAGAAATGAACCTCAGCCAGCAGGACACCAAATGAGACCCCCGGCGGCTCTTCCCCCATCTCCCCCCAGGCCGCTCCCCAACAATCTACATGTTCCAATCACTTCTGTAGTGGCGGCCAGTTTATTACTCAATAACTGCTAGGTGAACTGCAGGAACGCCCGGGAAGTGAGCAATCACCAAGTTTAGTTCCTAGAGGAACAGTCAACACGACTCAAGATATGTACCTTTCTGAGTGGCTCCATCGCGTAAGTGTACAAAAGACAAATAAATTCAAAGTGATACTGCTTTCACACTGTGTGCACTTCGGTGTTAAGTCAATGACTTGGAGGATTCGAAAGACACCAAAAAAGGTCAATGTGGAACGCAGTTTCAACACACAAACGTAGAACTTTAACTCACTTAAGTAATATTACTGTGCAATTATTCATTTCAGCACTTTAAGGAATTCTTTGGACTTGTCAAGGTTTTTTTTTTTTTTTTTTTTTTTTTTTTGGTGAGTTGGTTTGGTTTTTGATCCACACTCAGTGATACTCAGAAGGGTACTCCTGGCTCTGCGAACATGGATCGCTCCTGGTGGTGCCCATGGCCCAGAAAGAACGCCAGGGGGAATTGGACCCAGGTCGGCCACAAACAAGGCAAGTATCTTCCCCACTGTACTAAATCTCCAGCCTGACTGTCCAAAGATTTATATAAAGAAGCTCCCATTTGTCAAGAGGCTTCACACCTCACTAACTAATGGACTGTGAAATTGCATAAATGGTCATTTGAGTTACTGATTAATGCCGATTGCCAGGTCAGGCTAAGCATTACTAAGCAAGTTCTTCTCAGTTAACCAAAAAGTTAAAGCTTCATGAGCATTTATAAGACGTCTTGGTGCTCATAACTGAGATCTATCGTGATCAGAAAAAGCCACTAGGATTCCCTATAAAGCCTAAATAAAAATCCTCCTGTCATTCTCCCGATGGTGCTAAAGCTTTTGCCACACGGGGGAGTTTTTTAAAACTTCTTCCTCGACTGGCCACTCGGCCCGGACAGTGTCTTTTCCAGAAAGTAGTCAAAGTGACACTTTGACCACCAGCAAACAGGGCTCATCACTCCCACGACGTGGTCGCTCTCTGGGAGAGTTCCAAGGGGATCCAGCCCACACGGCCTCACCCGCCTCTTCCCCTTCTCTCACAGGATCATCCTGCTCCCGTGCCCTCACCACTGGACCGTCCGTCTGTACTCAGGATGTGCCAGGGACTTTGCACCACGGGGTCACTTTCTCTGCATGCGGTGTTGCTGCCATGGTTGGCTGGGCATCGGCCCACACGGAACCTCCCGAGCGAGGTCCGGCACAGCCAGGGAAGTGACTCCATCCACCCCAGAGCAGTGACATCTGAGCACGTCTGTTCCTGTTGAACGCCTCTCACCTGCCCATCGCTCTGGCACACAGTCACGCTTCCTACTACTCTGGGGAACGTGGAGGAAGTATTTTGGGGATGAAAGCGGTATCCCGCCTCCTCCCCACCCCCCAGTGCCTGACCTCCTATTCTATCTTGCTGGCCAACGTACAGCATGTCCCAAAACGCTGCATGGCGGTCCTTGTCAAATTCTGCCATCTGTGTCACCCAGGGTCTGCATCTAATCATCAGGTTTTTCTCCTCATTGCGGGTAGGTTGGCTGTCTTTGCTGAAATTTCTCAGACCTGGTGCACTTGACTGCCATGTTTACATCACCTAAACATTTCTGAGCTTTGTTCTGGAATGCAGTTAGTTCACATGCAACAAGCCAGGGGGAGGTCCCAGAGGAGCCCTTGTTCCCGCCATCTAGCTCCACCCTCCAGAGGCCTGACCGCTCCTGGGGTCTGGGCAGCTTCTGCTCTGGGCTGGGAACATGAGTGCATGTGAGCTGGAAGGCTGTTCCACCTGCTCCTTTGTGGCGCTCTTTCTGCTTTTAGCTGAGACAGCGCGAGAGAGGATTCAGTCACCCTTCTGCTGCAACTACTCAACAAAACAAAAATAATGATTTTCAGACCCTGTGCCACAGGCTGTAGAGGGTGGTGAGCGAGTCATTCCTTCACTTTCACCCTGGAAGGCGCAGGAAGTGAGGGAGTCATCCCTCCACTTCCACCCAGGAAATGAGGGAGTCATCCCAATGTTCTCCCTTCCGTAATCCGACACTCCATTTCTTCAGTAAAGAAACAGACAAGGTCAGGCCTGAACACCTGAAGAACCTGCCGTCAGTACTCATCAATACACTGGCTCAGCTCTTCACATGCTACCTGTCTGAATGCAAGGTTCTGTCCCAATGGAAAACCAGCAGGACCGTACTACTGTTCAAGAAGGGAGACATCCATGACATTGGCAACTATCGCCCGATCTGCCTATTGTCTGTCATCTACAAGCTGTTCACTCGAGTCATTCTAAATAGGATTGGCAGAACACCAGATGAAGGACAACCATGCGAGCAAGCATGGTTCCACAAAGGATTCAGCACCATCGGCCATATCCACACGATAACCAAGCTCATTGAGGTTTCTCGGGAGTTCAAGATGCTGCTCTGTCTAACGTTCATTGATTTAAAGAAGGCCTTTGATTCTGTTGAGACGGAAGCGGTCATTGAAGCCCTAGCCAATCAGGGCAGTCAAGCTCAAAACATCAAGATCCTCCGTGAGCTGTATTGCGGATTCACTACCAGGATCTCACCATTCTACAAAGAAATAATCGTTGATGTCAAGAGAGGGGTTCAGCAGGGTGATACCATTTCACCGAAACTCTTCAGTGCCACCCTTGAGAACATCATGCGACGACTGGAATGGGAAGGAATGGGAGTGAAGATAGATGGTCGGCAACTACACTACCTCCGCTTTGCTGATGACATTGTTTTAATAACACCAAACATTAGCCAAGTGGCACAAATGCTGGCCGACTTCGACCGTGAGTGTGGAAAGGTCAGACTACAGCTGAATCTTACGAAGACAATGTTTATGAGAAACAGCCTCGTTCCTGATGCCCCATTCGCTCTCAACGGAACGACCATCTCCCAATGCAACAGCTATGTGTACCTAGGTCGAGAGGTCAACATGACAAATGACCTGGCACCCGAGCTGCACAGGAGGAAGAGAGTGGCTTGGAACACCTTCAAGAACGTCGAAGAAATAGCTAAGAGGACGAAGAACCTCTGGCTCCGGGCACATCTCTTTGATTCCACTGTTCTTCCTGCATTAACATATGCCTCAGAGACCTGGGCCCTACGCAAACAGGATGAGAATGCTATTCGGGTCTCCCAAAGAGGAATTGAAAGAGCTATGCTTGGAATATCACGTTTCACTCAAATGAGAGAAAGAATCTGGAATTTCGACCTCCGTCGACGATCAAGAATCAGGGATGCTGTCTCATTTGCCAAGGTGTCAAAAATCAGATGAACTGGTCATGTAATGAGATTTAAAGACGACCGCTGGACTAGAGCTGTTACAGACTGGATTCCATGGGATGTCAAAAGACCACGTGGCCGCCCACCTACCAGATGGTCAGACTTCTTCATCAAGATCATGAATGATCAGTTTGAGGCTCTTCATGTTCCTAGAGCGAACAGATGCCATTGGGCTACACTAGCACGCGACAGGGACAAATGGAGACGTTACCGGCGCCCGCTCGAGCAAATCGACGACTAACAGGAAGTCAAGTGATCAAGTGATCCCTTCAAAAAAAAAAAGTGAGGGAGTCATCCCTTCACTTCTACCCTGGAAGGCGCAGGAAGTGAGCAAGTCATCCCTTCACCTTCACCCTTAAGGCACAGGAAGTGAGGGAGTCATCCGCTCACTTCCACCCTGGAAGGCGCAGGAAGCAAAGTCCAGGCCAAGTTTAGGGATCTTCAGATGAGAAGACAGTTGTGCAGCTGGGCGAGGCCTGTGTGACTGGACTGGAGTGAGCGAGCCACACAGAGAGCCATGTCAGCACCCTGAGGAGGTCTCCTCGTTTGCTCTCCTCTCACAACATAAACACTATGAGATGCTATTCTAATCACTTAATATCGTGGACTAAATATTTACTTGTGTTTGGGGGTTTATTTTCAGGGAGAAGAGGGGTCCACAGCTGGTGGTGCTCAGGGGTCACTGCTGAAGATGTGTAAGGGACCATACAAGGTAGCTGGGATGGAACCAGGGTAGGCCACATACAAGGCCTTATACCTGCTATTATTTCTCCAGTCTTTGAATTTATCGATTTAATACTTGGACAAAACCTTTGTTTTGCCGGCTGGCTCATTCACAGTGGAAGAGTACCTGGCATATAGTGGAGGCTTAATTAATATTCACTGAAAGAATGAGAGAAAGCATGAGGTAGCAAAATGGTGTCTACAAAAAATGAAAGGTGTCTTCTAAGTCTCAAATAGCGGCAATCACAATACCATTTAACATTAGAGAAGCACATTTACATTCTAAGCAGAGCTCAAAACAGCAGCCTACCATTTAGCTGTCCCGGTTTAGGCATTATAACAATATCTGAGAGGCAGTCCATTGGGCAAATCCATAAATCAATGAAATGTACTGTGCATCATTTAGAATTCTATTCACCATTAACTGAGAATCAATGGCAGAAATCTCAGTGGATCTTTACCTCAAGTCCTTTTTACTTTAAAAGGCCTTTAGCCCATGTAGGTTTGGGTTTCTTAAACCCTAAAGAAACCCAAGTGCACAGCCCAGTTCAAAAGAACATAAACAGACTGTCCTACATACAGTTCAGAAGACTTACACTGCACACCACCCCAGCATGCCTCTTGGCAGCAAGCTGACTGGCCTTGCCTAATCTCCTGCTTATCTTTATCCAAAACACTGTATGGGGAATTGACAAGCATTTACTTTTCAAAATGCTTTGGACAGCTGTCTCAAAATACTAAGAGCAAACATAAGAACAGTGGGCTATTCATTATCCAGCCACTCTGGACAGATGAAGGTTGGAAAATGTCCTCTAAGTCTAGGTTCCTGGAATTAAAATCGGGAGAAACATTGATTGTATCATGGCCTGGCTTTGGCTTCTGAGACTGTACACAGGCCTAATTTACTTTCTGACATTTCATCTTTCATTTGAAATACATACTTTTAGTTTTATTTTCATTTTCTGACAATACACAGATGAATACAGTCAAGATTCCCATTAAGTAGACACTACTATTTTTTGTTTTGTCTGTCTCTTTGCTTTTTGGGCCACACCCAGCAATGCTCAGGAGTTACTCCTGGATCTGCACTCAAGAATTACTCCTGGTAGGGCTTGGGAGATCAGATGGATGCCAGGGACTGAACCCAGGTCAGTTGCAGGCAAGGCAAGTTTCCTACCAGCTGTGGAATTGATCCAGCCCCCAAAACTACTGCTTTAAAGAGATACTTTCAGAGAGTTACATAAGATTTAACCTGAAAGGATATGTCAGGTAAGGGAAAAAAAAGGGCAGGGAGGGGCACGTGGCCAACCTGGGTTTAATTCCCAGCATCCCATATGGTCCCCTAAGCACTGCCAGGAGTAATTCCTGAGTGCAGAGCCAGGAGTAACCCCTGCACAGCGCCAGGTGTGACCCAAAAAAGCAAACAAAAACAAAAACAAAAAAAGGATATCAGATATTGGGATCCAAGAACCATTTCCAGAGTAAAACATATACTTTTAGTTGCCCAAGAACAAATCAGCTAAGAAATTCACAAAAACAGTGATTTCTTCTTTTTTTTTTTTTATTACCTTTTCCCGTTGATCAAGGATCTGTGACACAGTAGCTGTCATGCAGAGGAGTATCTGCAAAATCTTTGGTAAGTAGGCACTGATCAGATGACTTATGTTCTTCAGGACTATTTCAAGGCTATTCAAAATACCATGCTGACGACCAACAGGAAGAACTTTAGACAAATCCACATCTTCTACTGCTTGAACTACTGCAGAATGGCATTCGCCTGGGGAATGGAAGAGGAACAAGAGGAAAACAGTGCAAAGGGGGATATTTGCTGGTTACTTTTTGTAATCACGGCTTCCTTTCAATTTCCCTCAACAAAACAGCACTCTCTGCTGCTACAATGATGTATCCATAATGTGTTTTTCCTTACAGGCTTTTTCTCTTTTGGTGCTTACCAAATAATCAGTAGGCTCCTCATGGCACGTTCTGTTATGAACACTTTCTAGGATAGTGGAATAAACGGCCTATTTTGGCACTAAGTCTCCAAGCCATTCTCATCCTATTTATAATTCGCAAATGTGGAGGCACTAACAGACTTTTGACCCATCAGGTAATATCCCATTACTTGTTCTGTTTTTTATTTTTCATTCTCAGAACTCACTAAACTACACTGAGATCATCGGTTTCAAAGAAAATGTCTTGCTCCATGCTAAATTCCTTAAAAGCCAAGAATTGAGTTGTTCTCTTACAGTCCTGGGAATAAATAAAACAGTAGCCCCTTATAAATTGTGGCCATTCTACTTTCATAATTTATTTAATAATCTTTTTTCTGGGTCACCCATCAGTGATGGTCAGGGGTTACTCCTAGCTCTGCACTCAGGAATTACTCAGGTGGTGCTCAGGGGACCATCTGGGATGCTAGGAATCAAACCCAGGTTGGATGCATGCAAGACAAGCTCCACACCAGCTGTGCTTTCTCTTCAGCACCAGCACTGAGTTCGTCTTGGGCCCGGAGCAGTAATGCAGTGGGGAAGGCACCTGGTTGCATGCAGATGACCTGGGTTCAATCCCTGGCATTCTAAATGGACCCCAGCACAACCAAGAATAATTTCTGAGTACAGAGCCAGGAGTAAGCCCTAAGCACCGCTGGGTGTGGCCCCCAAACAAAAAATGTCAAGTCAGGAGCTTGCCCTAAAAATTAATAATGTGTCTGCCCCCAGCTAGGGCATTATGGGGCTGAAAAAGAAGTCTTGGAGTCTGAACCTGAATTCTAATACCAAATCCACCATTTTCTAGCTGAACAGTAATGGGGAAAATGCTAACTTCTTAAATCTTAATTCCTTCATTTGTAAAACGGGGATAGTTGGGGCCAGAGTGATATAACAATGGTCAGGGTGTTTGCCCAGTGGCTGAGCTAGGTTCCATCCCAGCATCCCGTATGGTCCCCTGAGCACTGCCAGGAGTGATTTCTAAGCACAGAGCCAGGAGTAAACCCAGAGCATAGCTGGGTATGAAACAAAATAAAAAAAAAACAAAAGAACATTAAAAAGCCATAAAAGTCAAGAAAAATGGGGGCAATCACACTGATACTTCATGTGGCTGTTTTTAAGATAATTTCATTTAATCTGTCGATTTGCTCGAGCGGGCCCAGTAATGTCTCCATTGGAGACTTTTGTTGTTACTGTGTCTGGCATATCGAATACGTCACGGGGAGCTTGCCAGGCTCTCCGAGAGGGGCGGAGGAATCGAACTCGGGTTGGCCATGTTGGTCGCTTGTAAGGCGAACACCCTACCACTGTGCTATCGCTCTGTGGGGCTGGAGCGATAGCACAGCGGGTAGGGTGTCTGCCTTGCACGCAGCCAACATGGCCGACCCGAGTTCGATTCCTCTGCCCCTCTCGGAGAGCCCAGCAAGCTACCAAGAGTATTCGATATGCCAGACACAGTAACAACAAAAGTCTCCAATGGAGACGTTACTGGGCCCGCTCGAGCAAATCGATGATCAACGGGAGGGCCTTTCATTCAATCTGTAAAGAGAACTAGCAAAAAATGAGCAATCAGTAGTGTAGCCATTATTATTACGAACCGTGAAGCTGTATAGCAGAGAATATATTACAGAGCATTACAGCTTATTATATACAAGTATTATCTCTGTGTTTAGATTGCGCGGATGAGAAAGGAGATTACAGACAGCTTCCTGTTTTCAACAGTGTCTGGCACGAGGGATCTTTAATCAATCATTATTATCAGTGACGAATGACCCAGTGAATAAATAGGTGGCAAAATCATCAAAACTAAGCTGTATGCAAGGGAGTTTTGACCTGCTCTGTTCCTGACCTGGGCCGGTTCACCCCTCCTTAGACAATCTGGTGGTCCTCTGCTCCCGGATGCTCACCATATTAATGCCGAACTTAGTGTGGACACCAAATCGGCATAGCGCACTACAGTCCAGAACTCCTGGACTCTGGGCTGGAGCAATAGCACAGCAGTAGGGCGTTTGCCTTGCAAGCCGCCTGGCCGGCCGAGCCGGGTTCGATTCCTCTGCCCTTCTCGGAGAGCCTGGCAAACTACCAAGAGTATTTCGCCCACACAGCAAAGACTGGCAAGTTACCCGTGACGTATTCGATATGGCAAACACAGTAACAATAAGTCTCACAATGGAGATGTTATTGGGCCTGCTCGAGCAAATTGATGAACAATGGGAGGACAGTGCTACAGTGCTAAGCTGTATGCTTTAGTATTTCTTAGAAAATATAGACTCACTGTACATGAATATGTACTTATTGTTTTTTTTACTGGCCTAAATGTACAGCAAAAGTTTTGCATGTTCTAATTACCAACACATGCTGATAACTCTCAGGACCACTTGTCAGCTCAATCAAACTTTACAAAGGAAGAACTGCATTTCGGAGCCCAGATTACTGCAGGGATTAAGGAGCTTGACTTGCAAGCAGCCAAACTGGGATCAATTCTGGGCGCTTGTCATCAGGAATGATTTCCTGAACACAGAGCCAGGAGGAAGCCTGAACATCGCTGTGGCCCCAAACCAAAACAGTTTCATTTCAGCAAATATTAAATGGTTGAGAAAGGGGAAGGCCACCACTGAGACAGGGAAGAGCGATACCTAGATCAGAGAGATATCAGGGGCCTGGTAAAGCAGCCCTGGACACTGAGGTCCGGAGTGCACAAGTTCGCAGCGAGAGAGGAGGCTCATAGCTAAAGTCTTTTTTTTTTTTTTAATTTGGCTTTTTGGGTCACACCTGGAGATGCGCAGGGGTTACTCCTGGCTCTGCACTCAGGAATTACTCCTGGTGGTGCTCAGGGGACCATATGGGATGCTGGGAATTGAACCCCCGTTGGCCACATGCAAGGCAAACGCCCTCCCCACTGACTATTGCTCCAGCCCCATAGCTACCGTTCTTGAAGTGCTTCACAGGTTCAAACAGCAGGTCCAAGAAGATCTGGATCTCCTCGGGCTGAGTCCCAGCGAGGAACCTCAGAACAATGGACATGCGGGTGCCTGAAGCAGATTTCCCCTGAGTCTTACTCCCAGTCTTATTCTTCATTCGTCCATACAAAATTCTAAAAAAAAAAAAAAAAAATTAAGAAGAATAGAATTTATGTGCCCACTGGTACTATGAGTATTCTTCCTAAAGGACCAGAATAGCAATTCAACAGATTTAAATGGATAGATAAATAGATACATAAAACAAGGAAGAATGAAAACAGAAATGGAATGTTTAACAAAGAAGTTTAGACAAATAAGAACCCAGCAAAACAAATCAAGATTAAGGCAGCAGGAAGAAGGAAATAATACAGATTAAGGCAAAAAGGAAAGTCTTTGTAGAAGGGAAAAGAAAAAAACCCTATAAAATAGATAAACTAAAGGTTAAGACTAATTAAGAAAAAAGGAAAACAAGAATAGATCACTGAAAGAAAATTAAGTGAGAGACTCTCAGGAAATTGGTGAGATTATTTTAAAAAGGTCATCATCCCCCTTCTCCCTTCCACCCTCCCTCAACTCCTAGCCCAGGCCCCCAAAAGGGACATTAATAAACAAAAGACACTTAGAAGAAAACTAGGGCTGCAGAGAGCACCAGGACCTGGAGCATGTGCTCTGCAGGCAGGAGGCCCAGGTTCAATCCCCAGCAATGTACACATGTACACTAGTCACAGGAGATGACCCCCAGGCACTGAGCTGGGAGAAGCTCCTGGGACCTGTCATATGTAAACCCCTTACCCCCAAATAAGAGGAAATAAAACCAGAATCCCAGAAAACATGGGCAAATGAGGAGCCCACAGGCTTTACAGTAAAAAAATATCAAAACATTTTGTTTTGCTTTTTTTGGTTTGGGGACCACACACAGCTGCATTCAGGGGATCATATGGGGTACCAGAGACTGAACCTGTGTGCAAGGTTGTGGCTGTGTGCAAGGCAAGTGCCCTACACACTGTACTATTGATCCAGCCCCTAAATTTAAAAATTTTAAGAAAAAAACATTTCCATGTTATAAAGCTTCATAGAGAGAAGGAGACTGTCCTTTTCATCAGAGAAGGTAGTGTAATTCTGAGTCTGATACAGGGGAAGACTAAAATAAATCTATATACCAATCTTGATGATAAACACAAAATGCAGCATTTCTAAACATAGCATCCAGTGTTACCTTAAAACAATAGTCAAGTCAAATAAGGATTAACCCAGGAATGCAAGAATCATAATTAAATTCTGTTAAATTAGTAAAGAACAACTGAACTCCTAAGAGTAAAATTTTTTTGCTTTTGCTTCTTGGATCTGGCAATGCTCCGGAATTACTCCTGGTTCTGCATTCAGGAATCACTCCTGGCAGGGCTTGGGGACCCTGTGGGTTACTGGGGGCCGAAGCTGGGTAAGCTATGTGCAAGGCAAGTGCCTAATCTGCTGTATTATCTCGCCAGCCCCCAAAGTTAACTTCACTAAATGTACCATAGGTTTTCTAGCAAAATTCAACATCTATTCCTGATAAAATATGAAACAATCTAACAGTAAAAGTCACTTTACTTTTTTGGCCACACCTAGCAGTACTCAGGCTATGCTGAGTTCCATACTCAGTCTGTGCTTCTGTGCTCAGGAGTGACCCCTGGTCCTGTCCATGTGGTGCCAGGGACTTGAAGTAGAATAGTTGGACTGTAAGGCAAGAAACTTAATCCCTGTACTATCATTCTGGCCCCTAAAAGTTAGTTTTTTAACATGGTAATGCTTGTTGACTTAACACTCAAAATTCAAAAGATAGTGGTCTTCAATTTTGAGAATATTAGGGCTCTTTCATATTCTTAAATTACTGAGAGTTTTATTTATTACTAGCACAGTGGAAATTAAAACATATGTAGAAGTTATCATAAACAATTTAGGGCACGTATGCGGCTCAGTGGCAAGACACATGCCTTGCATGTAGAAACTTGGGTTTTTGGCCCAAGCACTACAAAACACAAGTAAAATAGTTAATTTTCCAGGAAAAATATATAATATTCTTCAAATTTTCCTCCATTGAAAATTAGCCATAGTAGAGGTACTTTTTTTTTCTTTCCAAATTTCTTTAATGTCTGCTGCATTTTCCCAGGTAACTGGATTCTCACAATTACTTTTGCATTCAATCTAAAAAATAGAAGGGACCGGAGAGTTAACATAATGGGTAACAGGCGTGCCTTGCCCGTGGTCAATTCAGGTTTGACTTCCAGCACTTTACATATGGTCCCTTCAATCCCCTTTTGAGCCCTGAGCGCAAAACCAGGAGTAAGACCTGAGGACCAATGGGTATGGCCCAACGACCCCAAATAAATCAAGAACCCTAACAAAGAGCTGAAGGAGGGAAAACGTGATTCAACATTTTCAGATAATATGTGACTTTTCCATATGTAAGGTGGCTATTCTGAACACCCTCCAAAACAGTACTTTCTCTAGGCTAGTTGCAATATGCGATCTGTCACAGCATCAATGCACTTTGCGACCGCTCGTTACATCCACTTGTCCACCCTGTACTTTGAGCAGCTCCTGCATTTGGGCGCTAGATTCTCTACCACACATCAGTTCCTTGGAGAACATGCCATTCCTTGAGACAACCCGTGTGCACCAGGAGTGCTTTCCCCAAGCTCCCGGCTCCATAATACACAAGAAGGGAAAGAAAGGTGCATCAGGGACATTAAGTGTTGAATCTTTCGGATGGCCCAGAGTCACTGTTCTGACTCACATTAAGGAGTTTCGTTTCTGTTTTTCTTTTTTTTTTTTTTTTTTTAATTTGGCTTTTTGGGTCACACCTGGTGATGCACAGGGGTTACTCCTGGCTCTGCATTCAGGAATTACTTTTGGTGGTGCTCAGGGGACCACATGGGATACTGGGAATCGAATCTGGGTTGGCCGTGTGCAAGGCAAATGCCCTACCCACTGTGCTATTGCTCCAGTCCCTCGTTTCTGTTTTCATTTGGGGGCTGCACGGGTGGTGCTCAGGGCTTACCCCTGCCTGGTTCCATGCTCAGGAATCACACCTGGCGAGGCTCAGTGGACCATATGTGATGCTGGAGGTCGAACCCAAGATGGCTGTGTACAAGGCAGGCGCCTTCCCCACTGGACTAGCACTCTGACTCCCAGGCTAAGGAGTTTTGCCCACCGTTCTTTTCATCTTGTCGGAACAAATGTCCAGATGGTGAAAGAAGGCAACGTCAGAGTGACATAACACAAAACAGCTTTAGCCTTGTGGCTCCCTGAAAGTGCCCCAGGGCAAAGCCCTACCAAGAATAAGCAGACCACAGTTAGGAACAGAAGCGTCCCTGCAATACCCAGGCAGCAGTTCAAGAAGGACCACGACCACCACAAGTCACTCTGCAAGGCTATCCTGAGAAGATGCTCAGTAAGCAAAAGAGGAAGGTTCCATCATAAAGAACAATAGAAAATTTGACCAATATTTACTAGCGACCATGAACTTTACCTCTGGCAAGGAACAAAAATCAGTTAGGGGCTGGGGAAAATGGCTTACAGGATGAGAATACATACCTTGCATATGATTATCCAAGTCCGACGCCTGGTACTACATGGTCCCCTGAGCACTGTAGGGGAGGAGACCCCAAGGTGCTGAGCTGGGAGTGGTGTCTGAACATCCCTGGATGATCGTCACTTTTTAAAAAAATTTTTTTATTACTGAATCACTGTGGGGTACAGTTACAGACTTACAAACCTGAGTGTTTGTGTTTCAATCATACAATGATAGATTGTAACTTTTATCTTCATGAGGGGAGAAGGGGATCGCTCCATGGTGCTGGCCACCGTTGGGGCTATCCCTGGCAGTGCAAGGGTGGGGAGTGGTGTCAGAGATCAAAGCTGAGCCTGGTGCATGCCAGGCACACACACCAGCCCTTTGAGCCGTGCCTTTGGCCCAGGAGTTGTAGATTTCAAGCTCTTAAGGATGGCCTCCCTGATACTGTGTCACTGAGATGGGACAAGGATGTGTTGGTGTTGGCACGATCCCAGCAAAAGGATGAGGAAGCTGAGAGTCTGACGGGGGCTCTGAGGGGAGGCAGTACCTGGAACTGACGTGCTTACAGTCGGGGGGACAGAGCAGAAAAGACCTTCTGCCTCACTCTCAGTAAAATGTAAAAACCCAGCCAAAGGTGTCTAAACAGTGACTAACAAGCTGATGAATGTTTTTAATAATTTGTTTTTCAACCCAGGAAATAAAGGAGAATCCAATATAAACTATAAAAACTAGGACTAAAGAAACAGTACAGGGGTTAAGCCTTGCATACAGCTGACCGAGGTTCAGTTCCCAGCACTGAATATGGTCCCATGGGCACTGCCAGGAGTGATCTCTGAGCACAAAGCCAGGAGTCAGCCCTTAGCACTGCCAGGTATGGCCCCCAAATCCAAACAAAAATGATAAAAACGGCAGAAATTTTGCTATTTGGGTAGTTATATAATTAATAGGCATTTTAAATCTCACAGCCGCAAGTCAAATGATTTTTTATTCTCAGTAGTAAAACAGAAATGCTAGATTTAATTCTAACATTATAAAGATACTATGATTATAGTACTAATACATGTAAGATACCAGTAACCCATTAAGATATTACATTATTAAGATAAAGTCCTAGCAAAACCTTTTATTTTTAGTTAGGAAAAAAAAAAGATCTTAAAGTCAGTCATTATAACCCCAAAATCTAATTATAAAAAGCACAAGAAAACACAAAACCAAACACACTATTGTAATTGCTGAGAGAATCAGAGAACCAGAATCAGAATCACCATGATCTTTGTGACCAAGCTTTTCAAAAATAATCTTAAAAAATGATCTTGAAACAGTACAAATACCTCATCAGAATAGGAAAGAGATCCGCTCGGTGGGCTGTTTTCACTACGGTATTATCTTCGGAAATGCTAAAATGCACTATCTCTTCCTTAAAGGTTCTGTCTTCAAGCAATCTTTGCAAGTTTTCCCTTTAAAAACAGAAAATAGCACAAATCATCACTTAATCATCAACAGCACTCTTCAAATTGAGGGGGAGGAGGCTGGAGCGATAGCACAGTGGGTAGGGTATTTGCCTTGCATGGGGCCTACCTGGTTTGATTCCCAGCATCCTATATGGTCCCCTGAGCAATGTCAGGAGTAATTCCTGAGTACAGAACCGGGAGTAACTCCTGTGCACTGCTGGGTGTGACCCCCCAAAAAAGCAAAAAAAAAAAAAATGCAATGGGGGGTGGGGGAGAAGGGACTGACCCAGTAGGCAGACTGGAGAGGTCAAAGGCTATGTGGGCGGGGCATTTCCTGAGCACCACTGGGTGTGGCTGGGGTGGGGGGAATGCCCCTTAATAAAAAGGCCTCTTAGCACAGTAACAGGTATTACTAGAATAGGCATTAAAGAACATTCTGGACTTTTCCCATAAAGAAAAATCTTCACAGAAAATACCTTCCACGATGACCGCTTTTCAGATTTTAAAAGGTAAAAAGGATTAGGAATGAGACTTGATCAGGAACTCAGCTGTGCCCAATCAGACTAGAAAAGCTTTCTTCACTTTCCAGACTATTTCGCATTCCCTGAGTCACTGCCAAGACTTGAAGACTCTATTTGAGCAAGATAAGCCTGCTTTAAATATGCTTTCTAAACACATATTTTCCAGTTCATATTCTCTTTCCTAAGTTATCTATGGCAAAGCACAATAAAATATACTTCCAGTTTTCACTTCTTATCAGAAATAGCATCACGAGTCCCTTGGACAAGAGGAAAATGTCCTGGGCCTTCACAAAATTATTTTGGAAAAGGCACTCAAGTAGAGAGATAACTAGACCAAGGGGTAACATTTCTTTAGGCTCAAAGAACATACCTGTAAGGGAGAAGATGCGGATGCTTATACGTCATGATGCAATCCAGGGTTATTCTTTGAACTGTCTGATCCTGATGGAGCAACAACTAAGAAATATACAGAGGGCGAAAAAAAATGCAATATGTATATATCATATCACATAAGATATCATATCACGGTATCTATATCATAAGTAGTTCACAGATATGCTGTACAGAATTTATAAAATATACAGCACAGCGGGTAGGGCGTTCGCCTTACAAGCGGCCAACATGGCCGACCCGAGTTCGATTCCTCCGCCCCTCTCGGAGAGCCCGGCAAGCTACCGAGAGTATTCGATATGCCAGACACAGTAACAACAAAGTCTCCAATGGAGACGTTACTGGGCCCGCTCGAGCAAATCGACGATCAACGGGAGGGCCTTTACCTTTACCTTTACCTTACAGCATTTATACATATCCAAGAGACAGTGCTTTATTTAACTACACTATCCTTTGCTAAATGAGAATTTCTAAAATCTAAATGTTGAGATGTGGATTAACGACGATCCCTGGGTTAGAGGGAGAGTGAGGCACTTGCCCTGCCCTGCTTCATGCAAACCCCGGTATCACTAACTGTGACCTCACAACAGTTAAGAAAAAAAAAAAAACAGAAAATAAGCATCAGTCTTTTTTAAAAACCTGTACTTTAAACGTAGACATGGGCACCCTATTCAAAGACTACTGAAGACCTGAAAGTTACCCTGACAATAAGAAATGCCAGGGAGAAGGTCATGCAACTGGGGAGAGGGTTTGGCAGGTGGGAGGGAATGCTCCGTATGCAGGAACCCTGGGTTCGATCCCTGATCTCACACATCTCCTGAGCACTGCGGAGAGCAAAGCCTGAGCACTGGGGTCCGGAGAGGCACCCAAGCACCACCTGGTTTGGTCCTTAGAATAAAAAATTTACAAAGAACTGCAGAGCAACAATTTATTTGACTTACTTGAAGATAGAGTTCATACAATTTAGATTCTAGATATAAGGCCCGTGGATTCGAAAACTTAGAAAAAACTTGCAAATGAGCAATTAATTGCCTAAAAAGAAAAAGAGAGAATGAAAATGAAACAACATAGATCTTTTTTTTTTTAATAATTTTTACTAGTGAAACACCATGAGGTACAGTTGTAGACTTACAAGTTTTTGTGCTTGGGTTTCGATTATACAATGATCAAATATCCATCCCTTCACCAGTGCCCATTTTCTACCACCATGTATCCCAGGGGAGCGGGTTGAGCTTTCCTCCCCACCCCGACCAGGGCTCCGGCAGCCGAAGACCTCCAGGACCAGCCACCACCATGCTGAGACCACTCTCCGCACACATGAAGGTACTGGCAGAGGGACAAAGCCACGCGGGTTCCGGGGCCGAGATCTCCAAGCCTACTCGAATTGGAGTCGAGCATCCTCCACCCAGATCCTCCAAATTCCAGTAGGCGGGGGTCACACCCACCACCTGGCCCCCTGGCGCCGTGTAATCCCATCAGCGGCCAAGACTCAGAGACTACAAAATGCAGCTCCCAGAACCGCGCGGCCGCATTCGCATTCGCGGCCGCGCGACATTTTATCAGAACATCTTTTTATGATATCTCATTATCTCATTCCTACTCTGGACAAACTTGCAGGCTATCGAATATAGCCTGCCCACAGGGCAGAGTCTGGCAAACTCCCCGTGGCACACCAAATATGCCAAATACCAGTAACAATGATGGGTCTCATTCTCCTAAAAAGCCTTGAATATAATCTCAGGGCTAGGATGAAAGAGACGTTACTGGGGCCTGCTCGAGGCAATCAACGATTAACAGGATGATGAATGAATGAATGAATGACTGTATCCCAGTATCCCTCCCACCCCCATCTCCCCCATCCCACCCTCCTCTGTGGCAGGGAATTCCCTTTTGTTCTCTCTCTCCTTTTGGGTGTTGTGGTCTGCAAAAGAGGCATTGAGTGGCAATCATGTTCGGCCCATAGTCTACTTTCAACATGCATCTCCCATCCTGGGAGGATCCTCCAAACACCCTTTATTTGGTGCTCCCTTCTCTATCTGAGCTCCCTTTCTCCTAGTATGCCCGGCTGGCCTCTAAGCCAACAACATAGATCGTTAAGATCTTAGTAATCACCAATTTTAGGTTCTCTTATAAGTTCTCCAAATACCAACACTTTTTTACTACAGCTTCACCGTTAATTACCTATACACATTTTATTTGCATTTAGGAAATGGTTCCTCAGAAATTATCAATCTTGACATTCTTTCCTTGGAACCCAGGTTTCCAAGCCCAGAAAATTATTCAGGTAGTGTCAAAATGGTTTAAACTGGAAGAAGGAAGTTTCAAACAGGGCTTCTCAACCACTGCTGAGCAGGGCCCCCCTGTCCTACCAGTTGGCCCCCTCATCTGGTACCCTGAAGCCCCATTTACGTGGCTTGCATCCATGGTCCCCCTAGAATATCCTAGGAGGCCATATGGTCCCCAGCGAGAGGCACCAACGTAAACAGATACAATCTATGGAACCTAAGTCATTTCTGGTGCCATTTTTTTTGGAGCAGCATGATGGATGGAGTAGTCTGCAGGGCGCACCAAGACCGGATGTGCAGCCCCCGGGGAGCGAGCACCACAATAAACATGCAAGCACCAGAGTCAGGTATGTGTGTAGCCCTGATTATCTTAACAGGGACATGGAAGGGAAGGGGAATAGGAAAGGGATTAAACACAAGAGAGTCCAGAGAATGGGAGCTGAATCACGGGCGCTCTCTAGCTACTTGGCTGGCGAGAAGGGCAGCCCAAGGAGGATTTTGTTTTTTGATTCTTGTTGGTTTGGGGGCCACACTCAGTGATGCTCAGGGGTTTACTCCTGGCTCTGCACTCAGGGATCTCTCCTGGTGAGTTCAGGAGACTGTATGTGGTGCCAGAGCTCGAACCTGGGTCAGCCATGTGCAAGACAAGTGCCCTACCCACTCTACTATCCCTCCAGCTCCTCCCTTCAGAGATTCTAAACTTGGGACTTTAAATACACTCAGATGGCATCAAGAATGTGATGAGCATTTTCCTTGTACTTTCAGTGGCCGTGCATGGCTTGCCATATTCTAGGTTTAGCTGTGGGGGGCACAAAAACATATAATACATGAATCTTATCCTGCAGGAGTGATTCCCAGGCAAGGCAGTACCATCTCCAAGGAGGGGAGATATTAAATGGCTAATCCCTGTGCTGTCTCACCAGCCCCTAGAGCTCTTCACTGAGCTACCAGAACTGCTTTAAAAAACCCTTTCTCCTACCAGAACCCTTCACCTGGCATCAAAGCATAATGTCTCAGGTACTGGGCAGAGGATCATTCACCTCTGCAGCCCAGCACTCAGCCAAAGGCAGGCAAAACCACTGCACGAAGGATGAGCTCAAGGTGCCCGGGAAAGACTCCACAAATGGGCTTACTTGGTAGAGACTGGAAGTGTTGGGAAAAAACAAAACAAAACAAAAAACACAGGAGCATCAAGCCAGGCAGGTCCCCGACACCCCGATTCAAATCAACAAGTAAGCTGGAGTGACTTCTGGTCACATCTTTCCCTGAAGTTTCTAAGAATTTAAGTGAATAAATAACCAGGAAAATGAGGAAGAGAATGTAGTGGCATGGAAAAAAACAAATAGGTAAAAATCAAGTATCCAGAAAGAGACAAGTCAAAAGGCAAAGTGAAGGTGCTGATGTGCGCTATTTCTCATAAAGGTGTTCCATTATGTGTCCCTCAGCACACAGACCCAATGCCCGGAGCTCTGAAAGGAACAGGTCAAAGAAAGGACCAAGCTAATTCTCTCTGCTGGAAGAAGGAACTGTGACAGGGCTGGAGTACCAGGACAGAGGGGAGGGTTTTTGCCTTGCATGCGGCCAATCTGGGTTCAATCCCCAGCAACACACAGGGTATTCTAAGATTGCTGGAAGTGATCCCTGACCACAGAGCCAGGAGTTAGCCCAGAGCACTGACAAGCAGGGCCCAGAAACCAAGGGGAGGATAGAACTATAATACTATAATTGTAGACAATCCCTCTCCTCCCCACCAACACACACACACACACACACACACACACACACACACACACACACACTTCCTCCAATTCTAACCCTATGCAAAACAGGGAAAAGAAAAGATCATAAAAATAGCAGCCAATACTTAGGATGGGAGATGCGTGCTAAGAGTAGACTATAGATCAAACATGATGGCCACTTAATACCTGTATTGCAACCCATAACACCCAAAAGGAGAGAGAGAATAAAAGAAAACGTGCCTGCTACAGAGGCAGTTGGGGGAATGGGGTGGGGGTGGCGGGAGGGATCCCGGGAACATTGGTGGTGGAGAATGGAAACTGGTGGAGGGATGGCTACTAGATCATTGTATGACTGAAATGTAATCATGAAAGTTTGTAGGTCTGTAACTGCATCTCACAGTGATTCATTAAAAAAAAAAAATATATATATATATATATATATATGTATATATATATATATATATACACAGCAGCCAAGAAGCTGCTGTCTTCAGAGGGTGGTGGAGGAAAACCCTGTACGTGAAGACACCACATAAGACACTGTCCAAGCGGTGGGCTGCACAGTGTGGACACAAGGGTCACAACCCGTCCCCCAGACCCACAATGCATAACCTGTCGCCATGGCACCTACTTTGCCGCAGCCCTCCTGGTCTTCCTCTTCTGTGACGGCTCATCTTCGGGCGCTGCCTCTTCCTCCAGCTCCTCCTCGTCAGCCGCCTGGTCCTCTTCGAGCTCCTCTGTGGCCCCCATTTTGCCTTTTCTCCGCAGATCCTGGGTGGGAGCAACCTGCAGGTCTGCTGGGTAATACTCATTGCTGCAGGGCCGGAGAGAGAGGACAGCGGGTTAAGGCCTGCGGCTGACCCGCGATCCATCCCAGCATGCTGTATGGTCCCCTAAGCCTCGCCAGGATTGTTCCCTGAGCACAGTGTCAGGAGTAAGCCCCGAACACCATGGGGTGTGGCACAAAACCAAAAACAAACTAATGGCTATAGAGAGAGAGAGAGCGAGCACAGTGGATAAAATACTTGTGCTACACACAGCCACAGGTTTAACCCCCAGCACTCCGTATGGTTCCCTGAGCCCTTCCAGGAGTGATCCCTGAGGACAGAGCCAGAAGTGAGCCCAGAGCACTTCCAGGTGTGGCCCACCCCCTGCCTAATCCCACAAAAACAAAACAAAAAAACACAAAAAATACACAAAAATATCCTCATTCCTTATGAAAGTTAACTAACGAGAAAGTAACTTGGTCTCATTCTTTTCCGTGTCCATGGACCACGCAGTAAAAAAAATCGGAGGTAGCTTAGCCCAATCTTCTGCACAGTCTTGGACCATTCGGCTCCTCTTGATGCTATTCGACCAGCCGACTACTAGCCACAGAGGCCAGCCCTGTCCAGGGCTTACACTGCTGAAAATACCTGAAATGTCTCTTTTGCGCTGAGCTGAAATCAGGCTTCCTTATCTCTGGACCCACAGATGAGGGACAGCAGGCATAAGGGCAGATGGTACTAGAAAATAAACATGAAGCCCTCCTCCTACACTCCACTTCAATCTCCAGAAAATGCAGCTCTCCCAGGGTGCTGTGATAAGGCTGACGGGAGCAGCTATGCCACTGTCCCACTGCACTGCTGCCCGAGGCCCTGGGGGCCAGCAGTCAGGTGCATGAGTGCAGCCACGAGAAAATGATGACACAAGAGCTCTGGCCAGGAAGCAGGAATTTGGGCAAACACAGCTGTGAGCATCTGCCACCCGGGGGAGGGCACGTGGCGACCAGGCGCGCAGGGAAGGGGACCTGCTATGGGATACGCAGTGAGCAACATGGTTGTGTCCAACACCACTGGGTGTGTGCAACTCCTGGGCATTGTTAACAACTATGGTAATGACATGAAAGGCAGGGGAGGGGGCACAAACTATCTCCCAAAATAAGAGTCATTAGTACCAAAGAGTCATTTTTTCTTTTTTCTTTTTAGGTCATACCTGGCGATGCACAAGGGTTACTCTTGGCTCATGCACTCAGGAATTACTCCTGGCGGTGCTCACGGGACCATATGGATGCTGGGGATCAAACCCGGGTCGTCCACGTGCAAGGCAAACGCCCTACTAGCTGTACTATCGCTCCAGCCCCACTGAAGTGTCTTGACTGAAGCATTTTTGAAAATTATCTGTATTTCAGTCTTTGTATATCCTCAAATTCATAGGCCCACTCCCACGCCAGGCTTCTCTCGCTACACTGACCTCCCTTACTAATGAAGAGGATCACTTGATTATTTGATCACTTGATATCCCGATACTCGTTGATTTGCTCAAGTGGGCGCCAGGGAAGAGGAAGGTTTTCTAAATCAAAAGAACTTCGAAAATGGACATAGCAGGAAATTCAGAACACGGTTGGCATCATTAAGGATCAGGCCGGCATATGTACAGCCCTTTACGTTTTACAAAACGAGACACAGACCCAGTTTTGAACAATCTTTGAAATAATTACTTGTTCTCGTTCTATAAATAAATCCCTCAAGAAAACCATTTACTTGTCTACCCCTGGATCCACTGTCATGTTTACATCTTTTCTTGGACACTTTGCTAGAATTATTTATAATAACCTTTTCACTTATGTACGGATGCCTTTTCACTTTTACCCATGCCAAGACACGCCACAATGACATTACGAATGTTCCCATCTGCTCTGCGTCATTCACGTCAGCATTCTGTATCTGCTGCTTAAATTATCAATGGAAAGTCCATCACAGTTCCTCTCTGCCCCCTAATTCTCCCTCCCTCGTGTCTGTTTTTTTTATTATTATTATAAAGCATGGTCTGCTCTTCCTTTGCCCACTTCCTTTAAGTCCACTTAAGTCTGACTTGCATTTCTCCCGAGTTAATTCTTGATAAGGTCACTTCTGAAACCAAAAGTTGATTCTAACTTTCCACTTGACTAATGTCTTGAACACATGACGCTCACAAGTTGGACTCCCCACAGAAATACTTTCAAGGGCTACACAGTGGTCTTGGTTCTTCCACCCCTCCGTTCTGGCTTCCTTTTCTGGGCCCACAGTTCCTGAACCCCATGTGGCCTATCAGTCCTTGATTGTCTTCTAGGGGCTTCTTCCTTCCATCTCTTACAATTTTGGGGACATATACATAAAGCCTGGCAAGCTACCCGTGACATACTCGATATACCAAACACAGTAACAAGTGTCACAATGGAGATGTTACTGGGCCCGCTTGAGTAAATTGATGAACAACGGGAGGACAGTGACAATGACAGTGATCCATTAATTTAGACCAATCTTTGCTGTGAAACTTAAGTTCCAAGTTCAACTGCCCACCTGACATCTTCATTTAGGCATCTATTCAATATCCCAAACTTGGCATGTTGGAAAACGATCCTCGCCACAAAACTGCAAACTTCTGCATCCCTCCGAGTCCCACTAATGGTAACTTTCTCATCTCAGTTGCTCAAGTCAACTCGGAACTATCATTTCTCCCTCAGGTGTATACCACCTTACACCGCATGTGCTGGAGATCCCATAGGCTTATCTTGCTGCAAATCCATTTCATGCTTCTGTTTTTGGGCCCCACCTGGTGATGTTCAGAGACTATTCCCAGCTCTAGGCTTGGGGGTCCCTCCTGGTTATGCTCGGGGGGACCAGGTGGTACTGAGAATCAAACTCTGGCTTCCTGCATGCAACGCATGTGCTCACTGCCCACTGCATTATCTTTCCCGCCGTGAGTTGCAATTACTCAGGTACACTACTGAGTTTGAAATCCTTCCCCCAAAAATGTCCAGAACTCAGCCGCCTCTCCTATTCTTCACTGTGATAGCCTAGATCAAGTCATCATCATTTTCTCGCTTGAATTTTTTCTTCTCACTGGTCTCTGTTCTCACCACTGTCATCCAACACTCTATTCTACTCTCAACACCAGGTCCAGAAAACTTCTGAAAAGCTTAAATGTGTCATCCATTGAACCTCCCAAGAATTTTCCATTTCGCTGCCAGAAAAAATACCCAAGTCTTTAACTGGCAGGCTTGACACAATTTGGTTCCCTTGGCATTTTGTTCCCACCTTTAACCTCTTCCCCCGTCACTCTGCTGCGGTTATCCAGCCCTCCTGCTGTTCTGTGGCTAAGCCTGGCAGGTGCCCGATGACCCCGGCAGGCTACACAGCTTAAGCTGGTGCCTGCTTTAACCTCTACCTGCTGCATTTTCCCAGGTCATGAAGTAGACAGGGAAAATATACTTTTAAGAAATAATTTTAGTATTCTTCGTATCTCCTGGCTTTCCCTATCTCTTTTAGTCTTCGAGCAACCCAATTCTCACATAGCCTGTCTACTTAAAATAAAACAACACCCCAGAAAGTTCAAGTTACTCTTCTAGAAAACAGTTCACAGCATTACGGGCAGCAATCTGGGGTGATTGCTACCCCACGGTCAGTACAAAATACGTTTCAAGTCCCAGGGAGGCACTAAACTAGGGCAAGAAGGAGTAAGGTCTTTGCATGCTGACTCAACTCAACGAGAACCTTCTCGTTAGGCAGCCTGGGGATTTTTTCCCTTCTAATTAATACCATTTGTGACCTGTTTAAAATCTTGTATATGAGCGTGACAGAGCCAAAAGGGTTATGGCTTGAAAAGATGACAGATGGATGAAGATGGCAGTGAAGACGGAAGCTTCCCACCTCTCCCCCTTTTCCTCACACCCGATCAGGGGACACATTTCGTGAAGCGAACGCTTACTTGATAAATCTCAAGAAAAGTGGGGAAAGCTCCCGGGACCGTGGCTCGACCCTCTCGGGGAACTTGGCCAGAGCCCGCCAGAGCAGGAAGCGGTAGTTGGTATGGTCAAGTCGTTCCCGGCAGTCCGTTTTCTGCGCTAACTGCTCCAGATAGAGTGCGCCCACATCGCCCTCCTCGGCCGGCTCCCCAGGCCCGTCTCCAGCGGCCTTCTCCCTCCTGTCACTCTGCAGCTCTTCCTCTGCAAGGAAACATTCGTCAGGACCCCAAGAGACACAAGAACCTCTGTCCACCCCATTTCCTCCAGTGAGGATCTTTCCTGGCCTATTGGCATTTGGAAGCAATAAAGCAAACGGAAAGGTTAGCAAAGAGATGACGATTCTCATTCCCCAACTTCATGTGCAATGAAACAGTAACAATTCAGCAGTTAAATCATCAATCACTTCTCTCCCCAGTGACCTCCTTTCCATGGCCCCTTACATACCAGCGTGTGTAGCTGCTTTTTCTAGATGCTCATAGTAGACTTTCCAGAACTGCTTATTTTCCATTTCGTGTGCATGAGAACTGAGGGGGAATAAAAAAAAATCACCAAGGAGAAAAAGAAAACAAGCAAAAAACCATGTTGCATGGTCAGTGCTATAACTCACAGAGGAAAGAGTCAGGACAAAACCAAAACTGTTAAGTTCTACCTGATAAACAAGTTCTGTTTCCCACTTTTTTTCCAAAATCCCAGCCCTGAGCAAAAATTATTATAAATTTCACAACTGAACATGAATTACTGGGGTACAGTTTCATGACTCCTCAGAGCAGGTGTCATATCACATCACACTTAGCAGCACAAAGTACTCACAAACCTCCATCACTGTCCTCTGGACCCTCCTCCCACCTGTAAAACCTCAGCTCTGCAGCCTGAGGCCAACAGGTTCCTTCCATTTTGTTCTGTCCACTGGCTTTGCTTCCCTATACCTCATGCAGGAGTCAAAGAAGACTATTTTTATTTTTATTTTTATTTTTTTTTTTTTTGGCTTTTGGGTCACACCCAGTGATACACAGGGGTTACTCCTGGATCATGCACTCAGGAATTACTCCTGGCAGTGCTCGGGGGACCATATGGGATGCTGGGAATCGAACCCGGGTTAGCCACGGACAAGGCAAACACCCTACCCGCTGTGCTATCGCTCCAGCCCCAGTAGACTATTTTTAGAGGCAGAAGTAACTGCCTTTTCAAAGCCAAGTGTGTGTGTGTGTGTGTGTGTGTGTGTGTGTGTGTGTGTGTGTGTGTATTTGGTTGGGAGTGCAGGTGGCAGTACTGGTAAGAGAACTCAGTCCCCATGTGCTCTGCCATGGAGCTATCCCCTCCTACCACCTCAAATCTAAAATGTGGGGGCTATTTTCCTCCTTCAGAAAATTCGAAGATACTTTTCATTAAAACAAAATCAGACTAAAAAGGCATTCCAACAAATACAGCATTCGAGACTCAGAATAGATGAATAATAAACATCTTTATAATGCGTTATTATTTCTAGCAGTATTTACTAAATATGTCACCTCTCTTGAGAGGCTGGGGCCCAGGCCCAGCAGAGCCCAGGTGGTGCTTGCTCCTGGCTCTGCACTCAGGGGTCACTGCTGGCAGGGTCTGGGGGTACTCGAACCTGGGCTGGCCCAGGTCTGTTATCTGTAAATAATGCACAACCCCCCCTCCCCCGGTTCATTTAAATCCCGTAGTCTTCCAAGTGTGGGTCAGAGCCCACGGTTTACTATAGCTGTTGTGTAACATCTAAAAGATCTGTCTTACATGAAGCTTGCTGATAATCTATCACCAGTCACTGTTTGATTTGTATGCCTATATACCCAAGATGTGTGAAATTTTCTCAGGGGTCACAGGAGGCATGAGTTTAAGAAGGCAGAACTTAAATCACACTGAGGAGGAGTCAGAAGACTGATATAAGGTTCCACAGTCGTCAAAGTATAACCGCCTCCTGCTGTTTTGCTCAGTTTCTGGTGACAGAGAAAGGGGCTTCTGCTTGCACAGGGGCTGAGTCACGCAGAAGCCGACCCTGTCCCAGGAGCAGTTGAGGAAGAGCTGATGGTAGGGGCGCAGGGTGGTGGGAGGCTTGAGGGGGGCCTGTAAAGCACCCACTGGCTGTGCCACAGAAATCACCACGGCAGCTGAGGCAGCCTGATGGCCAAGCATGGTTCCAGGGGCCAGGTCTGATGCCATAGGCTAGAATTTCTCTGCACGCTGCACTGCCTTCTCTGGTCTGGGCTTGTCTGGGCCAGTTGAGGGGCTCAAGGAACAGAACATAGGCTTTGACCTCACGGCCCAGAACCCTCACACACCCTCCCCTGCACTGCGAGCTATGGGCCGGGGTACCCAGCATTGCTGGGTATGACCCCCATAAGAAGAAAAGAATGCGGGGGGGAGGTAAGGAGGAGGGAGAGGAGAGAAAGAGAGGGATGAAGGAGGAGGGAGAGAGGAAGATTGGAGGGAGGGGGATTAGGTGATGGGAGGGAAAGAGGGAAGGAGGGAGGGAGGGAGGGAAGGAGGGAGGGAGGGAGGGAGGGAGGGAGGGAGGGAGGGAGGGAGGGAGGGAGGGAGGGAGGGAGGAAGAGGGAGGAGGGGGAGGAGGGAGGGAGGGAGGGAGGGAGGGAAGGAAGGAAGGAAGGAAGGAAGGAAGGAAGGAAGGAAGGAAGGAAGGCAGGCAGGCAGGCAGGCAGGCAGGCCGGCCGGTCAGCCATCCTGTAACTTATACTCACCTTATGAGTTCAATCACTGGGTCCCAGAGAGCACTAAAGTTAATATATAACATGCCTAATAAGTATCGGAGCGGCACCTGCAATTTATAGGAGACTAGATTAGGAAAAGGTTATGAACCAAAAAAAAATGGCATTGAAGTGCAAATATCTTAGATTCAAGAAAACCCGTGATTAGGATAGTGTGTACTTTGAGGAAAAGAAAAAAAAACAGGTATTAATTTCAAATTCAGTGTATAAGTTTTCCAAATGTCACTGTTTACCACAAAGAATCCCTCAAGTGAAAAAGTACTCATACTCATTCCAGATGCTCGCACATAAAGGACCCATTTAAATAAAGAGATTTGCTGTGCGATTGAAGTCCCGCCTGTCAAACACCGTCATCACCTGGCAAGATGAAAGTGGAGCAAGAGTTGGGGAGGGGGTGGGGGGAGGCACAGATGCCAAGAACACTGAGAAAGAGCCGTGAGTGGCAGCTGAGGCCTTGCAAGCTGATGTCCTGAGTTGACAAAGCTCTGTCGGCGCGCAGAGAGCCTGAAGCTCCCTCAGCCGCCTTCCGGAGGTGCTCACGCTCTCTATGACCTTCCCGAACCACCAGGAAGGCATCCAGGGCACGGCAGCTGTATTGTCCAGGGGTTGAGCGTATTTTAGCAGCATTTATTTCTGTTCCTTACAGGAAGCATCACCCAGGACACTAACATAAAAACTGATTAAGAGCAGAACTACTGAGTGGAAAGGGAGTGTGTCTCCTGGGCGTTCCTTCCAGAGGGATTCACAGCGGGTCTTCAAGGATCATGGACAGGAAAAGCCTGCGTGATGACAGGTGACGGCTGGGCTCAGAACCTGATTGTATAATGGCCTGCTGGTACCTACGGCCGACATTCATGTACTAGTCTCAACCCAAGCAGGGGCAGGCCTGGAGGGTTACTTCTACTATTAAAAACAACTGCTAGAGCCATTTAATGGAGATCAATCTGGAATCTTTTGTTGGAGGAGGAGTGGGGGAGCCAACTGTGGTCAGGGATAACTCCGGGCCCTATGAGGTGTCCAGAATTGAACTGAGTCTGGCTGCGCACAAGGCAAGAGCCATAATCCCTGTTCTGAGGGTTTTTTTTAATTTTATAAAGTAGTTCACAATATTGGATTACATTTAATATTCAAACACCAATCCCACCACCATATTTCATGTGTTACCATCCTGAACCCCAATCCCTGCCCCAAAGCAGAACCAAAAAAATATAGTTTGTATGGTTTGTTATAAAAAGCCTCTGAAAATGCTACCAAAAAGTATCCTTAGAGGAAAGAGTGTGAAGATTGTTGTATTTTACCCAAGGGCCATTAAGCCCTTCTATAAGAGATCACTAACATGTTGTTAAAGGTTGAGCCTTGTGTGCTTTTTATATATGTATCTGTTTAAAAAAAAAAGTATATTTCCCTCTAAGATTGATTGCCTCCTATACTGAACCAAAACCCCTGTTCTATCTCTGCAGCTGCCTTTGGTGTTTTACTAGGTCACATGGGGCTTGCTTGGGGCTATGTCCAGCTCTGTGCTGGGGGATCACTTCCGGCAGTGCTTGGAGGAGGGGACCGGGTGGGGCTGGGGACCCTAGGGGGAGCCCCGCCCTGTGAGCTTTCTCTGCAGCCGGACGCTGCTAGCGTTCAGAAGGTTTTCCTGTGCGATGACTTGGTATGCTTCCCTTTCCCAAAACCTGGTTAAACCGATCTCCGAACCTAGATTTGGTTCGACTGCGAACTCAAGAGAGAGACCCGGTTCCTACCTCCTGCAAGGGCCCGTCGGGCACGGACGTCCGCGCCACATCGTGCCGGAGCTTCCTCAGATGCAGCAGCTTCTCCCTGTAATCGCTCACAGTGGCCGGGACCAGCTCCGCCTGGCGCAGGATGGCGAAGGCCGACCGCCGCTCCGAGGGCCCGTCGTCCTGCACGACACAGAAAACCTGCATGGCGGTTTTCCCAGAGGAACGGGAGACAGGGCCGGAGCCCAAAGAGGTGAGCGTGTCTCACCCGGGAAAACATCCACCCCCACGCTCCTCCCCATTGATGATCCAGGTTTATTCGAGTGCTTCTCACACCATCTCCTTTGGGGTAGATGATTCGGAGTTAGTGTCAGGCAAAGATACGACAAATACTATTGGAAGGCAATTCCCAAAATGATGCCAAGTGGTGGGATCACAGGTTGGAATAAAGATGCGGTCTGCAATTTCATGAAACAATTCCACCTCGACTGCAAGTCGCTTCTCTTGGCATTGTGGCTACATTTCCCACCACAAAGACACTTGCCTAGGTGGATTATTATTATTGGAAATAGGAGGGAACTTACACAAACATTCGGTTTGGGCAGCCATTAACAGGGAATTGGATGAACTATTCCATTTGTTTTTTCCTGTTGTTTGTTTTGCTTTGTAGGGTGTCTCCTACTGGAGCTGGGGGCTACCTTGGTCAGAATGGAGGCGTTCAGGAGGCCTGTTTGTTCTGGGGGTTAAACTGGGGCCTTGTACACGCCAGACATAATCCCCAGCCATGTGAGTGGCTTCCTGTTTTACTTTTTGCTTTTTAACACATTGCTATCGGCAATGCTGGAACTGAAGGGAAAGGCTCACACATGCCATCCCCCTGCGGGCCCCATCTCCTCTTGTAAACTACAACACTTTACTCAAGCTTCAAAAGAGAGGAGGAAGCCCCAGAGGAACTGTGATGGGAAGATCTCCAGCATGCCAACTGCTCCAATTACATAAGGTATACAAAATGTCTGAGCACAGTCACCAGTTAAGTAGGAATTTTCTCTGATGCTCTCGGGGGTAGGCAGGTGAGAGAAAGAGCACGAAAATGTCAGTTTTTGCAACAGATGTTTATAGAGTTTGGATTTCCTGCTAAAGCATGATTCTGGAAATAAAAAGATACATGAAAACTTGTCTTTCTGAAAAAATGATGCAAACAGCTAAAATACCTCCATCAATTCTGGAAGTTGCACTTCGAAGTGATTTAGGATCCTTATTGTCAACAGCCGAATCTAGAGAACAAAAACAATTTTCAAAACAGAGCTTAAACTCTACGAAGAAACTGATTAACAGGGAAAGGTAAATTTTATTGTTATTATTATTATTTTTTTTCCTTTTTGGGTCATACCCGGCGATGCACAGGGATTACTCCTAGCTCTGGGGACCATATGAGATGCTGGGAATCAAACCCAGGTAGGCTGCATGTAAGGCAAACACTTTCCACACTCTGCTATCACTCCAGCCCCCTAAATTTTATTATTTTTGATGTTGGGTGCCATGCTGAGCTGAGGGATCTCTTCCAATGGAACTCAGGGGACCACCGGGGTGCCAGGGATCAAATCTATGTTGGCTTCGTGCAAGGCAATAGACCCACCCACTATACCATCATTCTGTACCCATTTTTTCTTTTTTTTTTGAGGGGGGGGAGGGGTGTTAAGTTTCAAAGAATTTTTTTAAAAAAATACCAGTTGCCAGAGTAACATCTATTCATTCCAGCCCTTATTTCTTCTTCCACACTTATCAACATCTAATCAAACAGTGCCCAGAATCATGAACTGCTGCAAACAATGAGAAAATAAGGTGGTCCATAAGACCAGGTGGTTGTTTTGAACTGTGTGACATTAAAAGCATCTCTATAAATAAGTTCAATAATTCTAAGCCTACAGTTCCAACTAAAACCAGCCATTTTCTTTTTAAATAACATTCAGTTATTTCTGAACACAAATAAACAGCAGAATCACTTAGAGGATCTTACAAAACCATACAGAATTTTTAATTCTGCCCAAACAGTGCTACTAAGTCAGTATTGGGAAAAGGAGGAGAAGGGATTGGAGAGCGCAGAATCTGTGCTTTTATTAAGCTTCCCCATGAAGACTGTTGCCATCAGCCTGCGGGCACCTGCTGCCACTGACAGAAATGCCTTCCCACAGTATTTTCTGGTTCAGGAACTCTGACTGACCATCACTGACCATGCATGGCGGGATGAGACAATAGACCATAAACGGCATTACCTTGGATATCCCCGTCGAAATGTTTGCTTGTAACTTGGGGAACAATTCCATTAACGCTTCCTCAGAAAGGGGCCCTCGGCAGCCACATAACGATAATCTCTGATAATACAGATCGGCCAAGAGCAACACCGACGGCTCTGAAGGAAGGGCCCTGCAACAAGGAACACATGAGCTGCACGGCGCATGACCCACAGAGGACTAAGACCCCAGAGAAACGGTGGAACCACCATGGAACGGGGAAGTGCAAAGGGGACAGGGCAAGTTCTCAGCACCCTTTCAGAGATAAAGACATGCCCAGGAACAGCAAGGACAATACCTCAGGACGCACCATGCACCAGAGGCACAGGCTGAACTAGAATCTGGTATCTGGGGCCAGAGAGTGAGTACAATGGGTAGGGCACTTGCCTTGTATGTGGACAAGATGGTTTCCATCCCCATCTTGTGACCTGAGCCCCACCACGAGTAATCCCTGAACAGGAAAGGGGGTGGGGTAGGTCAAATAAATCTGGGGATCTCTGATCTAAGCCAATTAAAAATTTGTTTTGTTTTGCTTTTTTGGGGTCATACCCGGCAATGCACAGGAGTTACTCCTGGTACACGCACTCCAGAATTACTCCTGGCGGTATTCGGGAGACCATATGGGATGCTGGGAATCGAACCGGGGTTGGCTGCGTGCAAGGCAAACACCCTACCCACTGTGCTATTGCTCCAGCCTCACCAGTTATAAATTTCTATGTGACTGTAACCCAGAGATCACATGGATCAAAAAAAGGGCTGTCCTGCCGCCCACGATTTCACAGCAAGAGAAAAACGCCAGTGTCTGACTTGTTGTTGAGCTGAATTGAAGCTGTGTTTACTCACAAGACTAGATTCTTCACACGTTCCACAGGAACCAAATGAAGTACTTCAGAAGATTCTTCCAAACTGAGAAGAGTACTGATAGCCTGACACAGAACAAATAAGTTTCCTAAAGGCAGACAAAAGAGAGGAGAAAGCACATCGCTTTTATGTCTTTGCCACGGTAACTGCCAGTCATTTCATGTAGCTAACACTTGCTATTTATAGGAAGTTCTTAAAGTGCATTTCTGTCCTCTAAAGAATTACCTGTTAAATGTCAGACAATAAGGAGCTAACAAAAGAGGGCTCCCCAATGCGTGCTGTGAAGGAACAAACATGATAACCTCTCAGTATCTGTGCTGCAGACCACAGCCCCCAGAAAAGTGAGGGGACGGGGGGGGGAAGAGAGAGAGGGGGGGGAAGAGAGAGAGAGAGAGAGAGAGAGAGAGAGAGAGAGAGAGAGAAAGCTTCCATAGAAAAAGATGGTGGGGGGGTATGGTGGGAGGGAAACTGATCATTGATGGCAGAAATGGACACTGGTGGAGGGATGGGTATTGGAACATTTTATAACTGAAACCTGATCATGAACAGCTTTGCAACTGCCTATCTCTCGGTGACTCAATTAAAAACAAAACAAAACAAAAAACCCAAAAGGTTCCAAAACACATTATTTTCACTTTCATAAACTTTTTAATTTTGTTAGGTGCTTGGAAATAGGCCTGGAGCAATAGCACAGCGGTAGGGCATTTGCCTTGCACACAGCCAGCCCAGCCCAGCTGGGTTGATTCCTCCGCCCCTCTCGGAGAGCCCGGCAAGCTACCAAGAGCATCTCACCCGCACGGCAAAGCCTGGCAAGCTCCCCGTGACGTATTCAATATGCCAAAACCAGTAACAACAAGTCTCACAATGGAGATGTTACTGGGCCTGCTCGAGCAAATCGATGAACAACGGGAGGACAGTGCTACAGACAGTGCTACTTGGAAATAAAAAATAACTGGGAAGAGGGGTAAATTCAATGATTCCACCCATACGCATTATTAAGATAAAATTAGATGAGCAGAGAGAGAGTGCAGTGGATAGGCACTTGCCCTACACACGGCCAACCCAGATTCGATCCCCAGCACCCCCTGTGGTCTCCTGAGCACAGAGCCAGGAGGAAGCCAGGAGGAGGAAATCCTGCTCAGACGCAGCCCCCAAACAAACAAACAAAAACCTCTAAAAATCAGAATTGGGGGAGGCCTTGGGATTCCGTGAAGGGTTCCTATGCCTGCCACATACAATGTCCTGGGCACGAATCCTCAGATGGGCACCACAGACCCAGCCCCTTCCATGCACTGTCATTCCATAGAACAATTTTTTTTTTTTAAGTTTTTGTGTCAAAACTAGCAGCATTCAGGAGCAGCCCTATGACCTCTGGCAGTGCTTGAAAGACTGTATGTGGTACCTGGGATCAATCTGGGGCCAGCCACATTCAAGGCCAGCGCCTGAATCCCTCTACTATCTCTCCTGAGCCCCCTCTAGCGCAACTATTTAGAAGCTAGAATTGGGGGTAGGGGGGTGGGGGGTGGAGTGTCATCTCGGACCTGTGAGAAACCTAAGAAACTACTGGTGTGACTCCGAACGATGTCATGTCTCCCGCTTATAAAATGCACATATGTACCTGGCAGCATCCATTATTATTGTACATTACTGTTGACTAGACACAGACTCAGTCCAGAGGCTGGCAATCTAGGGTGCACAGGATAGATCTTCTAAGGCAGCCTGTCTTTATACGCCAGGAGCTAAAATGCTTTTCACAGTTTTAAAGCGTTTTTGTTTTTTGGTTGTTTTTTTTTTTTTTTAAATAAAACAAAAAAGCAAAACACCATGCCACGAAGATTGAATGAACCTAAAATACTTGCCATCTGGTTCTTCACAAAAAACATTTGCAAAGCCCCTAGTGGAGACTATACCAAGTGCTGTCCAGCAGAACTCTGTGAAATGATGACTGTTCCATACTCAGGGTAGCATAAACCCACAATCCACTATCATAACCACCAGCCGCCTTCGGCTACTGAGCATTTAAAAACCTGAATCTTAGGGGCTGGATAGTAGATAGTAGAGCAGATAGGGCACTTGCCTTGCCTGTGGCTGACCTGGGTTTGATTCGATATGGTCCCCCGATATGGAACAGGTACCCTGGGTATGGAACTCACAGCTGCTCCTCCCAGACGGGAGTATAAAATGAGGCCCCCATGACCATGCCACCGGACTCCATGCCAGGCTGTTTTCACTTGAGGTGCCCCAAGAGGGGCGGATGAGAGCCCTTCCCGCCCCAAGGGACCCAGCCCCGACAGCCGACTTCCACTACCCAACCGCCGCCACGCCCCAGGCCACTTTCCAAACCGTGTGGCCGCTTTGCATTATAGAACACTTTCTACCCATTTTCCATAATTGCCACACCATATTTGATGGGGTTCAGACAGTAGGCAACACACCATAGAGAGAACTATATAAATATATGCCTCTCGGAGAGCCCAGCAAGCTATCTAGAGTATCCCGTCCGCATGGGCAGAGCCTGGCAAGCTCCCCGTAGCGTATTTGATATGCCAAAACCAGTAATGACAACAGGTCTCATTCCCCTGACCCTGAAAGAGCCTCCGATTGTTGGGAAAAGATGAGTTAAGAAGAGGCTACTAAAATCTCAGGGCGAGGAGGAATAGAGACATTACTGGTGCCCGTGCAAGTAAATCGACGAACAACAGGATGACGGTGATAGTGATACAATGGTTTCCCGAGCCTGCCAGGAGTAATTCCTGAGTGCAGAGCCAGGGGTTATCCCTGAGACAGACACATTAATGCTGAAATCCGTGAATGATGCCTAGACTCATTCTTAGAAAATAACGCTAGGCTGGAAGAAAACAAAAGGCCTGCTTTCACAGTGTGGCTCGGGTGGGGGTGGAGAGACAGCCCAGCACACCACAGGAATAGTGTCCGGCGCCGGGAAGCCCGATTCTGCCTGGAAGAACTCAGCGGGCCTTCCCAGCCGTGTCTGGAAAGGTAAGAGCTCACCACAGGACAAAGACCGAGAGAGGCCCGGGAGATTTGCGCGTGGGCAGCCAGTCTGGCTCAGGGTGAGCAAGTGGGAAGGCCGGGAGCGCAAGGGCACGACAGCCTGGCCCGTCTGTCCTCAGGAGGTAGACGCACGACCTTCACGGTCTGGCCCATCCCGTCCAGTCCTCTTCTCCCCCCACGCACCACAGGGGGTTGTGCCGGGACACAATGCAAGCACTGTTCCTGGGCCTGCCCTGGCGTGTTTGTGGTGGCTCTGGATGCACCAGAGAAGCAGTGTTGACTGTGAACTGACCTTTTCCCAAATTCCCTGTGTCAATACTCAGGAGCAGGGCTTCCACGAAGCAGGCGACCGGTGGCACCACCTTCTCCTTCTCCAGGGGTCTGTTGGGTGGTGGTGGGGGGGACAGAGAGGAAAAGCGTTTGGGTGGCAGTTACAGGCCGCAGCAGGGATGGACAGATGGGCGACCCCACCTGAGTCTGGAACATCCCCCCCAGCCCTTTCCCGGTCGCACGGAGTTGGCTCTCTTACCGAACATGAGGCAACACGACGAGGGCTGCCCAAGAGCGCGAGAGGCAAGCATCCCGGGCGGGCGGCCGCTCGATCATGCCCAAGAGGTGGTCCAGCACCGTCCTGGCCTCCTTTCCTCCCCTGGACCTCGTCCTCCTCTGTCGTGTACATGCTCTGGATGGAGGGAAAGAGAGACGGGGGTTGAAAACAAAGCAGAGCTGCTCTTGCCTGCGGGGTGGGTAAGAAAACTGTTTCCTTTGCACCTGCAGAACACTGAGGGGAGAGGAGAGAAGAGGCGGAGGCCGACCCTCGAAACCAAACCAATTGAGTCACTGCTGATTTTCAGTGGAATGATCCTTCTATGACCCTTCCATCCTGGCTGCGGTCTCCTCCTTCTATTTTTCCGCCATAATTCTGCTTCCTGACCTGTCTCCTCTGGTTTGAGGCATCATTTCTGAGTGTGGCGCCCAGAGTGGCACATTTTTTAAGAACTGGGAGATGTTCAGAGTAGGGAGCTGACATCTTCCGTTCTCTCTATTCCTCTTTCGTATCCTCGTACCCTCTTCCTTACTTTCCATCACTGTCACTATAATGTTGTTCATCGATTTGCTCGAGCGGGCCCAGTAACGTCTCCATTGGAGACTTTGTTGTTCTTGTGTTTGGCATATCGAATACATCACGGGTAGCTTGCCAGGCTCTGCCGTGCGGGCGAGATACTCTCGGTAGCTTGCCGGGCTCTCCGAGAGAGGCGGAGGAATCGAACTCAGGTTGGCCATGTTGGCTGTGTGCAAGGCAAACGCCCTACCGCTGTGCTATCGCTCCAGCCCTTCCTTACTCTCATACCCTGGTTTTTTTTTCCACTCTTGAGGTCACACCCGACGATGCACAGAGGTTACTGCTGGCTCTGCACTCAGGAGTAACCCCTGGCGGTGCTCAGGGGACCATATGGGATGCTGGGAATTGAACCCAGGTCAGTTGCGTGCAAGGCAAACGCCCTACTCACTCTAGCTCTCTTCCATACCCTCTTGCACATGTTACGAGCTGCTCCACCAGCATGGGCTGACTCTGCAGTGATCCCAGTGCCTCTGACAACCGGCATCACTACAGCGATGAAGATTCTGTGGAAGTACTTTCTCTGCTGCTTTAATCAGATTAACTGTTTAAACAGATTAATCAGATATCGCTGGAGCGATAGCATAGTGGTAGGGCGTTCGCCTTACAAGCGACCAACATGGCCGACCCGAGTTCGATTCCTCCGCCCCTCTCGGAGAGCCGGGCAAGCTACCGAGAGTATTCGATATGCCAGACACAGTAACAACAAAGTCTCCAATGGAGACGTCACTGGGCCCGCTCGAGCAAATCGATGATCAACGGGAGGGCCTTTACCTTTACCTTTAACGACCAGTTACTAGACCATGCTTTCCCACACTTTCCCACAAACAATGCTGTCTGTTCCTTTGGCACTGTTCTTGTTAGCCTCCCTTAAACTCTGCCAATGAACAATACTTCAACCTACAAGGAGGGAGGGAACAGTAATCTAATCAAAAGGAACAACAGGAACTGTGAGTATAAAATGTATCATTTATCTTCCATTGTCCAGTTCTCAGTTACTGAGAACAATTACCAGTAACAAGTCTCACAATGGACACGTTACTGGTGCCTGCTCGAGCAAATCCATGAACAACAGGACAGTGCTACAGTGCCACAGTCCAGTTCTCAGTAGAGGCGGGGACCAGTTTTAATTCCTGTTCTTTTTATCATTAAAAGTAACCCCCAGGAAAAGGCAGCTGAGACAGAGAAGGAAGGACCAAATAAAGGGTGTTGGGAGGATCCTCCCAGGATGGGAGATGCATGCTGAAAGCAGACTATAGACCAAACGTGACTGCCACTCAATGCCTCTTTTGCAAACCACAACACCCAATAGGAGAGAGAGAACAAAAGGGAATGCCCTGCCACAGAGGCAGGGGGGGATGGGGAGATGGGGGGGGCGGGGGATATTATCCATGGTGGTGGAAAATGGGCACTGGTGGAGAGATGGGTATTTGATCATTGTGTAATCGAAACCCAAGCACAAAAATTTGTAAGTCTACAACTGTACCTCATGGTGTTTCACTAATAAAAATTAAAAAAAAAAAAAGTAACCCCCCAAAGTTGATTCTTTCGTTTAATACTCACCAGGACACTGTTCTATTTTTTGGGGGGGAGGGGGGGCACAGTCTAGGCCATATTCAGTAATCCTCAGAGGTTACTCCTGGCTCTGCACTCAGGAATTACTCCTGGCAGTGCTCAGGGAACCGTATGGGATGCCGAATCAAAACTGGGTCAGCAGTGTGCAAGGTAAAAACCCTACCCACTGTACTATCACTCTGGCCCTCTATGATTTCTTCATATGATTTGTTTTTTCTTTTGGTTTTGGAGCGACACCCAGCAGCGCTCAGGGGTCACTCCTGGCGAGACCCAGGGGACCATATGGGATGTCAGGGATTGAACTCTAGTCAGCTGCATGCAAGGCAAGTGCTGTACCCACTATACTCTCTAGTCTTCACTATGATTTTCATAGCTACCTTGATAGTCTTTCTAGTGACTGTGACTCAGGAGACCAGAAACATTAATACCAAGACGCCTTTAAAGAAGTGGATTCTAAGTTGCCGGGTGACTCCACTGCTGTGATCACATACGCCAGGGCATTCCTCCAAGAAAATCAGTCTCACCTCATGTGTGGGGCCCCGTGTGATGTACCCTCGCCCACTTCACGTGCTCACACCCCACTTTCACTTTCGGATGCTCCTGCCTTCCTTCTCCCCCTGGAACACAAGGGGCTTCCTCTCATCCCAGCTCCTTTGCTGGGACTCTTCCCTCTGCCCAGAAAGTCCTTCGCTTGCCTTCTCCGCAAGGGGATAAGAGGGCAGGGGACTCTTTCCCGGGCAAAGCACAGTCTCCTCAGTGACTCTCCGTACTAGTTTGCTTTCCTCTGTATCACATCTAAAAGGCCTTCCCAGGGGCCGAGCAACAGCACAGGGGTTCAGCGTTTGCCTTGCAGGCTGCTGAGCTGGGTTCAAGTCCTGGCATCCCAGATGGTCCCTGGAGCACCACACGAAGGAATTCCTGAGTGTAGAGCCAAGAGTAACCCCTGAGCACTGCTGGGTGTGACCCAAAAAGCTAAAACATCTTTTAAAAAAAAATAATAAATACGAAATTGCACATAAGCAAATAAATAAATAAAATGACCTCCCTGCCTTCCCTAACCAAGAATGCCATCTCCCGCAAACAAGAGACTTTTTCTTATTCACTGCTACACCCCTGGTACCCTAAGCATCTGTCAATGAAAGGATGAACTTGTCTTCTGGAAAACTCTCCTGTATATTGTAGCTAGTTCTACTCACAGTAAACCCGAGAAAGAAGTGGACTATCACTGAGAAGAATCAGACAAAGGTGCCACCTCCCCCCCCCGCCCCCACAGACCCCATGTATGTATGCGTATGAGTGTATGTTTTGCGTGCGTGTAATGTGTGTGTGTGTGTGTGTGTGTTTGGCAGGGGTGGGGGGGTGAGTTGGGGAGAGCAGAGGGCTGTTTAATCAGAGAAACAAACTGAAGCAGCAGCAGTGCTCCATGCCAATATGCCTGCCTGCATTTATTCTCATCCAGCTGCACCCCACGGGATCAGAGACGGCGGAGAGGACTGTGTGAAGTCTGGCCCATGGGCTCAGCCAGAAACCGGGACTTGCACCCTGGAAAGGAACAAAGCAACTGCCCTCCCGTGGTCCAGAAGTTCTGCTCAAGAACTTTCCACTGCTGGAAGCCTGGTTTGGTGCCCCAACTGAAATACAGCCGTGTGAAAGGGATCAGTGGCTCCCACCTCAAGGGTTGCCGTGACATTATGAGGAGAAGGGTTCTGTAGGAAACGGGAAACACAGCCACAGCTCTAACTAACCCACGAAGGGGAAAAAAAAATAAAGTATCAACTCAAAACAGGAAGAATGAGGCAGTTGCTTCCCATTCCAAATTTCTAGACGCGCACCCACTCGACTATTTGAAAAACGGTACGCATAAAATTTCTCACATGTTTAGACCAACTTTGTTTCAGCTTCTGTAGAGTATATACTATTTTTTAATGAAATCAAGTAATCCATGGCCCTTTTTAGTAACTCAAACAATGCAGAGACATTTAATCTAAAACCAAATACTCAATCCCTTCCCATCTCCTGATATGCAGTATTATGTACTTTGGAAGAAATATAAATTCTCCCCAAACTGAACTATCAGTATAGTCCATCTGCAAACAAAATCCTGGCAAGGCTTTTTTAAGGTAGACATGACAAGCTTTTTAAAAATATTTATAAAAGGACCAGAAAAAGCAGAAACCATTTTTTAAAAATGAAGAAGACAAGTGGGAGGCCTTTATTTTTTTCAAGATTTTTGGACTTCCTTAGTAGCTCTACAATTCGAGCAGTAAGGTACTGTAATAACGGAGCAGCACAGACAACGGAACAATGGACAATGAAACAGAGAACCCAGAGCAGACAGTACACAAACACCCAGCTGATTTTGACAAGGGTGATCTGACTTTGGCAAGGATGATGAGTCAGTTCAAAGAGGCAAAAAACATAAGACACCTGACCTGAACTTGGCACCTTATATCAATATCCAAAGTGACTCAGAGTGGATCAGGGACCCAGGGGTTTTGTTCAGCTCCTAGAACAAGCAGGCATGAGGCCCCGAGTCTGCCCCCAAGCTGGTCCACATACTGAGAGAGATCACAACCACTGCTGAATACCTATCAGCAGAAGGTGTGTTCCCCAGCTCGACCTATCCAAGTGCATAAGAGAACCACGGCCTAAAGTGTTTGACCCCCAGTGACCCCACAACTAAGTGTGTGACCAAAACCAAACGGGGACCCTGGTTATCACCACAAGAGAAGTGGAAGGGGGGTGAGGAGAGGATCTCAAAGTGGACTTAAATGTAAAACTCTGAAATTTAAAAAAAAAAAAATTTGCGAATTCTTCAAAAACACTGTCCCTAACAACAACATAAAGCTTGGTGCACAGGCTCATCAAAATGCGAAAACTGATACAGCCGGAAGAGAAGGGCCCATGGAGGGCGGGACCCACAACTCCCGGAGAAAAAGAAAAAAACAGGTTCCAAAAAGAGCCGAGATCATCGGGAAGTACCAGATGGGGTAGGTACCGCATCCCGCCTCCCCCAGATGGAACCCCGGTGACCAGAAGCCTCTACAAGCACAGCTCGAGTATGCGGGAACTAGGACTTTTCCTCAAAACCGCGTGGCCGCTTACGCGGCCGCACGACATCTCTCTATATACAAAGTGATCAATGGGAAGTAAACCACCCAACGTTTCTCCCTGAAAATCAGAGTTAAGTTTGGAGCACGGCCACAGCCCCAGAAACACAAGGACTTAATGCAGAACCCAGCAGCTTGGAGCAGAAAAGTGAACGGACTATGCGTTAATCCAGGCCATCATGTCTACCCGGAGGGGAAAGGGTGTTGCCCCATTCGCCCTCTCTTCTCTGGAAAGAAGGATGGCGGCCACATGGGAGCCTTGTGGACAGCAGGTATGAGCCCGGGGTGTGGGGGCGACTAAAACCTCATGGGAAGGGGGGCGTTCCGGTCTGTCCTTCAGCCCTACCGAGGTCACCAGTTACCCCCCACGAGCGGCTCTCCAGCACAGCCACGGCCCCAGAAGCACAAGGACTTAATGCAGAACCCAGCAGCTTGGAGCAGAAAAGTGAAAGGACTATGCGTTAATCCAGGCCATCATGTCTGCCCGGAGGGGAAAGGGTGTTGCTCCCTTCCGCCCTCCTCCCTCTGGAAAGAAAGATGGCGGCCACACGGGAGCCTTGTGGACAGCAGGTATGAGCCGGGGGTGTGGGGGCGACTAAAACCTCATGGGAAAGGGGGCGTTCCAGTCCGTCCTTCATGCCCTACCGAGGTCACCAGTTGCCCCCCACGAGCGGCTCTCCAGCACAGCCACGGCCCAGAAGCACAAGGACTTAATGCAGAACCCGGCAGCTTGGAGCAGAAAAGTGAACGAACTATGCGTTAATCCAGGCCATCATGTCTGTCCGGAGGGGAAAGGGTGTTGCCCCATTCGCCCTTTCCTCCCTGGAAAGAAAGATGGCGGCCGCATGGGAGCCTTGTGGACAGCAGGTATGAGCCGGGGGTGTGGGGGCGACTAAAACCTCATGGGAAGGGGGGCGTTTCGGTCCGCCCTTCACACCCTACCGAGGCCACCAGTTGCCCCCCACAAGCGGCTCTCCAGCACGGCCACGACTCCAGAGCACAGAAACCAATTTCTTAACTATCTGACTTTCAGTAGAAATACTTCCAGGGTCAATAAGTAAAATAGCAGAAATCCAAAACCAACATTTAATTCTTGAACCCAGCTGTAGAAAGCAAATCACTTCACAATGCTTTTTCAGCATGTCTGATTTGGGGGGGGGGGGGGGGGGGGTGAACTCTAAATAATAGTGGTGAATCTTTTAATGAAACAATGAATCTAATCAAAGCAGATAGAATGTTAACTAGAATTCATCTGCCTCACAGGGACTGGGAGGGGTGGGGGGTGGGGTCTTATTGGGGTTCTTCATGGTAAAAAATAAGTATTGGTAAAGGGAAATGTGTTTGATATTTGCATGACTGAGACCTAAACCTGAAAGCTTTGTAACCTTTCCCACAGTGATTCAATAAATAAATTAAAATATATATATGTATATACATATATATTATATGTATACATATAACGTACATATATATTATATACCACAAATGAACAAGAAAAAAAGCGAAAACTAAAAAAAAAAAAAAAGTGAAAACTATCCTCCATGGAACAGCATCAACAGCTAGTCCATCACTGGGAGGACGTACCTGCCAATCACATGCCTGGCAGAGGACCTGCATTTGGGATAAATCGAGTCCTCTACGGGCTGGAGCGATAGCACAGCGGTAGGGCATTTGCCTTGCACGCAGCCAACATGGCCGACCCGAGTTCGATTCCTCCGCCCCTCTCGGAGAGCCCAGCAAGCTACCGAGAGTATCTCGCCCGCCCGGCAGAGCTCCAAGCTCCCCATGACGTATTCGATATGCCAAACACAGTAACAACAAAGTCTCCAATGCAGACGTTACTGGGCCCGCTTGAGCAAATCGATGATCAACGGGAGGACCGAGTCCTCTATGGCAAATAACACTGGTTTGTGGGGAGGCAGCTCATGGCCACCGAAAGCACCCGTCACGCACCCCCAGTTTGAACTCACGCTCTCAAAGCTCAACCATAAAGAAACAACCACGGGCAGAGGGGGGACAGTACAGGGCTTAAGGCACCTGCCTTGCATAAGGCCAACCTGGGCCCAACCCCCGACCCAGGGGCCACTGTTTTGACTTTGCAAACTATAACCAGACTAAGGGATGGTGTGACGCTTCGCTTTTGTCATGGTAGAGAGAGGAGGTCCTGCCAGTGGATTCACAAAGATCCTGGCTTTATATAGCATCCTTGGCATGCTATTTTCAAACTGAGGTGGCTGGCAGCGATACCACGGGCACGGTCCGAGCACTTACCCCGCCTCCTGCTTCGGGAAAGCCAGAGGATACTTCTCGGAGGCCATGGAGCTGGCAGAGGGAGGCGCGGCCTTGCTCAGTACCAGCTTGGTCAAAAGCGCCAGAGCTTCGTCGGTGGCACTCGCGTCATCCGCCAAGAAGCAAGTCTCAAGGTACAGGAGGAGGCTGGGCAGGAAAAGCTAAACATAAGACAGGAAGTCACGATGATGGACCAATTTCAGCGTGCCTAATAAAGAGATTATTCAAACATTTCCACAAAGTAAAAAAAAAAAAAAAAGAAACAAACAGATCATAAAGCATCAGGAACTATAAACCGCTTGGACCAGCAGGACTGTAGCACTGTAGTCCCGTTGTTCATTGATTTGCTCGAGCGGGCACCAGTAATGTCTGCATTGTGAGACTTGTTGTTACTGTTTATGGCATATCAAATACAGCACGGGTAGCTTGCCAGGCTCTGCCATGCGAGTGGGATACTCTTGGTAGCTTGCCAGGCTCTCCGAGAGGGGTGGAGAAATCAAACCAAGGCCATCCAGGGTCGGCCGCTTGCAAGGCAAACGCCCTAACTGCTGTGCTATTGCTCCAGCCCAGACCAGCAGGGCAATAAAGAACAAACAACAAAGCCAGACTAAGGAGCAAGGTCTTCAACATGGAGAGAAGGTGACAGCACTGGAACTCTAGACCCAGCCTACCAGCAGGTCAAGAAGATAGACAGGGCCGAGATCAGCCTTGTTCCATCCCGGCACAAGACCTCCTGGGCATGGCCAGGAGTGGCCCTGCCCACTGCATTCTCTCTCCAGCCCCCCAAAGTCTAACTATTTACGACGGAATAAAGGACACACACACAAAATCAAATTTATCTTACTCACCTGCTCGAACTGCTTCATAGGAAACATGACTTCGGAAAAATCCAAAAGCAAACGTCTTTCAAGTCGGCTCTCAAAAATCTGGAGACCAGAAGCAAGAGTGTGATTTTCAGTACCCAGACTACTTTCCCCAGTCCTGGAAAAGCCTACGTGGAAGAACATCTATTATCTACACACACATCCCCGAAGCCTTGCAGGCCACTGCCCGGCAAGCCGGAGCTAGTGGGACAGTTGACAGCAGGCTCCGGGAGGCCACAGGACAAGAAGCCAGCAGCTGAGCAGCGACTGTGCAGAGGGACACCCCCAGGTGGGGGCCAGAGGCAATAAGGGGAAGGTGGGCACATGGCCGGGATTCCCCAAGCCTGGCCCTCTTCCAGGGAATGCAGACACGCAGAGCTCTGCCAGGCCTTTCCCCGTGACGGAGAGTGACGAGAGGGCAAGCAGCCACTGTCACCCCTTCCCTTATTCTTGACAGCGCTACACTTCCGGGGGAGCTGGGGAAAGCCCCATGGACTGCTCTGGTTTTCAATCCCTCTTGCCACCCATCTCTTCCCCAGAACATCTAAACCACAGCCACCAGCAGACCGTTCCCTGCCTCACCACCGTTCCCAAGGCCTTGTGTTGCCTGTTGATGGAGGCCCCGCTACTTTTTCTTTTCTTTCTTCTTTTTTTTAATGAATCACCATTGGGTACAGTTACAAACTTACAAACTTTTATGCTTGCCTTTCAGTCATACAATGATCAAGTACTCATCCCTCCACCAGTGTCCATTCTCCACGACCAATGATCCCCGTATCCCTCCCCCACCGCCCTCACTCCCTGACTCTGTGGCAGAGTATTCCCTTTTGCTCTCTCTCCTTATGGGTGTTATGGTTTGCAATAGAGGTAATGAGAGGCCATCATTCGGTCTGTAGTCTACTTTCAGCACTGATCTCCCATCCCGAGCGGGTCCTCCAAGCACCCCTTACTTGGTGGTCCCTTTTCTATCTGAGCTGCCTTCTCCCCCAGCATGTGAGGCCGGCTTCCAAGCCATGGAGCAATCCTCCATCATGTCTACTATTCTCGGGTGTAAGTCTCCCATTCTGTTACTTTATATTCCACAAATGAGAGCGATCTTTCTATGTCTGTCCCCCTCTTTCTGACTCATCTCATTTAATATGATACTCTCCATGTTGATCCACTTATATGCAAATTTCATGACTTCATCCTTTCTAACAGCTTCATAGTATTCCATTGTGCAGATGTACCAAAGTTTCTTTAACCAGTCATCTGTTCTTGGGCACTCGGGTTTTTTCCAGATTCTGGCTATTGTAAACAGTCCAGCTCCTTCTTCAAGTAGAACAGAACCTTGAAGAACACATCTCACCTCAGTGTCCAGGTGCCACCTGAGTGTTGAATGTTTCTTAGCATGTCTTGCCTCACCTCTTATTCTTAACCCCTTCTCTGATTAGTCAGCCCTGGAGGATACCTCCAGGGCAAGCCCTCTGGAAAAGGCTTCACTGCCCAAACCCAGGCAGCACAGACTGTTACGTAAGTAGCAATGCAGGGTCCATGGGTCATTTCAGGAGATAATCACTACTTCCTTTAGGGTCTCGCTTTCCCTCCAGCCAAAACCCGCTGGCCCCCACAAGGAACAGCCTAGGAGATTGGCTGGTGGGAAGCTCCACCCGCCAGCTGAATGTTTGCTGAACAGATTGGCTTTACCACATTCTGTTTTGCTTATTTTCCATTTCAGCAGGTGAATCATAGCTCTTAACAAGATTATACATTCCCTGGAGGCAATGCTTCACGTAGCTCCTCCAGGCAGCCTTACCCAGCACTAACCTCCTGTGGAACCACCCACCTACAGTGTGTTTCCAGCGAATTACCTTTTCTACGGTTTCTTTGATGAGGGCCTCTGGCAAGGACACATGCTCGCCTAGGAGCAAAGCGGAAATCACATCCAAGAGGGTTTTGCAGCAAGACGTGGAGAGATGGGCAATTTGTAACGTTTGAGACAACACCTGTAAGATCAGAGGCAAAACAAAGCCAACTCAGTGACTGACTTTGGCAACCCGATGGGCTCGAAGCGTCAATGCTGCCAACTCACCATGCACACACCCTCTGGGTTAGTTATCTTCGCTCCGTTCCCGTGCTTGACGAGGATCAGGTAGGTTTCCAACAGCCTTCTCATCTGCTCAGAACCATCCTCAGAGTTCCTTTGGGTTACTTTGGCGTGCAGGCTCAGGAGTGATTCCTGCAGAGGAGGGATTTCAGAGAGACCAACCATCAGCCTTGGCTCATCTGGTTCAAACGTTCATATTCTAGAGCTCTGGGAGAGGAAGATGGCACTGGCCGGCTGAGGACCGGAAAGTAACAGCTCATGGCACCGACTGCTCTGAGCTCTTCACCTGGGTCTGCTGGCAAACCTCACGGGAACCTGACATCACCCCGTTCTGCCCGAAGGGAAGACCTAAGCATAGAAATTTAGGTTACTTCCACTGAGTCTGACTTGCCAGCAGTGACACAGCCAATGTTAGAACAGTCTGGCTGCCAGGCACTCTTCACCACTCCCCGTTACCAGACTGCAGGAGGACGAACTTAGGCAAATTCTAAGGTGGCTCGGTCCAATGACACAAGACTGTAATGCGGGGGCCAGAGGGATAGTACAGTGATAGGGTGCTTCCCTTGCGCACGGCTGATCTGAGTTCAATCCCTGGTATCCCATAGGGTTCCCCCAAGCACTACCAAGAGTAATTCCTGAATGAAGAGCCACGAGCAACTCCTGAGCGTTGCCAGGTGTGGCCCCCCCAAACTAAAATCAAAAAAGACTATGATACAACCTGAGAGAAAAAAAGTAGGTAATAAATCAAATAAAAACAGGCCAGACAATAATAGCTGATCACGCTGGACAAGAACTGAATGCTAAAAGTAGGTAAAGGGACATTCTTTTTAAAAAAAAATTTTTTTTTTACTGAATCACCATGAGATAGTTACAAAAGTTTCATGTTGGAGTTTCAGTCCTACAATGATCAAACACCCATCCCTCTACCAGTGCATATTTTCCCACCACCAAGGCACCAATGTCCCCAGTATCCCCCAACCCCAACCTTCCCCCTGCCTCTATGGCAGACAACTGACCTGTCAGTATCAATATTGCAAAACATGATGCCCAAAAGGAGAAAGAGAGAGAGAGAGAGACAGAGACAGACACAGACACAGAGAGACAGAGACACAGAGAGAGAGAGAGAAAAAAGCACCTGCCATAGAGGCAGGCAGGAGGTGGGGATTGGGGGAATGATGGGAGGGAGCATGGGAACACTGGTACTGGGAAATGTACACTGGTAGAGGGATAAGTGTTGGAATATTTTATGACTGAAATCAATCATGAACAGCTTTGTAAGGGTCTATCTGACAGTGATTCAATAAAAGTTAAGAAAATTTTTTAATTAAAAAAATAAATAAAACAGGGTCAGAGAAATAGTACAGTGGGTAGGGTGTTTGCCTTGCATGCAGCTGACCAGGGTTCAACCCCCAGCACCCCATGTGGACCCCTGAGCAACTCCAGGATGATCCCTGAGTGCAGTCAGGAGTCAGTCCTGAACTTACTACCATTTTGCCCTGCCTCCACACTCCCCACCCCCACCCATGAACACCCCAAAAATGTACAGTGGATGCAGGGAAGGCAAATTCTAATGTGGCAGTGAAAATACAGTTTCAAATAGTCTCTAGCAGTGACCTGCTCAGCTGAAAATGAGCATCAACTCTTAAATTCCTTATATCCACACCATTAAGAATCAGAACGTACCTGCAAACATTCAAAAGCTACACCAAAGTGTTCTTTGGAGACGTACAATGCAGCGGACTTGACCATGACTTTGAGTGTTTCTCCAATTAAAATCCAAGGCAGGGCAGTTTCTGTTTCAGTGACCGGTCCCAGTTTCTGGAAAAGTAGCTTCACCGCCTATGGGAATCCAAGAACCATTCAAGGGGACACTGCAACTTGTTAGGGTTATTCCATTACTTCTCACTGTGATCATTCCCGACTCTGGTTAGCTGCCAGAAAACCTGATTCTGGACTAATCGAGATGATGTGGCAGTTCTGCTGGCTAACTCTGTGTCCCCCAGAAGAATTTTATCCTAGTGCCGCCGCTCCGTAATTCCTCCGTAACTGCCCTCGTTCAGTAACCAATGAGTGGCATGTCATACTTCACAGCCAAGATGAAGACCGCAATGAGGCCGGAAGTAGAGACAGAAGTCTCTGGAGCAAGGTCTGCTCCAGGGCTGATTGCCTTGTGCTCCCCATTTAGTACTCCCTCCTAGCCCTGGGCTATGTTGCCTCCTCACTATTGGCAGGAAGCAGAACTACTTTCTGCTCTGTTCCTTTCACATGGACTGAAAACGTTCCCCCCGCTCACTTACCTTCCCTGTGCAGGAGTGAAACATGTTTCTGACTCCTTTGCACATCTCAAACAGCAACTGTCCAACCCCCTCCACCTTTTCGGGATGTTCCTCAAGATCAAGAAACATCAGATTGAAAAGCGCATCTCTATCCAGAACCTGAAACACAAAACACAAATAGGAAATCGCGCCGACAACATCCACCTCTCCAAATGCAGGAAAACAAAGAGCTTTCTGGGATTCCAATTTCAACGCAATTTGGACATCATCATAAAAGGAATAGATATGTGTAATGACTTCAAACTACTACAATACTATACTATCATTTATAATGTCATACAAAAAAGTCATTCACTGGTAGAAAAGTATGAGTAACAAGAAAAACTACACAAAGCAACAATCTATCTTTTAAAGTTAATCAAATACATTTATCTGATAAATATGTCTTTCATACAAAGATTCTAGGTTTTTCTGTCAGGGGTGTTTTTTTTTGGTTTGTTTTGTTTTGATTACACCTGGATGTGACTCCTAGCACTGTGCTCAGGGCTGACTCCTGGCACTGTGCTCAGATATCACTCCTGGCATGGCCCCAGGATCCATATGGGATGCCAGAGATCAAACCCTAATTAGAGACATGCAAGACAAGTAACTAACCCACTATACTATTGCTCCAGTCCTCAAAGATTTTATTACAAAAATCCTCTAAATTTACTACGGAAACAAAAATAATATTATGCAGTAAGTTCCTTCTGAGAAAAAAATTATTAAAGATTTATTATTAATCTCATTGTTCATATTTAGTGACTTGCACATAAGGCCAGTTTTTAATTACAGAGATGACACCAAAAACGTGTATGACAATGAAAGTGGCTCAAATTATTTCAGATTATTGAGCAGGGGGTGGAGCGATAGCACCGCAGATAGGGTGTTTGCCTTGCATGCAGCCAACCCGGGTTCAATCCCCAGCATTCCATATAGTCCCCTGAGCACCACCAGGAGTAATTCCTGTGTACAGAGCCAAGAGTAACCCCTGTGCATCACCAAATGTGCCCCCCCCAAAAAAAAAAACAGATTAGTAAGCAATGAAATAAAACAAGTTACATACATATATACACATATATATATTTTTAAAAGAACACTTCAAAAATTATATCTTTATTAAAGAATCTCTGCTTCTATTCATTAGATTAATAAGCAACAGACACATAGATCAAACTGACCTTTCTCATCAGAAAAGTAAAGCTTTCAGCGGCAAAATTTCTTATATGTAGCTTTTTATGAGCCAGGAGTGTGCTATACATGCTGTAAATGAGAAAACAAGATGTGCAATTAACCACAATTTTAAGATACACTCTGTGTCAACTACATGTGTCCAACATCATGCCAGGGATGCAAAAATTCCACCGCAGGTATAAAATGAGCAGTTTAAACGTTCACTTGGTTCCCCAGACACCCGCTTGCTAAACAGAAGACTGAAGGCCACAGATATGAATATCTTAGGATCAGGCGGCTGGTCTCACAGGAAAGTCTCCAAGAGAAAACGAAACTCGGAGAGAGCCACCGAGTGACAGGAGAAGTTCAGGTGGGTACCAGAGTGTTTCTGCACTGAAGCACTGTAGCACTGTCCTCCCGTTGTTCATCTATTTGCTCGAGCGGGCACTAGTAACGTCTCCATTGTGAGACTTGTTGTTACTGTTTTTGGCATATCGAATAGGCCACGGGGAGCTTGCCAGGCTTTGCCGTGCAGGCGGATACTCTCAGTAGCTTGCTGGCTCTCCGAGAGGGACAGAGGAATCGAACCTGGAATCAAACCCGGGCCGGCCGTGTGCAAGGCAAATGCCCTACCCACTGTGCTATTGCTCCAGCTCAGGAATGCTTCTGATTAAGAGAAAACCAAGAGCAAAGATGAGGTGGGAAGAAGTGATCAAGCTTCCAGGGATAATCAGGAGATTCACCAGCCTGCAAGAAGGAAGACAGCGAGAGGTGAAAGTGGCCCAGGTCTGGGGGAAGGGGGGAGGGGGCGGCGGAGGTGGGGTGGGGGGAAACCGGTGCAGGAGTCTAGACTCTAGCTGCAAGATATAGATGGAAACAATGACACAATGACCCATTCATTTCCTTTATCAAAACAGCATGGTCACTTTATGGGATGGGAAGTACAGTTATCACCCTCCATCAGATAACGAAACTGAGGAAGGAAAACTCAACAACCTGGTCAAAGTCATTTAGTCACATAGCCAAAACAACATCCTTATTTGTATGACCACACTGTCTCAAAGGATCATCCTGGCCTCAGGAGTTGGAGTATGTTTCCTTCCTATTTCCATCATCATCCTAACACCGATCAATTCCTTCTTCAGAGAAGGGAGTAACTAAGTACCGGCTAATTAAGAAATGAGGATTTGGGGAGTTGGAGTGGACGGGTCACTTGCTCTGCATCTGCCAACCCGGGTTTGATCCCTGGAGCCCCATGTGGTCCCCCAAGCACAGCCAGGAATGATTCCAAACTGCAGAGCCAGGAGTAACCCCTGAGCTTGCCAGGGTAGATCCAAAAATTTTTCTTTTGTAAATCGAGAGTGTATTGAAGAAAATTAACTTGGCAACACTTTATTGGTTAACATAAGAGCAGAGGTTGACTGTCCAGCTAGAAAGCCGACCGAGTCACACAAATTTGGAGGAACAAGGGCGTGAAAGAGGCCGTGGGTAGAGAGGAAAAGGGCAAAGGGTAAACCCATCATACACACACACACACACACACATACACACTGCTCCCTCGCCCAGGATTCTGTGCTATCCCTCTCCCATGCAGGTACCTGTCTACATCGTCCCAGGTGAACTTTATAAAAAGAGGAAGATTTTTACATTTTTTATCAATCGAATCTCAAGTGGCTGACATATGGCGCTCAGTCAACAGTTATTGAATCGAGTGAGTGTGAAGACAATGAGGTCAGAGGCAACCTCTGGCCCCATTCCTCAACTGTCGGAAGTAACAATGGTGTGATGGTGGGAAAGCAGTCGTCCAGCTAGGGAGACAGTTCCAAGGGCTGCAGCACATGCTTTGCATGCAGGAGCCTCCGGGCCGACCCCCAGGGCCACACGGTCCACTGCCAGAAGCGATCCCAAGCAAGAATCACGAGTAGACTCTGAGCACCATCTGGGTGTGGCCCCCAAATTCCCCCACATAATACCAATTTAAAAAATAAAGAAAACTGTAAACTGTAAACCTTGGTAAACCTTGATGGGTGCTAGGAAGCACATGTGTGGGCACCACAACCTGAAGTGTGACACCCAATGAGTATCACAAGCTGGTGTGTGTGTGTGTGTGTGTGTGTGTGTGTGTGTGTGTGTGTGTGTAAAACCCTGTTACTGCACTGCCAACAAAGGAAAGTGGGGATAGGGGCAAGGAATTTGAAAGAGTACATTGAGAGGGGCTGGAGTGATAGCACAGCAGATAGGGTGTTTGCCTTGCACATGGCTGACCCGGGTTTGATTCCCAGCATGCCATATGGTTCTGAGTGCAGAGCCAAGAGTAACCCCTGTGCATCGCCAGGTGTCATCTAAAAAGCAAAAAAAAACCCTAAAAAAAAGCACATTGAGAAACACTGATTAAAATAAAGAAGAAACTGGACAAGCAGCAGGGTGAAATGCAGGAGAAGTATGAATTCCTGGAGTCAGGGATGTAGAGCTGGTTTGAATGCGGATGAATGTGTTGTCTTTGGCTACAGTAGCGAGGAACGCCAGAATAGCTCAGAGTCCAAAATTTTCACTCTGGTGAAGGTGGAAAATCTACAAAGATGACAGAATCCAGACTAGCTTTTGCGGGGCTAGAAGGGTGGAAGCAGAGGGTGCTCTCAATAGCTGGAGGAAGAAATCAGGATCGGGATAATACACGGTGGTATACATCCAGTCGTTTTCAACCCTTTTACATCATTAGGCTGAACACTGGCCCAAGGACTGGAGCCTAGAAAGCACTGTTAAAGCACTGTTATTGCATAGACCACTGACCAACGCACTGCTATGGCAGACTGCTGACCACCGCACTGATAAAGCACAGACCACTGACCACCGCACTGCTGTAGCGCAGACCGCTGACCACCATGACGAGAGAACCAGCATATGAGGAAATAATGAGAAACTGAGTGGAAGGTGGTTTGGAGTCAGAAGCCAGGGAAAGACAATCGGCGATCTGGTAGGGTCAGGCAGACACATCAGGAGGGACAGAAGGGCAGGGCAGGGCAATGTAGGGCAGTGAGTTGGAAATAAACGCAGGGTGGGAGTTGGAACTTCTCTCCTGGTGTCTCAGGGGTAATAAATGCCATTACTCAAAAAAGCAGAAAACTGACCAAGTCAAGATGGCTTAAGACACTGTTCTGTTTTGAGGCGAATTCAGTGCAGCTCAGGGCTTACTCCTAGCTCTGTTTACAGGGATCACTCTTGGCAGGGCTCAGGATGCTGGAATCAAACTTGGGTCAGCCACCTGCAAGGCAAATGGCTTAGCCCCTGTAACTGCAATGAGGCCCTGAACATCTCTCTCTCTCTCTCTTTTTTTTAATTTCTTGGCTTTTTGGGTTACTCCCCACAATGCTTAAGGGTAACTCCTGGCTCTCCACTTGGGAACTACTCCTGGAGGTGCTCAGGAGTCTATATGGGATGACAGGGATTGAACCTGAGTCGGCCACATGCAAGGCAAAACGTCCTACCACCCACTGGACTATGGCTCTGGCACTGAGCATCAGTGTTGAGGAGAATCCACCTACTGGACACTTCGAGCACCCCATTGTGTTCCCCGAGGCCACCTGGAATTGGTGACAGGCAGGGCCTGCTTTTGCTTTCACAGTTGATGCTGATGGAAGCAGAACTGTGAACAGGGAGACTGGAGCAGCTGTGAAACTAGAGGGACGAAGGGGTCCTCAGACTTGGGATACTGAAGAAAGCACTGGAGTGCAAATGAACATGCTTTAAAGGGAAATAAAACCAAGAGAGAAAGAGTCAGAGGCAGACAGACAAACAGAGACAGAGAGAGACAAAGAGACAGAGAGTCAGAGAGAGACAGACAGAGACAGAGACAGAGAGAGAGAGAGAGAGAGAGAGAGAGAGAGAGAGAGATCACCTGTATATGTTGGTCATGTCCTTCACCATCAGTCTCCACAGGTACTTGTACAGGTAGGAGAGCGAAGTGAACGCCCATTCTAACAACTCCGTGTCCTGCGTCTCCAGGATGGAGGTGATGGTCAGGAAGAAATCCGGAAAGTGGGGGTAGAAGTCTGTCTGTAGATCGCGTGCCAATTGGACAACCAAGCTGGATTAAGAAGAAGCACTTATGAGTGACCAGCAGCATGGAGTTCAGAAGACCAAGGACTGCTGACGGATTTCACAAATCAGGGCAGAACCCCTGTGGCTACAGTATGTCCCGTCTTCCAAGTCTGCTCTCAAAAAAGGAGGAAGTGCTCCCTAGTTCTGTTTGGCTTGTTTTTTTTTGGGGGGGGTGGGGGTGGGGGGGAGCATGCAGTGATGCTCAGGGGACCAGGCAGTGCCAGGGATTGAAGCCAGGCTTCTGCCTGCCTAGCATGTGCTCAGCCTTTTGAACTGTCTCCTGGCCCCATGCCACCCCCATTGTTTTTTAACTTAGTTACCTACTTAGATAAACTCGGGGGGGGGGGGGGCAGTTAAACCTGCTCAGGACTTACTCCTGGCTTCATGCTCAGGGATCACTCCTGCCAGTGCTCAGTGACTACGAGGTACCAGGGATTAAACCACGGCTAGTGGCAAGTAAGGCAAAATGCTATCATTCTGGCCCCATATGTTTTGTAAGCTCAGCAAAGAAATCTGGCTAGAGTAAGAGGTGCTTTACGCAAGTTATGGCCAGCCACTCCTATAGTCAGAGAAAAATGGGATTCCCTGGAGAGTATAAAACAAAAGTTAAAAAAGCAGTTCCTTGAGTTTCTGCTTCATGGTAAAATACTAATACCCAGATCTAATGGAAGAGGTAAATTCTTAATTCTAAATTACAAATACCAGATTTCAGGGCTACGTAGCTAAAAAACACAATGTTTCTTCAAGTTCAAATGAACACCAGTTAAGCTTTCGTTTGACATTCTACTTACTCCAAAAGGGGTTGATAAGCAAAGCTGTTCTTGATTTGTAGGTGAGTTTTCAAACTTTGAACGATCTCATTTTGATGATACACCAACTGATTAAATGACTGGCATTTGTCAATAACTTCTTTGTAAAATTTTCCTGGGGGAAAAAGGAAATAAGAATAGGATGTTTTTCATCAGATTACAATTTCACTCTTTTGAACAAAAAGCACAATTGATGGGCAAATATGGTAGAAATAAAATAGAAAATACCAAAGTGCTCCGTAAGGTTCAATTCTCTCCATTTCAGCAGACCCTCGAAAAAGTAGGTTTCAACCTCCTGCCAAGAGTCAAGCAATCAGTTAATTAGACAACTCAAAGCAAAACTATGATTTAAGAGAATCTACGGTTGGGGCTGGAGAGAGCACAGTGGGTTGGGTACATGGTCAACCGGGGTTCCATCCCTGACATTCCATATGATACCAAGCCCTACCAAGGAGTGATCCCTGAGCACAGAGCCAGGAATAAGCCCTGAGCACAATCAGATATAGTCCAAAACAAAAAAGAAAATAAAATCTATCATCAAAAGTATAAATAACAGCACCTTAAGAGAATATTGACAGGGCTGGAGTAATAGCACAGCAGGTAGAGCATCTGCCTTGCACGTGGCTGACCCTGGTTCGATTCCCAACATCCCATATCCTCCGAGCACTGCCAAGAGTAATTCCTGAGTGCAGAGCCAGGAGTAACCCTTGTGCAATGCAGGGTGTGACCCAAAAAGAAAAAAAAAAAGAGAGAGAGAGAGAGAGAATATTGACAAGTTTTTAAAAGCTCACTTCAGTATTTTTTTGTTGTTGTTGTTTTTAAAGGAGTCCAAACTAACCACACCTTAAAGCTATCAGGGGCCACTCAGGGCTTACTCCTCACTCTGTGCTCAGGGATCACTCCTGATAGTGCTCAGGGGATCATGTGGAGCCTGGGATTGCCCTAACTGCTGAAATATTTTTCGGGGGCCCTGGTTTTTGTGTTTGTTTCTTTTTTAAAAATTGTTTGCAGCAAATTATTCTCAAAAGCCTACAAAATTTTAATATTTAAATCTGGGGGGAATTCTCTTTTACAGTTTATTTTACTTTTGAAAATATGAATTGGGACTGGAGCAGGTGGGTGTTTGCCTTGCAGACAGCCGAACCGGGTTCGATTCCCAGCATCCCATATGGTCTCCTGAGCACTGCCAGGAGTAATTCCTGAGTGCATGAGCCAGGACTAACCCTTGACCATCACCAGATGTCACCCAGAAATCGAGGGAAAAAAAAAAGAAAAAAAAAGAAAATATGAACTGCCACAACTCTGTAGTTGTAACAGAAACCAGGCACTTCTGTTAAAATTAAAAACCAGTTATACCCTTTGACCTAGTAAGCCCTCCTTTGAAGACACCAAGGAGTCTACAAATACAAGCACTGTAACACTGTTCTCCTGTTGTTCATTGATTTGGCTCAAGCAGACCCAGTAACGTCTTCGTTGTGAGACTTGTTGTTACTGTATTTGGCATATCCAATTCGTCAGGGGTAGCTTGCCAGGTTTTGCCATTCAGGCGAGAAACTCTCAGTAGCTTGCTGGGCTCTCCGAGAGGGGCGGAGGAAGTACAAAGGTACTTATTCAGCTTGATTATAAGTAAGGAGGACAACATAAATCAATCTAAATATTTGAAAACAAAAAAGTTTAGCATAAGCTATGGTCTATACATACTATAAAATTTGTTACTGTCCTCCCATTGTTCATCTATTTGCTTGAGCGGGCCCAGTAACGTCTCCATTTTGAGATTTCCTGTTACTGTGTTTGGCATCTCGAATACATCACGGGGAGCTTGCCAGGCTCTGCCGTAAAAAGAGTTGTACTGGAACTGGAGAGAGAGTAACAGCAGGAAGTATATTTGCCTTGCACAGGACCAACCCCAGCATCCTATATGGTCTCTGAGCACCACCAGGAGTAATTCCCGAATGCAGAGCCAAGAGTGACTCCTGAGCACTGACAGATATGGTTCAAAAACAAAACAAACAAAAGAGTTGTATTTTGTTAGGGATGTGGGTCAGTGATAAGCTCATGCCTTGCATGCATAAAGCCCTGGGTGTGATCACAGCACCTCATAAAAAAAGAAAAAAGGCCTTCATAAATGTTTGCTTAAATTTGTAAGACAGAAACTGTGAAACAATATCCATATGTCAAACCATCAACATTGGTTTCCTTGGCAATAAGACATAAAAGGGGCTTACAGAATTTTCCAAGGTCACATTGTACTGTCCAGCTTGTTAAACCAGTGTAGATTACTTTGGTGTCTTTTCAGACAAAGCCAATATACCAATACTCTCTGTGTGCTTATGTACATTTCACACAGGAGGAGAGGAGGGAACAAATGCATAAACACAAACAGCATGCCAAATCTATCATCTCAAAAAACAAAGCGAGCCTTTACAATGTGCTCGGTAAATCTTTAAAGAAAATGGGAAAAAAATCACTTGGGCAGTATAGAGAGGAAGAAAGAGATCCCCATTAAACTCTCTTCTTAAGACTGAAGGTAAATATACCTAAGAGTTTGAAACCGGAGGTGGTGAAGACTTTCCTCGCTGAGCATGATGACTGGTGCAAGCAAATCACTGGAGATAGATTCTACCTCCGGCCCTTTGCACAGTCACTCTATCACAAGTTGAGGAGTCTACTGAATGGGAATCATCCTCACATCTGGCTTAGACCTCAGCACTCGCTTTGACCAGTAACACGCAATGAAAGTGATCCTGTAAGAGCCAGAACTAGGCTTTCATGAGCTCTGTAACGTGTTTTCACTAGGATTCTGCCATCATAAACAGAAACCTACTCTACCTCACTAGAGAACAAAAAGCTATGACTACAAACACCGCCAATACACTGTAAACAGGTGACTGAGATCCTTATGGACCACCCAGTCCAGGTCTCTATTGCAGATTCTCTTTTCTAACTAAACTATCTAGCCCATAGTGCTTCCAACATCCCCTATGGCTTATCCTATGAACTGCACTAATCTGTAATTTCACCTCCGAAGTCGCTGACACTCTTCCACATCATCTGGATGGTAATAAGCACATCAAATTCAACAAACTCCAAGTGAAACCAATCTCATGCCGCTTTTCCTCTGACTTCCACTCAATAAATGATGTTCCCAACCACCACAATGTCTGAATCAAAACTTGGATCCCATTCTCTTCTCCCCACACACCCAGCAGCTCAGAGGTCCTCCTCATTTTACTTCTTCAGCATCACTGTTATCTTTTCCTCCTCCCCATCCTGACTGCAGCTACCAGAATCACTTCCTACTTTGATCACTGCCAGACCCTTAAGACTGAGGGTCCTAATTTCAGACTGGTTATTTCTTTCACACCAAAGCCAGAGATATCTAAAACTGACACCAAAGCATGTCGCTTACTCCCTTGCCTTATAATCTGACAATGAATGCCTACAGCTTCAAGATTTAAAATGCAAACTTAGCTTTGGATCGAAAGTCCTTTAGGATCCTAACCTCTCCTTTTAGAATTACCTGGCACAAGCTATCCCTCCACCATCACACACAAATACACAACATATAAATTAGAATCACACTGTCTTTACAGTATTTTGAATGCAACATGCATTCTCTAGCTTCTCTTTATAGAAACTTCTCCATCAGTCTGAACCAGTATTTCCTGTCCTTTCTGCCACACTGGAACCTATAAAAACAAGGATCAACTTAGGTTTCACCAATCTATTTCCTTTTTTGACATCTGTCCTACTCTTCCCTTCCAAATAAGTTAGGTGACTTCCCCAGACTTAATGGGCACTAGAATTTTTAATTTACTTTAATAGCATTTAACATACTGAATTCACACATTGACACTATACACACAATAAGACGACAAGCAGCAGAGCTGAGAGAATAGTAAGAACTAAGACTGAATCTCTAGATTAAGGAAATGTTAGGGAAGATCTTAAAAGATCACGGTGACACGGTCACGGTCCTCCCGTTGTTCATCGATTTGCTCGAGCGGGCCCAGTAACGTCTCCATCATGAGACTTGTTGTTACTGTGTTTGGCATATCGAGTACGTCACAGGTAGCTTGCCAGGCTCTGCCGTGCGGGCGAGATGCTCTCGGTAGCTTGCCAGGCTCTCCGAGGGGGGAGGAGGAATCGAACTCGAGTCGCGCCCTACCGCTGTGCTATCGCTCCAGCCCCTTAAAAGGTAAGCGAAGGATTAACAACTTGATGCAGCAAAAACGACAAGATTGTTCAAGTAGAGGAGTGAGTGCCAGCAAATGGTTAGAACTGGAAAAATACAACGTGGTCACCTTGTTTTAATAGAGGAAAAGACTAAGCTTCATACAAATAAATTGTTCAAAATCTCTTTAAAACTGTGGGGCTGGGACAACAGCACATTGATTAGGGCACTTGCCTTTGCATGTGGCCAACCTGGATTTAATCCCAGCATATCATGTGGTCCCCCGAGCCCGCCAGGAGTGATCTTTAAGCACAGAGTCAGGAGAAAGCCTTGAGAACCACCTGTTGTGGCCCCCAAACAAACCAAAATAAATCTCTTTTAAAGTGTAGCTTACGGACAATGGCTCTGTAGCAGTATTCACAATGCAAATGGGAAAGTAAATGACAAACTACAGGTTTCCAGTCAATTTAGCTGTCTAATAAAGCACTGTTCCACAGAACTTTCTGTAGTGGTCATATCTGCCCTTGGCCAATATGGTTGCACTGGTCTCACAAGGCTATGGAACACTTGAGAGTTTTACTTTAACTTAAGGCTAACTTGTTATAGACAGTATAACAGAAAGAGAAGAATTCCACGTTCAAAAAGAAATGGTTTGACAAACAACTCACTTCTAAGAGGAGAAACTAAAGTGCTGATTGAGTACTTCAAAGATCAACTAACATAAGATTCTCTTACCTCATCGTAGCTTGCAGTTCTGTCAATTCGGTGAATGATGTCGATATTCACATTTCCCAGTCGTTCAGCAAATGTAAGAAACTGGGGTGGGAGGAAGCACATTTAAAACGTATCCATCAATAATACTTCTACTGAATGTCTGTGTTAGTGTGCTGTGGTAATAAACATAGGTGGATGATTTCCTTGTGAAAGCATAGGGTTTACAGCATCAATAAGCCTCTTCCTGTAACCATCAGTATGCTTCTCTTGCAGTCTCAAACTAGCATTTTCTATTCATCATAAAATGTCAAATTGCATACTGAAGCTCAAAGAAGGTATCATGAATGATTGATCACAAAAGTGGAAACACAGAGTGACCAACCAATAGTTCAAAAAGCACTATTAATATAAAATAGACTTGAAGAACAATGAAATACCTCCGAATGTGCTCACATCTTTCCCGCTGTGCCATTTCAAATACGATTTTCATGGCAGGACGTGGTGGATCTTAAAGAAAGCTGCCAACGGGACCTCTCTACATCTCCTGTTATGGATCATACCGCCCTGGCCACCTCCAAGCTCAGGGATCTGGCTAACTCGCTGCCATCAATAGCATTTTTTTTTAAATGCATATACTTATCATCGTAGAGTAACGAAGAAACCCTCAACAGGCAAATAGAAAGCGGTTTCGTAGGCGGTGCAGGAACTCTCCTGCTGTGCCGTCCTCCTCCCCTTCAATTCGGTAAAGCAGTAGAAGGGATGGAAGGCGGGCGGGAAGCAATTGGCCCGTGATAACGAATTTCACTGTGGACTGGAGTAAATTCCCAGGCGATCACAGCCCATAACACCAGGGCAAAACCTGCTATGCAGACAGCTAGTCCTAAACCACGATTACTAAGCCCCAGGGGTCTCCCTCTTTTGCAGAGACTACGGCGACAAGATTCGCATTTGACCCACTAAATACTGCACCCCCGAGAGCTCCGCTCTTTGCTAAATCTCACGGCCCAGACACCGAGGATCCTCGGGTCCAGCCCTTTTTCCTCGCTTACCCGGTACGTGTTTTCCGTCTTGTGGGAAACGGGCTTTGTCTTCATGGCTGCAGAGCGACAGCGGCCCGCAAGGGCCTCACAAAGTGTGGGTGGAAAGGCGATGGGCTTCAGGGAGAGGAAATCGGTTCACACAGTTGCACGCTCCGAGTCTTCGGTGCCCAGGCCCAACTCTGTTTCACGTGCGGCAGGAATCCCTGGGCGCCGCCATGTTGGCCTTGGGGGCGGAGCCTAAGCCGTCACGTGGGCGGAAGCAGCGAACGGAGCAGGCGCACCTGGGAGCCGAGTGGAGCGCGGGTACCTCTGCCGGTGGCTGGGCGTAGTGGGTGTGTATTTTCTCTCAGTAAAGCTAGTGTAAAGTTTAGTGAGGAAAATCTTTTTTTTTTTTTCAATGCGTGTATTTATTATAACCTTTTGGTTTTTTTAATGCGTATTTTTATTACAGAAGAAAGCATGCCTCTAACTATTTTGTAGTCTAATCAGCAGTCATTCGCCCTCATTATTGCACTGTGCAAAATCCTGCGTTTCTAATTTCTCTGGAAAAATGCAAGGTGAGCGCTACCCATGTAAAAGTGAGGCACTCTTGTTTCTTAATTTGCCGTTTGTTCTATGATAGAAAACTTGTGAATTTAATACAGAAGTAGCAATAAATGATACAAAATGCATTTACTAAGCAATAGAATATTTCTCAGTTTTTTTCATCAAGAAACAATTATTAGGGGTTGGAGCAATAGTACAGCGGGTAGGGTGTTTGCCTTGCATGCGGCGGACCTGGGTTGGATTCCCGGCATCCCATATGGTCCCCTGAGCACTTCCAGTATTCCTGAGTGCAAATCCAGGAGTAACTCGTGTGCATTGCCAGGTGTAACCGAAAAAGAAAAAAAGAAAGAAACACTTATTATTGAAAGGTTGCCTAAAATAGGTTAATTTAGGGTTTTAATCAGAAATTTAAAGCTGTTGGAGTTCCCAGTACCATTATATAACCAAATTAACAACCCTGAACCATATAATGTGAATAAAAACTTTTTAAAATCTTTAACTTATATCGAATGTAGCCTGCCCACAGGGCAGAGTCTGGCAAACTCCCCGTGGCGTACCAAATATGCCAAATACCAGTAACAATGATGGGTCTCATTCTCCTAAAGAGCCTTGAATATAGTCTCAGGGTTATGATGAAAGAGACCGTTACTTTGGCTTTGTTTTCATGCACTGGACTGTAGAGAGAGCCACTACGTCTGCTTTTCTCTCACTGGTGGATTTGTTGTGAGGATTGTGATAGATGTGAGTGAGCTTTTGAAGTTGAGAGACTCAGATTAACAAAGAGGAGGGAATATTAGTTTATTGTATAGTTTACTCTTGAATAATGAGGTGGTTAGTAGTACTTAGCACCTACCCTGTACAGTGAAAAATGCCCATTTAATTTCCTTTTAAAATTTCCTTCCTTATCTATCATCCATTCAAGAGATTCATAAATGTATCTTGAAAGAGATCAACAAGCCACAGAAGATTTTTTTCCCCAGAAGCCTGCACACGGCTGGGTCATCAGGGGGATCCTGGAGTGGGGCAGCCTCTGGACTGTCCTGCCCAAACAGAGCCCCAGCAGCCACTTGCTCCCATACTCCAAAATTACTGCCATGCCCCGGGCCAGACTCCACTGCCTTCCTCAGGGACCAAGCCTCACCAAGAAATAATTCTGCTGGAAAACTCAGGTATGAAATTTTTGTGACTGAAATCTCTGGGCTTTCTTGTAGTCAGCATGGGCTACTTTCCCCCATCTCCCTGTATTTTCAGAAGCCCTGACAATCTGGAACACACCCCAACGCTGCGCCCAGTGAAAAATTTAACTCCATTACTATGCAGCTGTTAGAAAAGATGAAGTCATGAAATTCATATACAAGTGGTACTACATGGAAAGTATCATGCTAAACGAAATGAGTCAGAAAGAGAGGAACAGACATAGAAAGATTAACAAAATAGGAGACTAACACCCAAGAACAGCCAAGATAAGTACCAGGAGGATTACTCCATGGCTTTGAGGCCAGCCACACACGCTGGGGGGAAAAGTCAGCTCAGATAGAGAAGGGAGCACCAAATAAAGGGTGTTGGGAGGTTCCTCTCAGGATGGGAGATGCATGATGAGAGTAGACTATAGACCGAACATGATTGCCATTCAATGTCTCTTTTGCAAACCACAGCATTCAAAAAAAGAGAGATAAGAAAAGGGAATGCCCTGCCACAGAGGTAGGGTGGGATGGGGGAATGGGAAGTGGGAGGGATACTGGGATCAGTGGTGATGGAGAATGGGCACTGGTGCAGGGATGGGTACTCGATCATTGTATAACTGAAACCCAAGCACAAGAATTTGTAAGCCTACAACTGTACTTCATGGTGTTTCACTAATAAAAATTTAAGGGAAAAAATGTAACTCCATTGTATCATCCCACTGAAAATTCTGAACTTCTTGAAGCAACATCTCAAACTCTACAACACTGATTAATCAGTCATAGCACACCAGACTGGATGGGAATATAATGTAGAAGGCAACCAATCTCGATTAACAAAACTTTCACATCACTAGCAATAAACTCATCAACAGGGTCTATATTATCACAGGGCTATTGCAGATATTTCTTATGATTTCAACTGATGATTTTACTTGTGTTTTAAAAATATTACTGAACTATCATTGACATATGGACTTCATATTTTTTTAAAGTACTAAAACAGACACATTTCATCTTGTGGTGGCTTCCAGCAGAATAGCTGACTTTGTGATTTAGGTGATTTTTCACATGCTATAAGGAAGATCTTATAAAGAACTTTAAGAAAGTGGTATACCTTCTCCATAGAAAAATGTAAAGAAACCACTGTAAAACACAGAGTTGATTCAGAGACATCAAAGTCTACAGTTCTTTAAAAATAAGAGTCCCCATTCTAATCCTGGTCCCCTATTCCTGAAATTACTTCCTTGTAGTTGTGTCCTTTTTCTTTTCTGTTGTTGATTTTTGGTATTATTGTTATTCAGACAATAAGGATTGGAGAGAAAAATGGAAACGAAAGAATGACCCAAGTTATATGGTGCATTATTACCCATTATGTGATCCTTGTACATGGACAACTCTGGTTGTATGCTTATCAGTATAACTTTTTAAAGATCATGGATGCCTGAACTTGCTCATCTGTATTTGAATCCTAGATCTGCCATTTATTAGTGGTGTGACCTTGCCAAGTTTCTTGCCCTCTCTGACATAATTTTCTTTTAAAATAGAGTTAATTAAAAAAAAAAAAAAGTACCTGTCTCCTATATAGTGCTGTGCACAAAAAATAAACTAGGGGGGCGCAAGTGCTTTCAGTCAGTACCATGTCCCTAACTGTGTCACCTCAGACAAGTTTCTTAGTTTCCCTGATACTCATTTTCTGGTAGAATGCATGGAGATGGTCATGATACCTATCTCCAAGGTGTTGTGTTGGCACATTGAACATGAGATAAATGTTTGCTGAACAGATAAATGAGTGACCATTTACCCCCAACTATTTGGCTACCTGACAAGTTCCTTAAGGGTAGAAAGTGTGTACTCATTAAACTTTGTTTTAGTAGCACATACCTTGAACTTCAGTTGTGTAATGAATGTTTTGTTAAATTAACAAAGCATAGGATACATTTGCTTAACCCTGCAAAACTCAAGGACACCGTAATTCCTATGCTGAATCGGAGTTGTTCCACATGATTTTTATTTTGGAAAGAAGTAAAACTTTATTTTTTTTTTCAAGATTTGAAGTCTAGGGCTGCCTAGAGGAAGAAGGAAGCAGAAAGGGAGTTCTGAGTAGCCACTTCCGCAAACCACTAATGCAACCTGGATAATAAGCCAGGATAAGAATTGTGCCATTGGATTTTTAAGGTGTCTCCCAAAGCTCAATTTCTGAAATTCTGTGGAACATCCAGCACAACTCTGTAAAGCTCCACTGTTAACTTACAAACAACACACTCAGCCCCAGCTTTTCCACCTTCACCAACACCTCCATGACTCTGTCTTCCTTTGGTTTCGCTTGCGCCATCCTGTTCAACCAGAAAACTCATGCATGTAATTCCTTCATCAATTTGATTAGGAAATCTTAGAAATTTTGATTTATCATCTTTATTCCCATAGTGCCTGACACATAGCACTGTCAAGCCTAGGATGCATCAACAGCTCAAAGGGAAATGGAAATAGAATGATGAGAAGGCTTCTCATTAAGCTGAGACCTACAGGATAAATGGAAGATAGCCAGAGAATAAGGAATATGTATATAAATACTGTTTTCTAGGTAGAAGGAATAGTGTAAAAGGGAGGGAACGGGAAAATAAAAGGTTCAAAAAGCTTGAGTACAAATTTGGCTACTTTTTAATCAGAGAGATAGTTTAAAGGTTAAGGCACTTGCCTTGCATGCCGTTGATCCTGGTTCGATCCCGAGCATTGTGTAGTGCACACAATACGACTGAAAAGAATAGCTAAGCATGGAGGCTAGAATATTTCCTGGTATAGTACCACTAAGTACTGTATGGTTCAAACACTCCCCCCATTTTTTTGTTTAATTTTTGAATTTGACTTTTTGCGGGGGCATGGGATCTCCCAAGTGCTATTCAGCAAATAGAGCAAGTGGTTCAATGCAAGGGCCCAAGGATGTAGCGCTTCCTCAGGTATTGTAGTACCCAAGGATTACATAGGCCTTGGGATCTTGCCTAGATAGTGGCTCAAGGGATGCACACTATCCAACCACAGATGATCCTGCTTCAGAACAAGGCACCAAGGCAGTGAGATCTCCAACCAGTAGAAGGGAACGAAGTTTAGAGAAGAAAGAGTGGGCCAGGGAGGCTATTTTGGTGACTCTTGTTTATGGGCAAAAGTTACATGGATCTAAAGATCATTCTGTTTTGGAGAGAAGTATGTACTGCTCACAATGGAATGTAAAACGGGAGGCAGCAAGAACATGGACTTTGGATTTAGAAGCTCTTTTTGATTTTTTGTGGGGGCGGTGCACATTCAATGAGTTCAGGGGTTACTCCTGTCTCTGCACTCAGGAATTCCTTCTGGCGATGCTCAGGGGACCATATGGAATGCTGAGGTTTAAA